GACTCAACGCCATGGCCAGTAAAACTGGTGGGAAGGAAAGAGGTGGATCCTAGATCCCGGCCTTTCCCGCCTATCTGTCTGTTTATCTACTTGGTCACAATCCTGAGCCAGGAAAACACTTTGACGAACCTTGGATTGGACTAAAGTGCTACACAACAGAGTGCTAGGCTGCATTAACAGAGGAACAGAATCAAGATCAGCAACCAAACAGGACAGATACAGACGTCAATGGGTAGTTAGGACTGCAGAAAAAAAACAATTGCAACCAGCCTGCCCTCCATAGAATAGAACAGAACAGAACGGAACAGGACACAACTAGAAATTAGAATAGAATAGAATAGAGTAGAATAGAGTAGAGTAGAGTAGAGTAGAGTAGAGTAGAGTAGAGTAGAGTAGAGTAGAGTAGAGTAGAAAGAACAGAACAGAACAGAACAAAACTAGAAATTAGAATAGAATAGAATAGAATAGAATAGAATAGAATAGAATAGAACAGACAGAACAGAACGGAACAGAACAGAACTAGAAATTAGAATAGAATAGAATAGAATAGAATAGAATAGAATAGAATAGAATAGAATAGAATATGGAATGGAATATAGAATGGAATGGAGTGGAATGGAATGGAATAGAATATGGAATGGAATATGGAATGGAACAGAACAGAACAGAACAGAACAGAACAGAACAGAATAGAATAGAATAGAATAGAATAGAATAGAATAGAATAGAATAGAATAGAATAGAAGCTGGAAGGGACCTTGGAGGTCTTCCAGTCCAGCCTCCTGCTCAAACAGGAGGACCTACACCATCTCAGACAAGTGACTGTCTATCCTCTTCTTAAAAATCTCCAGTGATGGAGTGCCCACAATTTCTGGTGGCAAGCTGTTCCACTGGTTAATTGTCCTCACTGTCAGGAAGTTTCTCCTTAATTCCAGGTTGCTTCTCTCCTTGGTCAGTTTCCACCCATTGTTTCTTGTCCTTCCCTCTGGTGCTTTGGTGAACAAAGTGACCCCCTCCTCTTCTTTGTGGCAGCCCCTCAGATACTGGAATACTGCTATCCTGTCTCCCCTATTTCTTCTTTCCTTTAGACTAGCCAAACCCATGTCCTGCAGCCGTTCTTCGTATGTTTTAGCCTCCAGGCCTTGAATCATCCTAGTTGCTCTTCTCTGAACTTTTTCCAAACTCTCATTTGTAGACTGTACGGATGAGGAGGAGGGCTGAGAAAGTGTCTATGGACCCCTCACCTCCTGGACATAAACTGTTTCAACTCCTCCCTTCTGGACGCTGCTATAGGGCATTGTATGTCAAAATAACCAGACATAAAAGTTTCCCGCCCCCCCCCCCCGTGCCATCACTCTCCTGAACACCTAATTCCCCCTCTCTCGTTTCTCACCTTTTCCCATCTTCTCATCTTTCCTACTATCTTCTCCCATTGGTTTCTTATGATTTATCACTTGTAGATTAATTGTTAATCATCACTTATAATCAATTGTTTGTAACTTAGGATTAACGATTGTAACTATGATTTATGATCTCTGGCCTATGACTTGCTCTTTATAGGTACACTGTGAATTTATGCACCGGAGGGAGGGAGGGAGGGAGGGAGGAAAAAAGGAAAGGAAAGAAACGAAGGAAGGAAGGAAAGAAAGAAAGAAAGAAAGAAAGAAAGAAAGAAAGAAAGAAGAAAAGAAAAGAAAAAGGGAGGGAGGGTGGGAGGAAAGAAAGAAAGAAAGAAAGAAAGAAAGAGAAAAAGAAAGAAAGAAAGAAAGAAAGAAAGAAAGAAAGAAAGAAAGAAAGAAAGAAAGAAAGAGGAGGGACAGAAGGAGGAACGTAGGAAAAAAGGAAAGGAAAAAAGGAAGGAAGGAAGGAAGGAAAGAAAGAAAGAAAGAAAGAGAAGGAAGGGAGGGAGGGAGGAAAAAAGGAAAGGAAAGAAGGAAAGGAAGGAAGGAGTTGGTTAGGATTGGGAGGGAGGGAGGGAGGGAGGGAGGGAGGGAGGAAGGAAGGAAGGAAGGAAGGAAGGAAGGAAGGAAGGAAGGAAGGAAGGAAGGATGGATCCTACCAGAACCTTGTGGCTGGTTCTACTATGAAGCTGCCTCCAAGACAAGCTGGCAGAAAGGAGGAGAGTTGGGGTCTGTCTCCTAAGGGTCCACCAGGGAGACCATAGCCGCCGCCCCAAATGATCAGATGGGATCCTTGTGTGATTCTTCCTTGGATTCTTGTTCTAATAGGTAACCTAATCTGCACATCTTGTCTTGAGCAGCATTCCAGTATTTGAGGGGCTACCCCAAAGAAGAGTGGGTCACGTTATTCTCCAAAGCACCAGAGGGAAGGAGGAGAAACCATGCTTGGAAACTGACCAAGGAGAGAAGCAACCTGGAGTTAAGGAGAAACTTCCCAACAGTGAGGACAATCAACCAGGGGAACAGAGGTTGCCTCCAGAAATCGTGGGCGCTCCATCCCTGGAAGTTTTTAAGAAGAGACTGGACATTCACCTGTCTGAGATGGTCTAGGGCAGTGTTTCTCAACCTTGACCATTTTAAGGCACGTGGACTTCAACTCCCAGAATTCCACAGCCAGCATTGCTGGCTGTGGAATTCTGGGAGTTGAAGTCCACATGCCTTAAAATGGTCAAGGTTGAGAAACACTGGCCTAGGGTCTCCTGCTTGAGCAGGGGGCTGGACTAGAAGACCTCCAGGGTCCCTTCCAGCTCTCTTCTAGCTGAACTCACCTCAGGTGGACTAAGAGAGTCAACCCACCCCTCCTTTGTTCCAAGCTGAAAGCGGCTCTGATGCAACTCCTGGAGTCAGGTGCGAGCCCACTTCAGGTGACAAAGGCATCTGGGCAAATATTTGATCTCTCTCTCTCTTGAAGCGCCCCGGAGGAGGCCATTCAGGCAGAACAAAACCTCACCCACCCACCCCACCCCGTTCCCAGCCAAGGGAAGAGTCTCACCAAGGTCAAGAGGGCCCAGAAATTCCCAGTCAGGCCACCAAGGAGTTTGCTGGGAAACGCTCGACTCTTTCCTTTGTTTAACTTGGTGCCCAGTTTCAGAGAAGACAGCAGGAGTTGGCATCGGAGGGGGGGGGTGGATGGGAAGGCCCCCCCCTCCTCCCTCCTGCAAAGTGGGGCAGAAGGGATGGGGAGCCCCTGCAGCGCTGGGTCTTCGGTCTCTGCCTCTTAGGCTAGTTTGGGTTAGTCGGGTACACGGCACCTCGAGAGCTGCTTGCTCTGGTGCAGTCTGGTTAAAAAGGATGAAAACAATAGAGCTGGTTCTCGATTTATGGACACTTATTCTGCGTGTTTCTCTCTCTGTCCCTCTCTGTATATGTGTGTGTCTTTCTCTGTGTGTCTGTTTCTCTCTCTCTCTCTCTCTATCTCTCTCTCTATCTATCTATCTATCTATCTATCTATCTATCTATCTATCTATCTATCTATCTATCTATCTCTCTTTCTCTGTGTCTCTCTCTTTATCTGTCTCTTTCTTTCTCCCCCCCCCTCTCTCTGTCTCTCTCTCTCTCTCTCTCTGGGTCTCTTTCTTTCTCCCTCTCTGTCTTTCTCTTTCTTCCTCTCTCTTTGTCTCCCTGTGTCTCTTTCTCCATCTCTCTCTCTCTCTGTCCCGTCTCTCTCTCTCTTTCTCTCTCTGTTTATTCTCTCTGTCTCTCCTGTCTCCCTCTTTCTGTCTCTCTCGTCTCTCTGTGTGTCTTTCTCTGTCTCTCTCTCCCTCTGTCTCTCTTTCTCCATCTCTCTCTCTCTGTCCCTTCTCTCTCTCTCTCTCCTGTTTCTCTCTCTCTCTCTCTCTCTCTGTCTGTCTCTCTGTGTCTCTCTCTGTCTGTCTTTCTCTTTCTCTCTGTCTCTCTCATACCTATACATTACATTAGTCCTTGAGTTATAACCACAACGGAGCTCAACATTTACATTGCTAAGTGAGACAGTTGTTGAGTACATGTTACCCTGTTTTACAACCTGTCTTGCCACGGTCATTAAGAGAATCACGGCAGCTGTTAAGTTAGCAACACAGTTGTTAAATGAATCTAGCTTCCCCCGTGGACTTCGCTCGTCAGAAGGCGGCCAAAGGGGACACTTTGGGCAACCGTCCTAAGTACACGCCAGTTCCCGAGCCTCTGAATTGTGATCACGTGACCACAGAGGGCTGCTGCGACGGTTGTAAGTGTGAAAAACGGTCGCAAGTCGCTTTTTCAGTGCCGTTGTAACTTTGAGCGGCCATTAAATGATTAGTTGTTGTAAGTTGTTGTAATTCTCCTAAATGGCATTTTTCTCCACCCTCTTTTCAAACCACCAATAATGTTTTGCAGTCCACAGAGTCCAAGTGCAATGAAATTAAAAGTTTTTATTCAAATGTGTCGGGTGAGAGAGATGCAACTTTGTTCGCTCTGTGTGTGTGTGTGTGTGTGTGTGTGTTGGTACAGGCAAGGCCTAGTTCACACCTGCTGGGCAACGACAAAGCTGTATTGAAGCCTACTAAGGGCAGCCATCGTTGTCCGTTCTGGGAAACCGTCTCCCATCTCCCTGCAAACAAATTTAAGACTCCGGTAGGTTTCCCTTGCTCCAGAAAGAAGCAGAAACTCAAAACGGTGTGATGAGGAAGGGTGAAGGACGGACCCGGTTCCAAAAAACCTCACTTCTTCTTCTTCTCCTCTTCCAGCGTTGCCCTCCACGGGGGTCTTCTCTTATGCAGACAACACCAGCAGATCCTGAGCAAAACAACAACAAAAAAGACCCCGTTGATGAATTCTCATATTATGACCCCTTCTCCTTGGGACTTTCATGGGGTGGGGGAGATCATCCCGCCTAGAAATTCAGAGGGACAGACTTCCGACGCCACCCAGGATGTCAAGGAGAGAAGCAACCTGGAACTAAGGAGAAACTTCCTGACAGACTGAAAGAACAATTAACCAGTGGAATTACCTGCCTCCAGAAGTGTTGAACGCTCCAACACTGGAAGTTTTTAAGAAGAGACTGGACAACCATTTGTCTGAAATGGTATAGGGGTTTCCTGTCTGAGCAGGGAATTAGACTAGATGACCTCCAAGGTCCCTTCCAACTTTATTATTATTATTATGGATCATCGCACAGTCAGCCAGATGTTCAGACTGGGTTTGGCATTTTGTCTACCTCTTGAGTCCTTACCCAGGACCTGGGATAGGCAGATGTGGATGTTTGATGGTATTACAGATATTGTCGCAGGATGGAAGCAGTTCCTAGTAAGGCCGCCTTTTGCAATTGACTAATAGCGAATTTGTCAATGCCAATGGTGTTTAAGTGGTGCTCCAGCTGTTTTGGGATTGCACCCAAAGAGCCTATGACTATTGGTACTACCCTTGCTTGCTTTTGCCACAGTCTTTCTATTTCTATTTGTAGGTCTTTGTATTTTGTTATCTTCTCCAGTTCTTTCTCTTCTGTTCTGCTATCTCCAGGCACTGCCACATCCACTATCCAGACTTTTTTGTCTTTCTTATCAACAATTATTAAGTCTGGGGTGTTATATTGTTGTTGTTGTTGTTATTATTATTATGGGACTGGAGGCTAAAACATATAAGGAATAATTGCAGGAATTGGGTATTTCTAGTTTAATTAAGTGAAGGACAAGGGGTGACATGATAATAGTCTTCCAGTATCTCAGGGGCTGCCCTAAAGAAGAGGGAGTCAAGCTATTCCCAAAGCACCTGAAGGCAGGACAAGAAGCAACGGATGGAAACTCATCAAGGAGAGAAGCAACCTGGAACTAAGGAGAAATTTCCTGACAGTGAGAACAATTAACCAGTGGAACAACCTGCCTCCGGAAGCCATTTGTCTGAAATAACATAGGGTTTCCTGCCTGAGCAGGGGGGTTGGACTAGATGACCTCCAAGGTCCCTACCAACATTATTATTATTATTATTATTATTATTATTATTATTATTATTATTATTATTATCATCATCATCATCATCATCATCATCATCATCATCATCATCTGTGGATCCTTTCCTGCTGCGCCCACATCACCAAAATCCGGGAAAGATCTCAAGAACTTGGGGTTTAGGTGACCTTCTCAACTCTCCTAAGCCATTCCGTGAAAAATTCTGAAGATTGCCTCCTATCATTTGTGGACTTGGCTGGTTATCAAGCAAGGCTAAGTCCTCAACTTAGGACTACAATTCGGACCAGACTTTCAGTTGCTAAGTGGGTCACACCTGATTCTTCAACTTTTTTTTTTTTTGCCACAGTCGTTCAATGAGTCGGTGCAGTTAAGTGTTGATGGAGATCCTCCGTCCACCGGATCCTGATTGTCCCAAAGATGCTTTTATTTCAGGAGGCAACGGGACTTTCTTGTTTTTTCTTGGAAGACATTTCTCTCCTCATCTCAGAAGCTTCCTCAGGTTCTGACTGGATGATGGGGAAGGGAAGGATTTATACTCCTTGCAGACAGCTGGTCCTTTGCATTCCTTTAAGAGAGTCGTTGAGGCCACCTGGAGGTTCACCTGTGTCCTCAGGATCTCCTGAGTGGTGTCAATGGGGGTGGAGCCTTCCTGGAACTGCGGAAAGGACCGTGTGGTAGACTGGAGATAAATGATGTTGCATCCCTGCCCCTCTGTTGAGGGAGGGCTGTTCAGTTTTGACCTAGATGGCCTCTCAAAGACCACCCCCATTTGCACCACTCAGGTGACCCTGAGGAGGCAGGTGAACCTCCAAGTGGCCTCAATGACTCTCTAAAAAGAAGGAGAATCACCAGCTGTCTGCCAGGAGTATAAATCCTTCCCTTCTCCACCATCCAGTCAGAACCTGAGGAAGCTTCTGGGATGAGAAGCGAAACCTCTTCAAAGAAAAAACAAGAAAGTCCAGTGAGCTTCTAAAAAAAGAAGCACCTTTGGGACACTGCACTTAAGTGAATCACATGGTTGTTAAGTGAATCTGGCTTCCCCCATTTACTTTGCTTGTTGGATGTTAACCACAAATGGACCAATAATGGAGGCCACAAATGCACAAATAGGGTGAACCACAAAAGCATCAAGAGGGGCAGCCACAAAATGCACTTTGTCTGATTAAGTCTCCCAGAAAGCATTAACGGGTCGTGAGAATGGGACATCTTGACCCTTTAACTCTCCCCACCATTCATTCCCTCCCTCCCTTTCCCTCTCTCCCTCCCTCTCTCTCTCTCCCTTTCACTCTCTCCCTCTCCTCTCCCTCTCTTCCTCTCCCTCTCCCTTTCCCTTTCACTCTCTTCCTCTCCTATTCCTCTCTCCCTCCCTTTCTCCCTCTCCCTCCTTCTCTCCCTCTCCCTTTCACTCTCTCCCTCTCTCTCTTTCCCTCTCCCTCTCTCCCTACCTCCCTTTCCCCCTCCCTCTCCCTCTCCCTTTCACTCCCTCTCCTTCTCACCCTCTCTCTCCTTCTCCCTCTCTCTCTCCCTCTCTCCCTCCTTCTCTCCGTCTCCCTTTCACTCTCTCCCTCTCCCTCTCTCTCTTTCCCTCTCCCTCTCTCCCTCTCTCCCTCCCCCTCCCTCCCTCCCATCTCTCCCCCTCTCCCTCCCTCTCTCCCTCCCTCCCCCTCCTCTCCTCTCTTTCCCTCTCCCTCTCTCCCTCTCTTCCTCTCTCCCTCTCTCCCTACCTCCCTCTCCCTCTCCCTCTCTCTACCTCCCTCTCTCCCCCTTCCTCTCTCCCTCTCCCTCTCTCCCCAACTCCCTCTCCCCTCCCTCTCTCCCTCTCTCCCTCCCTCCTAGGCATACATTACCAGCTTCCTTCCGTAGCACTTACTTCGATGACGTCCACCGAGGCATTGTTGAAATCGATGTTGAGCAGTCTGGGGAGAGGAACCCCTCCACCTAAGATGGCTGGAGCCAGAAACAAAACGGAATCAGGTTTCTAAGCTCAAAGGCAAATTGGGACTTTTTGCTTCCTTCTCTTTTTCCCAGCCCCTGCTGTGCCCCAGATAAGTCAGCATTTTGCCGCATCTCGTGTGGCAAACCCATTGCCACGTTTTCAGTGTGTCCCACGGGTGAACCTGGAGTCAGTTCTCCCCAGCTGCAAAGGAGACACTTTTCTTTGTGACCTGAAAAATCACAGCTGGATGCTGATTCTGTTACCCTCGTTCCTCTCCCTCCCCTGGAACAGGGAACCCTCTCCAGGCTCTTGAACTCAGACCACACTTATTCCCAGTCGGAGGAGAAAGGCCCATTCCCAGCCCTCTCTCTGCTTCAGGACAGCAGCCAAAGGCAGCCGTGGGGGGTGCTGAGCCTCCCCTGGGCCGCTGGCAAGCGAGGGGAGGAAGGATTTCAATCAATCAGAATAGAGATAGGAGGGATCTTGGAGGTCTTCTAGTCCAACCCCCTGCTTAACTCTGGTGCTGGAGAAGACTCCTGCGAGTCGCCTGGACTGCAAGGCGTTCAAACCGGTCAGTCCTAGAAGAGATCAACCCCGACTCCTCTTTAGAAGGCCAGATCCTGAAGTGGAAACTCAAATACTTTGGCAGCTGCAGCACACGGCTGGCTCCTATTTAAGGGATTGTCTTACAAGAGTACGTTCAGTGACCGTTCCAAGTTACAACGGTCCATTTTTCATCCTGTGCACAACTGTTGCAGCCTCCCCCCTAGTCACGTGATCAGGATTCAGCCACTGGGGAACTGACTCGCATCTATGACGGTTGCAGGGTCCCCGGGGGTCCCACGATCCCCCCTTTCCGACAAGGAAAGTCCTTGGGGACGCCAGACTCAGTTAATAACTTAACCCCTGCAGTGATTCTCTTAACAACTGTGGCAAAACGGGGCAAGACTCGCTTAAGAAATATTTCGCTTAGTAACGGAAATTTTGGGCTCCAGTGTGGTTGTAAGAGGAGGACGACTTAGGTAAATCTAAGCCCTGCGGCGGTTGCTGTTTAAGCTTCCATCCCCTTAAGGTCCATCAATCTGAGGTCCTTCCCCCACCTCCCCACCTCCCCCCCCAGCAGAGACAGTTGCGACTTTCACATTTTTGACTTTGCTACCTAGTAAACGTTAATCATGATCTCCAGCATTGAGGGGCCCTCTTCTTATTTTCTATCGGCCCAAGGATTTATGCATCTCAGAAAGATTACAACAGCTTCAGCTTTAAGGGCTGAAATTTATGTTTTCGGAACAGGGGGTTTTAAATCTTGTTCTTCTCCGCTTCCCGGCAAGCTGGCAAGCTCAGGACAGCCACAAAAACAACCTGAAGTCTAAGATTCAGCTTGGATGTGGGAAAAGGCCCTTCTGTTCCCCTAAAGACAATTTGGTCCAGTATAGATAAGGGTATTAATGGCGTCCTTGATGCTCTCTGTGGTTTCCTTGCAGACGTTTCATGACCCACCTAGGTAACATCATCAGTGGTAGAAGGGAGGGGGGTCTAGGAGGAGGAGGAAGAGGACTGGGGGGTCCTTGGTGCTCTCTGAGCTGGGTGGTTTCCTTGCAGACATTTCATGACCCATCTAGGTAACATCATCAGAGATAGAAGGGGGGAGGAGGAGGAGGAGGAGGAGGAGGAGGAGGAGGAGGAGGAGGAGGAGGACTGGGGGGTCTTTGGTGCTCTCTCAGCTGGATGGTTTCCTTGCAGATGTTTCATGACCCAACTAGGGAACAGTGCTGGAAGGCAGGGGGAGTTTGCTCTCTGTTTATATATACAAGTGGTTTGCTATGTCAGAGTTGGTGAGAGTATCGTCTTCTTCTTGGTGTTTCCTTGATTAAGCTGTTGTTTATTGTTAGCTTGTTTGTCTAAATTGGTATTTCCCTGACTGGGGTATGGTTTACTTCTTGATTTTGGGCCTAGTATTAATTTTGGTATTGACTTCTGCTTAAACCCCAGTCAAGGAACCACCAAGAAGACTTCCGCCAACACTGATAGATTCTATCTATCTATCTATCTATCTATCTATCTATCTATCTATCTATCTATCTATCTATAACATATCAATCATATAAATCAATCTATCTATATCATATCTATCTATCATATCGATCATATCAATCAATCAATCTATATCATATCTATCTATCTATCTATCTATCTATCATATCAATCAATCAATCTATCTATCTACAGTATCTATCTAATATCAATCATATCAATCATATCTATCTATCTATCTATCTATCTATCTATCTATATCATATCTATCATATCGATCATATCAATCAATCAATCTATCTATCTATCTATATGATATGATATGATACCAATCTATCTATCTATCTATCTATCTATCTATATCTATCTATCTATCATATCAATCAATCAATCTATCTATATCATATTTATCTATCTATCATATCAATCAATCTATCTATCTATCTATCTACAGTATCTATCTATATGATATGATAGATAGATAGATAGATAGATAGATATGATCGATATGATTGATATTAGATAGATAGATATGATATGATATGATATCAATTTATCTATCTAATATCAATCATATCGATCATATCTATCTATCTATCTATATCATATCTATCTATCATATTGATCATATCAATCAATCAATCTATCTATCTATATGATATGACATATCTATCTATCTATCTATCTATCTATCTATCTATCATATCGATCATATCAATCAATCAATCAATCAATATCATATCTATCTATCTATCATATCAATCAATCTATCTATCTACAGTATCTATCTATATGATATGATATCATATGATATCATATATCTATCTATCTAATATCTATCATATCGATCATATCAATCTATCTATCTATATCATATCTATCTATCATATTGATCATATCAATCAATCTATATTATATGATATGATTATCTATCTATCATATCGATCATATCAATCAATCTATCTATCTATCTATATGATATGATATCAATCTATCTATCATATCGATCATATCAATCAATCAATCTATATCATATCTATCTATCTATCATATCAATCAATCTATCTATCTACAGTATCTATCTATATGATGTCATATCATATCATGTCTGTCTGTCTGTCTATCTATCTATCTATCTATCTATCTATCTATCTATCTATCTATCTATCTATCTATCTATCCAGTGGTGGGATTCAACCGGTTTGCACCACTTCAGCAGAACCGGTAGCTAATTTTTTGTTGCCCAGGCCCAGAACGGACATCTGGAAGCGGCATCCACACAGAGAACCGGTTCTTCACCTATTTGAATCCCACCACTGGCTGAGACAATGAGAAGGCAAAGACACGGGGAAGAGACGAGATGGACTCTCCATCATTTAGCATGTAGGTTGATGCAAACAAGGGCAGCCACCCACAGCCCATCATCCCTCCATTGTCCACAAAGTATCCAGAATCCTGTTGGCCAACCTGGGCAGCTTCCAGAGGTGTGGGCTATCTCCTCCCAGAATTCTCTAGCTAACATTTGTTGTGGCAGAGGATCCTGGGAGTTGAAGTCCACACCTCTGGCAGTTGTCCAGGTTGAGAAAGGCAAGAGTTGAAGACTCTCAAAGAAGTTCTGGAATTCTCTTACCGTTCATGGCAGGAAGGAAGGCTACTTCAAAGATCTTGCCGACCAGCCCCTCCATCAGGGACACCTATATCCAGTGGGGGGAAAAACATTTTAATGCCCTCAACTCATCCAAGGGGAGAATGTGTGGAGACAATTAAGATTCCCCTTGATTTGCTATTTTGAGCCCACCTTGCATTTGTTGAACTGAACGCAGAAAGGACTCTGGGTTGCAAACATTCTTAGAATCCAAAATTTACCTATAGAATAGTATAATAGAATAGAATAGAATAGAAAATAGAATAAAAAATAGAATAGAATAGAATGCAGAATAGAATAGAAAATAGAATGCAGAATAGAATAGAAATAGAAATATAGAATAGAATAGAAATCGAAATATAGAAGAGAAGAGAAATAGAAATAGAGAATAGAATAAAATAGAATTAGAATAGAATAGAAGACAGAATAGAATAGAATAGAAATAGAATAGAATAGAATAGAATGCAGAATAGAATAGAATATAGAATGCAGAATAGAATAGAATAGAAATAGAAATATAGAATTGAATAGAAATAGAAATATAGAATAGAATAGAAATAGAAATATAGAATAGAATAAAATAGAATAGAATAGAATAGAATAGAATAGAATAGAATAGAATAGAATAGAATAGAATAGAATAGAATAGAATAGACTTTGCATGTCCATGTTGCGTCTTTGAGGCATGATTTAAGTCAGAGGTGTCCAATCCTCACTTTAAGTCTCGTGGACTTCAACTCCCATGCTGGCTGGGGAATTCTGAGAATTGAAGTCCACAAGTCTTAAAATGGCCAAGGATTGGACACCTCTGACTTAAGTTAACCCTTTAATGTGCATAAGCATTGGCATAGTATCCACCTAACCCATAAAGCCTGCAGTTAAAATGATTACGTGCGAAACATGCAAGCATTCCTTCGGAGGGGCAACCATGCCAGATACAGGGTTTTTTTTTATGACCGTGTCTAGATAGTCCTCAATTTACGGCAACAATTGAGTGCACAATTTCCACGGCAAAGCCAGGGAGTTGTGTGAATTTTGTCCCTTTTGTTGCCACAGTTGCTGAAGGAATCACCGCAGAGGTTAAGTTAATAAGAGGTCTGTTAAGCATCTAAAAAGGTTACATCGGGGCAACTGGGCCGAAAGTTCAATGAAACCATTTTGTGACTCAGCCAAGTCGCCTCTTCAGCCCAAACTGAAATTTTAGTTCGGCAGAAAGTCAGAAAGTCTTTGTAGATAAATGTCTGTGGAGGTTCCCAGTCCTCCAGGGTCCTGGTTGTCCCGAAGGTGTTTTTTTCACAAGGCAACTGGACTTTCTGTTTTTTTTTCCTTTGAAGACATTTCGCTTCTCATCTAAGAAGCTTCTTCAGGTTCTGACTGGAGGGTGGGAAGGATTTATACTCCTTGCAGAGAGCTGGTCATTTGCATTGAGGAATCTTTAATGATTGCACTCCAAAAGAAAGCGAAGGACCGGCTGTCTGTGCAAGGAGTATAAATCCTTCCCTTCCCCACATCCAGTCAGAACCTGAGGAAGCTTCTGGCATGAGAAGTGAAACGACTTCAAAGAAAAAAAAGGAACTACAGTTGCTTCCTGAAAAAAAGCACCTTTGGGTCTTTTTTGGATATATTATAATCATCGTCATCATCATCATCCACATCTGCCTATCCCAGGTCCTTGGTAAGGACTTGATAAGTAGACAAAAATGGAAAATCCAGTCTGAACGTCTGGCTGACTGTGCAATGATCAATAATACTAATATTAATACTAATACTAATACCTCCAGAAGCTGTGAATGCTCCAACACTGGAAGTTTTTAAGAAGAGACTGGACAGCCATTTGTCTGAAATGGTAAACGGATTCCTGCCTGAGCAGGGGGTTGGACTAAATGACCTCCAAGGTCCCTTCTGAGTCTGTTATTCTATTATTCTTTTTTTCCTTCCTTCCTTCCTTCCTTCCTTCCTTCCTTCCTTCCTTCCTTCCTTCCTTCCTTCCTTCCTCCCTCCCTCCCTCCCTCCCTCCTTCCCTTCTCCAACACTGGAAGTTTTTGTTCAGCCATTTGTCCGAAATGGTATAGGGTTTCCTGCCTGAGCAGGGGGTTGGACTAGATGACCTCCAAGGTCCCTTCCAACTATATTATTATTACTATTACTATTATTATTCTAATGATACTAATACTGATGATGATGATTTGGAAGGGACCTTGGAGGTCATCTAGTCCAACCCCCGCTCAGGCAGGAAACCCTATAAATATATATACCATATATATATTTGGCCTGGATGACTGAGTTTCCCTTTACAAATGCTTGTAAAGTCCATCTAGTTCCCCTGTTGAATTTTAAGGGTGATGAAGCTGGCAATGGGGCAACGGGGCGTGTTGCTAGCATGGGTTTCCTGTCAACTCAAGGGTGATTGGGGAGCCCTTTAGCTGGGTGTTGGCCAAAAGCCCAGAGGAGAATGGCCTGACTTCAAGTCCCAGCAGAGGGCAACCTCAGGGTCAGGTCCACGGAGCTGTCCCTGAAGTCATGGGGGATGAAGGTGGCATTGACCTCTTCCTCCAACTTCCTCCACCCAAAAGAGGCGCTGCCTTTCCCGTCTCCCCAGCCAAGAAGCAAAGTTTACTCTTACATCAAAGTCTCCAACGTTGGAGGAATCCAGCTTGACACGAGACCTGCAGGAACAAAGAGAGAAGGGGAGTGAGAAGACGGAGGGGTCTCACCGGGCAGCTGGGTTGGACTGGGAGGGAGGGAGGGAGGAAGGGAGAGAGGGAAAGAGGGAAGGAGGATAGAGAGAGGGAGGGAGGGAAGGAAGGAAGGAAGGAAGGAAGGAAGGAAAGAAGGAAGGAAGGAAGGAAGGAACAGAAGGAAAGGAAAGGGAAGGAAAGGAAAGGGAAGGAAAGGAAAGGAAAGGAAAGGAAAGGAAAGGAAGGAGGAAGGATAGAGAGAGAGGGAAGGTGGGACGGAAGGAAGGAAGGGAAAGAAGGAAGGAAGGAATTACTGGTGCAAGGGCAAGAGGTGAGCGCGTGCACATGCATGTATGCACTGGGCAGGCACTCATGCAGCCCAGGAGGTGCCCTCTGCGATAGACAATGGGAAATCATCATCATCATCATCACGCCCTTCATCCACGCAGTGACATTGACAGACTTTATCTACCAAGGCAAATAGATGGGCGTGGAATGCTACAAGTACATCAGATGGTTGAAGAAGAAAAAATGGCTTTGGAAGAATATCTGAAGAACAATGATGAAGATGCACTGAAATTAGTATATCAGGAAGGCTTACTAACTACTGGAGAGACCAAACTGGCCTACAAGAAAGACCAAATGAAGAACAGAATAGAGGCATGGGAAGACAAAGCACTACATGGCCAATACATGAAAAAATAGCTGGGAAAGCAGATAATAATAAAACCTGGCAATGGCTAAGAGCAGGAAAATTGAAGAAAGAGACCGAGGGACTAATTCTGGCTGCACAAGACCAAGCCTTAAGGACAAATGCATACAAAGTCAAAATTGAGAAGACAACAACAGACAGTAAGTGCCGCCTATGCAAAGAAGCTGAAGAAACAGTGGACCACTTGGTAAGCTGTTGCAAGAAGATTGCACAAACTGATTACAAGCAGCGGCATGACAAAGTAGCAACAATGGTGCATTGGAAGATCTGCAAAAAATATCATTTGCCTGTAAGCAAAAACTGGTGGGATCATAAAATAGAGAAAGTCATAGAAAATGATAAAATTAAACTGCTCTGGGACTTCAGAATTCAAACAGACAAGCATCTGCAACACAACACCCCAGACTTAACAGTTGTCGATAAGAAAGACAAAAAAGTCTGGATAGTGGACGTGGCAGTGCCTGGAGACAGCAGAATAGACGAGAAAGAACTGGAGAAGATCACAAAATACAAAGACCTACAAATAGAAATAGAAAGACTGTGGCAAAAGCAAGCAAGGGTAGTACCAATAGTCATAGGCGCCTTGGGTGCAATCCCAAAACAACTGGAGCACCACTTGAACACCATCATCGGCATTGACAAATTCGCTATTAGTCAATTGCAAAAGGCAGCCTTACTAGGAACTGCTTCCATCCTGCGACGATATCTGTAATACCATCAAACATCCACATCTGCCTATCTCAGGTCCTGGGTAAGGATTCGATAGGTAGACAAAATGCCAAATCCAGTCTGAACATCTGGCTGACTGTGCAATGACCAATAATAATAACAACAACAACAACAACAACAATAATAATAATAACTGACTTACTTGTCCAGCTGAGTGCTGATTTTTAGTTTGTTGTCCTCAACAGAGAATTTGGCCAGCAAAGAAGCATCCTAGAAGGACAACAATGGACCCATCCTGACCATATCGCAAAGGTGCTTTTTCCAAAAAGCATCTTTATTGTGTTTTTTGACCCCTCAAGTGGGCAATTTTGCCCTAGGTGTGCAGGAATAGATTACACAGGTAGTCCTCGACTTACGACAGTTCGTTTAGCGACCGTTCAAAGCTACAACGGCACTGAAAAAAATGATTTATGACCGTTTTTCACACTTACGACCGTTACAGCCTCCCCAGGGTCAACGTGATCAGAATTCAGACACTTGGAAACTGGCATGTACTTATGACTGTTGCAGTGTCCTGGGATCACGTGATCCCCTTTTGTGACCTTCTGACAAGCAAAGTCAACAGGGAAGCCTGATTCACTTAACAACCGAGTTACTCATTTATCAACTGCAGTGATTCATTTAACAACTGTGGCAAGAAAAGTCGTAAAATGGGGCACTCAATATCTGTCTCACTTAGCAACGGAAATGTGGGCTCCACTGTGGTCGTGAGTCCAGGACTTCCTGTACACAGACACAAGGGTTTGGATGATGATCAGGCTGGTGTGAAAGAAGGCAGGCTGGAACGTTGTAATAAGTCCTCAGTTTACGACCATAATGGTCGTAAATTTTGTAACGATCATTAAGGAAATGCTGAGGTCATTAAGTCAGCCCCTGGCCTTTTTTTTCCAGCAAAAAATGAATGATATTGTAAGCCCACCCCGAATTGGTAAGATGGGCTGCCGATCAATTTGATAAAATTTATTTAATAAATAATATGTCATAAAATGCGGTCACATGACTCCGGGATGCTGCAAACGGGAGTGAATGAAGTCCGGTTGGCATGCGCCCAGATGACGGTCACATGACTATGTGGGGGAGAGGCTGCCAATGGGACCTTTGACTCTTGGTCTTAAGCATTCCTCAAGTAGATCCGTTGGAACCTGAAGAAGTCACTAAGTGAGCGGTCGTAAATTCGAGGACTACTTGTGACATGACTCAGACAATCGAGTCTGTCAAAGCATGAACAGTCTTTGCCCCAAGATGAGCCAGGAGTGAATACAGTAAACAGCGGCCTATATTAAATGGTGGTTTATGTTACACTATCTACAATATACACTAGGAACAATATACATACACGTGGTAATGCAGCAAACTCCAACACACAGCAATTAAAACAGGAAACGACAGAGAGAGAGAGAGAGAGAGAGAGAGAGAGAGAGAGAGAGAGAGAGAGACTCCAGCAAAAGCCTTCCCTTTTATACTCAGGCTCTTAAAGGGACACAGACCTTGCTGAATCATTCTTATCATTACATCATCCACCTTACATTACATCAGCTGGTTAAATTATTACCCCGACAGAGTCTTTTTACGGTCCTGGGTGAAATTTCAGCCTGCCACCCTGCTCCCATGTTACCAAGCAAAAGGGACTTTGAGGAATGATGCTTTGCGGAATGTCACAGCCTTCATACTCACAATGCTCAGGACGCAGAGAGACTTCTCGGTGCCCTCGGGCTCCACGGCCAAAATTTCTGAAGTGGCTTGAATTTTAATCAAGCCCATGTCCTTCTGGAGCTTCACGGTCGGAGCCTCAGGGACCGATATCTTCAGCAGGAGGGGCCGAGGCTCGGGGAATTTCTGGAAGATCTGTGGGTCACCCCGAGGAAAAACAACACATATTATCAGGAGAGAACGTTGGCGCTCTCTGAGCTTGGTGGTTTCCTTGCAGACGTTTCATGGCCCAATTTAGGGAAGATTATGTGCTAGAGGAAATGGGGTGTGTGGAGAGGAGGAGGAGGAGGAGGAGGAGGAGGAGGAGGAGGAGGAGGAGGAGGAGGAGGAGGAGGAGGAGGAGGAGGAAAAGGAGGAGGAGGAGGAAGAAGAGGGAGACTGTAGGGTCTTTGGTATTCTCTGAATTTGGTGGTTTCCTTGCAGATGTTTCATGACCCAGCTAGGGAACATTATTAAGGCTAGAGGAAATGGGGTTTGTGGAAAGAAGGAGGAGGAGGAGGAGGAGGAGGACTGTAGAGTCCTTGGTATTCTCTGAGCTTGGTGGTTTCCTTGCAGATGTTTCATGACCCAGTTAGGGAAGATTATCAGTGCTAGAAGAAATGGATTGTGTGGAGAGGAGGAGGAGGAGGAGGAGAGGGGAGGAGGAGGAGGAGGAGGAGGAGGAGGAGGAGGAGGAGGAGGAGGAGGAGGAGGAGGAGGAGGAGGAGAAAGCGATGACTATGGGATCCTTGATGCTCCCAGAGCTGGGTGGTTTTCTTGTGACATTTCAGGACCCAACTAGCTAACATCATCAGTGCTAGAAGGGAGTGAGGAGGAGGAGGAGGAGGAGGAGGAGGAAGAGAGTCATTGGCTTTTTGTTTCATTATCCAACTAAGTAACATCACCAGGGCTGCAAGGGAAGGGGTCTGCTCTCTGTTTATATATATACACAAGTGCTTACCGCCGGAATCAGCGCCCCAAGAGTTGAGGTCATCAGAGGAGGAAGCTCGGGATACTGGTAGACGAAAGCAAAATAGGCCATAAGTGTACATCAGCAGTTTATTTCCTGCTACGTGGGTCTGCATCAGAGGGTACCAAAATTTCCCCTTTTCTCTGATAAGGCTCAGGGTAGAAGTTAGAAGCTATTGTAAGGCTGGTAGAGCTAGTTGTAGCCAAAGAACCTCTTGGAGGCTTGTCTGTCTTTGCACCGCTCCGGTGACCCGGAGGACATAGAAAAGCCTCCAGGAGGCCTCAACGACTCTCCAAAAGGAGGCAAACGACCAGCTGTCTGCAAGGAGTATAAATCCTTCCCTTCCCCAGAACCTGAAGAAGCTTCTGGGATGAGAAGCGAAACGTCTTCAAAGGGAAAACGAGGACGTCCTGGAAAAAGAAGCCCCTTTGGGACATCCCTACCAACGACTGAAATACATCGATGGCCCCTCAAGCTCACCATCCCATCGGAGAGGTCAAGGTTCAGGGCCCCTTGCTTCTGCAGGACGCCCAGCACGGAGCTGAGGAAGTTGACCGACAGTCCCAGCTGAGAGTTAGTTGTGTCTTCCATGGGTGGCAGGGGTGGCATGGGCACCCTGGGTGGCATAGGGGGGGATTCCGGCTTGCCCAGGGGGTAGTCGATTAGGGGGCCGACGACGTGCCCAACCACCGTCTAGGAGGAAGAGAAAAAAACAACGTGAAACCCCAGAAAATGAGGATTTCCACGTTACAGGCAGTCTTCGACGTACGACAGTCCATTTAGTGACCGTTCAGAGTTACAACGGCTCTGAAAAAAGTGACTTAGGACCCTTTTTCACACTTATGACCGTCGTTGCAGCCTCCCCCACAGTCACGTGATCAGAATTCAGACGCTTGGCGACCGGCTCGTATTTATGATGGTCACAGCGCACCGACGTCGGGTGATCCCCTTTTGTGACCTTCTGAAGCAAAAGCAACAGGGGAAGGCCAGATTCACTTAACAACCATGTTAGTAACCTAACAGCTGCAGTGATTCACTTAACAACCGTGTCAAGAATGGTTGTAAAGTGGGACAATAATTGTCTCGCTTAGCAATGGAAATTTTGTGGTGGTACGTTGAGGACTCCCTGTATTCTCTCCTTCAGTCTTATTGATGTCATATTACTGTGCAAACCACAGTAAGGATGCTGGATGCATTAAACCACGATTGATTTAAACATAGTTTTTTTTTAAAAAAATGACATATATTTATTCTACACATTTGGTTCTTTTTTGCACGACTTGGACCAAACCCACACAAATCACAGTACAGGTCAGGGGTCTTCAAACTTGGCCCTTTGATGACTGGTGGACTTCAACTCCCAGAATTCCTCAGCCAGTGTGAGGGAACTAAGACCCTTTTATGACTGGTGGACTTCAACTCCCAGAATTCCCCAGCCAACATGAGGGAACTATGAGCCTTTTATGACTCGTGGACTTCAACTCCCAGAATTCCTCAGCCAGCGTGAGGGAACTAGGACCCTTTTATGACTTGTGGGCTTCAATTCCCAGAATTCCTCAGCCAGCGTGAGGGAACTAGGACCCTTTTATGACTGGTGGACTTCAACTCCCAGAATTCCTCAGTCAACGTGAGAGAACTATGAGACTTTTATGACTCGTGGACTTCAACTCCCAGAATTCCTCAGCCAGTGTGAGGGAACTAGGACCCTTTTATGACTGGTGGACTTCAATTCCCAGAATTCCTCAGCCAGCGTGAGGGAACTAGGACCCTTTTACGACTCGTGGACTTCAATTCCCAGAATTCCTCAGCCAGCGTGAGGGAACTAGGACCCTTTTATGACTGGTAGACTTCAACTCCCAGAATTCCCCAGCCAACGTGAGGGAACTATGAGCCTTTTATGACTCGTGGACTTCAACTCCCAGAATTCCTCAGCCAGCGTGAGGGAACTAGGACCCTTTTATGACTCGTGGGCTTCAATTCCCAGAATTCCTCAGCCAGGTGCCTGCCTGGCTGAGGAATTCTGGGAGTTGAAGTCCACAAGTCATAAAAGGGCTCAGTTTGAAGAGCCCTGACACAGATGGTCTTTGATATATGACAGGTCGCTTAGCAACCGTTCAAAGTTACAATGGATCTTCCTGGGGGTATCTGCAACCTGGTTCTGAGTTCTGACGGCTGCCCCCCCCCTCGTGATCACATGACTGCGTGACAGGAGCTTGGCAACTGACCCCCATCGATAGGCCGTTGGCAGGGTCCCATGGTCACACAACCACGTTGTCTTTCCTTTTATTTATTTATTAAATTTATACACCGCCCGTACCGCTCTTTCTAGTGGTTTTGGCCAAAAATGGGCCTTCTCTTCTATTGTTTGGCAAAACTGACCCATAGCAAAGCATTTCGGTTCACTTAATGACGCTGTTGGTCGCTTAGCAACTGCTGCAAAGGAAGTCGTGAAATCGGGTCCTTCACATGGGTGACCCGCTTTACGACCATCAGGAGTTACGATGGCGTCGCATGAGGTATCACTACACCACTAACCGCTCATGGTGGTTAAAGGCATTTGACTTTCAGTGGGAAAAAAAGAGAGAGTCTGGTCTGGTGGCTGAGGCACCAGGCTAGAAAATGGGAGACGGGGAGTTCTAGTCCCACCTTAGGCACAAAAGCCAGCTGGGTGTCTTTGGGCCTATCACCAGGAGACGGTGAGTTCTAGTTCTGCCTTAGCCAGGAAAGCCAGCTGGGTGACTTTGGGCCAATCACCAGGAGATGGTGAGTTCTAGTCCTGCCTTAGGTAACTTTGGCCCTGTCCCTCTTTCTCAGCCCAACCCACCTCACAGGGTTGTCGTTATGGAGAAAGCAGGAAGAGGAAGTTGTATTGGCTATGTTAGTAATAGTAGTAGTAGTAAAGTTGGAAGGGATCTTGGAGGTCATCTAGTCCAACCCCCTGCTCAGGCAGGAAACCCTACACCATTTCGGACAAATGGCTATCTAGTCTCTTCTTAAAAACTTCCAGTGTTGGAGCATTTACTGCTTCTGGAGGCAGGTGGTTCCACCGGTTAATTGTTCCACCTGTCAGGAAGTTTCTCTTTAGTTCTAGGTTGCTTCTCTCCTTGATGAGTTTCCACCCGTTGCTTCTTGTCCTGCCTTCAGGTGCTTTGGAAAATAGCTTGATTCCCTCTTCTTTATGGCAGCCCCTGAGATATTGGAATACTGCTATCATGTCCCCGCCTTGAGTGATTTCCAAAAATAATAAAGACGGGATACGAACAAGAGACAAGCAAATAAAAGGGTTCCGGGATTCCTTGCAAAATCGGAACGCTTCAACCGCAAAGACACACAGACCAGATTTCCCGGTTTGCAACAATCCTCCTTGCGAAATTTTGTTTAATCAGGTGAAGTTACTGCTCTCCTGGCAGGAGAGATCAGAAGAGATCAGACACCTTCCCCCCCCCCCCGTGGGGGCTTTTATCTAGGACACCAGCCCTCCCCAAAGCAAGCCACATCCTTGTTCCCAGGAATGTGATCTTCGCTTCTGTTTCTTGATTGCTCAAAAGGAAATAAATCTTTGCATCTCCCACTCCCTAAGGTTGCTTCCCCTTCTCTCAAACCCATACATACATCTTCCTTATGGTTACCATTGGTGTAATCGGGTGACACCCTACTTGTAGGTCTCTGTCAGAGAGTTGGATTGTTGCCATCTGAAATGGCTGTGTCCCCATCTGCAAATCTGGCCCAGGAGTTTGAAACACCCTGACTGCATTCACACGATCAGCTTAATGGAGTCAGTTAGAAATCTAGGAACTGCATTCACACAATATACTGGCCTTTGTCAGTATATTGAAACATATAAGGAACGGTTGCAGGAATTGGGCATGTCTAGTTTAACGAAGAGAAGGACGAGGGGGGACAGGATAGCAGTCTTCCAGTATCTCAGGGGCTGCCCCAAAGAAGAGGGAGTCAAGCTATTCTCCAAAGCACCTGAAGGCAGGACAAGAAGCAATGGGTGGGAACGAATCAAGGAGAGAAGCAACCTAGAACTAAGGAGAAACTTCCTGACAGAACAATTAACTAGTGGAGCAACTTGCCACCAGAAGTTGTGGGTGCAGGAATTTAGTATGTCTAGTTTAATGAAGAGAAGGACCAGGAGTGACATGATAGCAGTGTCCCAATATCTCAGAGGCTGCCCCAAAGAAGAGGGAGTCAAGCTGTTCTCCCAAGCGCCAGAAGGCAGGACAAGAAGCAACGGGTGAAAACTAACCAAAGAGAGAAGCAACCTAGAACTAAGGAGAAACTTCCTGATAGAACAATTAACCAATGGAACAACCTGCCTCCAGAAGCGGTGAATGCTCCAACCCTGGAAGTTTTTAAGAAGAAACTGGACAGCCATTTGTCCGAAATGGTATAGGGTTTCCTACCTGAGCAGGGGGTTGGACTAGATGACCTCCAAGGTCCCTTCCAACTTTACTTATTATTATTATTATGGATCATCGCACAGTCAGCCAGATGTTCAGACTGGATTTGGCATTTTGTCTACCTATCGAGTCCTTACCCAGGACCTGGGATAGGCAGATGTGGATGTTTGATGGTATTACAGATATCGTCGCAGGATGGAAGCAGTTCCTAGCAAGGCCGCCTTTTGCAATTGACTAATGGCGAATTTGTCAATGCCAATGGTGTCCAAGTGGTGCTCCAGTTGTTTTGGGATTGCACCCAAGGAGCCTATGACTATTGGTACTACCCTTGCTTGCTTTTGCCACAGTCTTTCTATTTCTATTTGTAGGTCTTTGTATTTTGTTATCTTCTCCAGTTCTTTCTTGTCTATTCTGCTACTACTACTACTACTACTACTACTACTACTACTACTACTACTATTATTATTATTATTATTATTATTATTATTATTATTATTATTATTATTATTATTATAGTATCAATCCTGGTTAGTTTTTTTTATGGTTTGCTGGGTTGTAAAGAGTTAGGACTACTATGAGCATTACTACTAGTCTAATTCTGATAGAACTAGAACTAGCATCGTGCAATCTGCCCGGTTGGAAGTCCTTTCTTGTGAGTCCAAAATGGAGACCTCAACATCCCTGAAGGCATGATGGGAGTTGGCTCTGATAATCCACATGTTTTCTTGGGCTTTCTTGGTGGGACCAGAAGGCAGCTGAAGCCAAGTGGCTTATATTTAAGACTTACGTTTAAATCGATCTCCAGGAAATGTCCTGTAACTAACGGCAAGCTGGAGACAGTATACTGGACGCTTCCCAGTATTCCCAAAGGAACCAGAGCTGTAGAGAATGAGAAGGTCAACAGGGGCCATCCCTCGCCACCTCCCCATGCTTGCATCATCAAGTCACACATCCTTAGAGCAACGTGGTCTGGCCTTTGTAGGGGCCATTTATAGCTACATTTCTCTTCTAAAGTGGAGGAGGAGAAGGAGAGGGAGGAGGAGGAGGAGAGGAAGAAGTAGGAAGAGAAGAGGAAGGAGGAGAAAAAGTAGGGGGAAGAGGAGGAAAAAAGAAGAAGAGGAAGAGGAGGACGAGAGGAAGAAATAGGAAGAGGAGGAGGAGAAAGAGAAAAAGGAAGGGTAGAGGGAGAGGGAGGAGGAGGAGGAAGAGGAGAAATAGGAAGAGAAGAGGAAGAAGGAGAAAAAGGGGAGGAGGAGGAGGAGGAGGACAGGGAGAAATAGGAAGAGGAGAAGGAGGAGAAAGAGAAAAGGGAAGGGGAGGGGAGAGGGATGAGGAGGAAGAGGAGGAGGAAGAGGAGGAGAAGAGGAGGAGGAAGAGGAAGAGGAGGAGGAGGAGAAGAAGAAGGAGAAGAAGAAGAAGAAGAAGAAGAAGAAGAAGAAGAAGAAGAAGAAGAAGAAGAAGAAGAAGAAGAAGAAGAAGAAGAAGAAGAAGAGAGAAGAAGGGGAAGGGGGGGAAGGGGAAGGGGGGGAAGGGGAAGGGGAAGGGGAAGGGGAAGGGGAAGGGGAAGGGGAAGGGGAAGGGGAAGGGGAAGGAGGAAGGAGAAGGAGAAAGAAGAAGAAGAAGAAGAAGAAGAAGAAGAAGAAGAAGAAGAAGAAGAAGAAGAAGAAGAAGAAGAAGAAGAAGAAGAAGAAGAAGAAGAAGAAGAAGAAGAAGAAGAAGAAGAAGAAGAAGAAGAAGAAGAAGAAGAAGAAGAAGAAGAAGAAGAAGAAGAAGAAGAAGAAGAATCCAATTTTTGGCAGAAACAGAACCGAGAAAAAATATAGCACTGCATGTTTTCAGTCTCTCTGCCACGAAGAAGAGTCTTCAAACATACGGGAAGAAGAAAGCAAAAACACTCACAATTCACAAGTCCAAGCTGGTCATTCACAAGGCCCAGGACAACGTCAAGGACAGGACAAAGCTGGAAAATTTAAAATGTGTGTGACTTTCTTGCAGCAAATGTCAGGAAACAAACTGGCAGAAGAGACAAAGAAGCCACCATATTCGTGGTCATCTCCATCTCTTCTGCCCTTGACAGTTTCTTCATTGCGTGGAAGAAGACATTCAAGGTCACCACCACACATGAGCAAGTTTTGTGGTTGAGACCTTTTGCTTCCTGTGTTAGGAACTTTGTCTTGTTGGGTTTACGGTTCTGAGCTACCTGCCTGTCCAGACCAATCACCTCACTTACCAGATCAGGAAGGAGCCTGTTAAGGACACGGGCTAGTAAGTTGTCCACAATTGGAAGAAGGCTGCAGAGAAGAACGAAATAAGGACATGAGGAACATCTCCAGTGTGACCAATTGGCAGAAGAACATTTGGGGAGCAAAGGGGCATCTCCATTAGCACAGCTGCTGACTCTGATTGAGTCAGATCTTCTCGTTCTAGCTGTCACAGATCCTTCAAGACTTCTCACCAAGAAAGAAACATCAAATTAACAAATGTTTCCAGCTCTTGATTTCCCTCATCTAAGTTATGGTGGACCTAAAGTTCTGAAGACCAAGAGAGATAGTCTTTAGAGTAGCCTTCAGCTCTTTTTGGAGGGGGCAAGAGTTTTAGGGGCACATGGAAGCTGTCCATGCGTGGTTCCCCAACTGAGCACTTCAGATAATCTTTCCCTAATTTTATGCCACTTTAGGAAGCTGTGAAAAGATACAAGAACTAGCTAAAAATTCAAAACCACCATTTAATTGTGTGTTGGTGGGTAAGAAAGTCAGTAGAAAGAGTCTTTTTTTGGCACATACATGATGTTTTACAGAATAAGTGGGCCTAATTAAAGGGCAAAGCTAAATGATGGCCTTTGAGTTGGCTTAAATAAACAGAATTGTTGATTTAGACAGTCCTCACTTAACGATAGAGCTGAAAACTCTATTGTTGAACAATGCGGTCACTAAGCATGACTTCGTACGACTGCACTGCTTACCAATGGCAGTTTCAGCAGTCCCAGTTGCTTTTGTTAAGTGCATCACAAGAGCTGTTAAGTGAGGATCTGTTACTTGCGATTTCCCGCCGGCTTCCCCAGTGACTGTTTGCGGGCAATTGGCAGGAAAGCTCGCAAATGGCAGTCCCATGACTGTGGAATGCTGCAAATGTTACATTTGTGAGCTGGTCACTGATTTGTCCAAATCGTGATCTGGTGACCACGGGGACCCTGTAATGGCTGTAACTCTGAGGATCAGACACAAGTTAAGTGAGGTCTACTCGCATTATATCACCAGCTATAATAAGCACGAACAAATGTTAGAAATGAAAATATGAAATTGGTCAAGAAGGTGATAGCCGAGGAGGGACTGAGGCCCTGTCTGGTGGTGCTCACCCTCTAAGGAGTCTAATTTTAATGCCTCCCAGAAGCGTATCACAATGATCAATCACCAACGTGGGGTAGCCGGTGCCGTCCATCGTCAGACGGACGATTGCCGTGATGTTCACCTCTACTGCAATGTCGAGCAAACCAAGGAGGCTGAAACAGAAGGGATGAGAAAAGAGTGTTCAGGTCACCCATGACTTGTCTAATTTGGTTTGTGGGGTCCTTGGTGCTCTCTGAGTTTGGTGGTTTTCTTACAGATGTTTCGTGAACAACATATGAAACATCTGCAAGAAAGCTATCCAGCTCAGAGAGCACCAAGGACCCCACACTCCTCCTCCTCCTCCTCCTCCTCCTCCTCCCCCTCCTCTTTCTCTCCTCAAACCCTACTCCCTTCTAACAGTGATGATGTTATCTTAGTTCCCTCAACCATGTCAAGCCCCCCAGGAAATCAGGAGATTCAGACTGTTCAGATGAATTATTGCAAATTTAAGCTCCCTATAAGAATCTGGTCAATTGACCGTTAAGAGAAATGCGCAGGAGATAAGAGAGGCTGGACATAGATCTCTTGAGGGCACCAAGGGACTCATGATTTATAACGTGTTTGACCCCTCTCTCGGGCTTAGCCTGGTCACCTCCTATGTCCCGTTCATCATATATCCTGCTTACCTCTTCCCATTAAGTGCCACTCTGGTGTATAAATCCAGGTGGACCCCAATGCCAGGTAAGAGCCTCAGGTTGATCTTGGGAAGAGTCAGTTCCACAATTCGTAATCTGCAAGTAGAAGCAAAGTCGTTCAAGTAATCCCATCTCCACTGACCCATAATGCTAGAGTTGAGAGCCATCGATTGTAGAGGAAGCAGCTTAGACTGGAAATCAAAAAGGCTCCTAGCTAAATGCATATCATGTTTGATGTCCACCATCTACACCCCAATTTTGTTTCTTGGTCCTATTACAATTGGATGACTTTAATGTGTGTGTTTGTCCCAGTTATTCAGATCCCCAGCAACGGACAAGTGCAGGAAACAATTCAAATCAAGGGAACAGTCCATAAAAAGCTGAACGTCCACGCACAACCTTCATCTCTGACCAAAACTGATGGAGAAAGATAGTCTTTGGTGCCTTCTGAGATGTTGGAACAATCAGGACTATGTGGGGATAGGGTCCTTCAGCATGAAGAGGGCCTACAACAAAACATGTCCTAGTTTTCTTCATTTGAGCTCAATTTTGGAAGTTGCAATCCACCCAATGATCACCAGCATGAGAAGACCTTTCTTTTATTCACCCAGGGATATAATTTCTAAAGCTGGGGTCCCGATGAAGAGAACAAATCAGTGAGACTCAGAGGTTCTTACCCTGTCAGGCCTTGCACCGTGCTGAGAAGACCTCCTTCCCCAAGGATGCCAAGGACTCCGCCTCCATTGCCCAACAGACCTCCGTTGCCCAGGAGGCCCCCACCGCCACCAAGAATTCCTGCAGTGCCAAGCAGACCTCCATCACCCAGAAAGCCTCTTTGACCCAGAAGACCTCCAGCACCTGGGCCTCCACCGTTGCCACCAGCAGCCGCATTGAAACCCCTCCCTCCAAGCCTGCCTCCAGGGGTCCCACCAAGAAGTACCCTTCCTCCTGCCCCTGCTCCCCCTTCTCCTCCTTGACCTCCAGGAAGTCCTCCTCCTCTACGACTCCGTCTTCCTCCACCACCTCCTTCTCCTCCACTTCCACCAAGCTCACCTCCAGGAAGTTCTCCTCCACCACTACCTCCTCTTTCTCCACCATCACCATCACCAAGCATACCTCCAAGAAGTCCTCCTCCACCACCACCTCCTTGTCCTCCACCACCACCAAGCACACCTCCAAGAAGTTCTCCTCCACCACTACCTCCTCTTTCTCCACCACCAAGAACTTCTCCTCCACCATCACCACCAAGCATACCTCCAACAAGTCGTCCTCCTACATCCCTTCCTCTTCCTCCTCCTCCACCTCCTCTTCCTCCACCATCACCACCACCAAGCACACCTCCAAGAAGTCCTCCTCCACCACCACCTCCTTGTCCTCCATCACCACCAAGCACACCTCCGAGAAGTCCTTCTCCTCCACCCCCTCCTCTTCCTCCTCCACCTCCTTGTCCTTCACCACCACCAAGCACACCTCCAGGAAGTTCTCCTCCACCACTACCTCCTCTTTCTCCACCACCAAGAACTCCTCCTCCACCATCACCACCAAGCATACCTCCAACAAGTCGTCCTCCTACATCCCTTCCTCTTCCTCCTCCTCCACCTCCTCTTCCTCCACCATCACCACCACCAAGCATACCTCCAAGAAGTCCTCCTCCACCACCACCTCCTTGTCCTCCACCACCACCAAGCACACCTCCGAGAAGTCCTCCTCCACCACCACCTCCTTGTCCTCTGTCACCACCAAGCACACCTCCGAGAAGTCCTTCTCCTCCACCCCCTCCTCTTCCTCCTCCACCTCCTTGTCCTCCACCACCACCAAGCACACCTCCGAGAAGTCCTCCACCTCCTCCTCCTCTTCCACCACCAAGCACACCTCCGAGAAGTCCTCCTCCATCACCACCTCCTTGTCCTCCATCACCACCAAGCACACCTCCGAGAAGTCCTTCTCCTCCACCCCCTCCTCTTCCTCCTCCTCCTCCACCTCCTTCTCCTCCACCACCACTGAGCACACCTCCAAGAAGTCCTCCACCTCCTTCTCCTCCACCACCACTGAGCACACCTCCGAGAAGTCCTCCACCTCCTCCTCCTCTTCCACCACCAAGCACACCTCCGAGAAGTCCTTCTCCTCCACCCCCTCCTCTTCCTCCTCCACCTCCTTGTCCTTCACCACCACCAAGCACACCTCCAAGAAGTCCTCCACCTCCTCCTCCTCCTCCACCACCAAGCACACCTCCGAGAAGTCCTCCACCTCCTTCTCCTCCACCACCACCAAGCACACCTCCGAGAAGTCCTCCACCTCCTCCTCCTCTTCCACCACCAAGCACACCTCCGAGAAGTCCTCCTCCTCCTCCTCCTCCTCCACCACCAAGCACACCTCCGAGAAGTCCTCCACCTCCTTCTCCTCCACCACCACCAAGCACACCTCCGAGAAGTCCTCCACCTCCTCCTCCTCTTCCACCACCAAGCACACCTCCGAGAAGTCCTCCTCCTCCTCCTCCTCCAAGTAAGCCTCCAGTGAGGCCTCCCAGAAGGCCTCCACCCCCACCGCCCCCCAGGAGGCCTCCTAGCAGACCACCGTCTCCACCACCTCCATCGCCAAGGGGCACTTCTCTCATGGCGCCTTGAAGGGCGTTGCTTTGGGCCATCGAGTTGGTGACAGCTGCAAAACAAAGAACAAGGAAGTTGCACACGACAAGGAGGATTAGCAGGTTCCATATCTGGGGTGTCTTTTGTAAATAAGACCTAGTTTTTAATTCCAAGAGAAGTGGAACCCCTTCCATGGTTCTTCATCTCTTGGTTGCCCAAAAGATCAGGAATGTGAGGATGACCTGGATGGGTTCCCCTGGAACGCCCTACCACAGTGATGTTGAGGTTGAGCACCTGCTTTACATGCAGAGGTCCCCAGGTTCAACCTCCAGCCTTTCCAAAATAGGGACCTTCTCTACAGGAGTAGAGACCACTGAGAATCCACCAGCTCGCATCAATGGTGTTATGCAAAGCAGAGTAGACCGTACTAGACGGAGCAATGGTTTGATGCAGTCAAACACCCAGTGGTTGATGGCAGGCAGCAGACAAATAAGGGAAACGATTAAAAACATGGAAACGGTCCGTCAAAACAAGCTGGATGTCCACTCAGAACCTTCATTCCTGATCACCCCTGAAGAAAGTGAAGTCTTCTGGAGCAATTTGTTTTAGCATGCTTACTGTATGCGTTGTTCTAGTTGCTCAGTTCCTGAGCCGAAGACAAGCACCGGAACTAATTAAAAATCGTGTGAACAGTCCATTAAAAACTGGACGTCTGCTCAAAGCTTGACCATCCCTGAAGAAACATATTCTTGAAGTGTCTTCTGGAATGTCAGAAACAGTCATGTTTCTTGGTCATATTACAGGGAGGTGGTTTTAATGTATGTGTTTGTTTTGGCAAGGTTTGTCTTAGTCAGACCTTGAGCAACAGACAAGTACAGGAAACAATTACAAACATGGAGACAGTCCATAAAAATGCTGGATGTGCACTCAGACCTTCATCTCGGACCATCCCCGAGGGAAGATAGTCTTAAATACCAAGGAGAATATCTGCAGCTCAGGATTGAAATGAGGGGGTCCTTGGTGCTACCTGAGCTTGCTTGTTTTCTTGCAGTCCTTTCATGACCCAAACTAGGAAACATCATCAGAGCTAGAAGGGTGTGGGGGGGGTTATGGTGATAGTTGTGGTTGTGGTGGAGGAGGAGGGGGAGGGGGAGGGGGAGGAGAAGGAGAAGAAGAAGGAGAAGGAGGAGGAGGAGGAGAAGAAGAGGAGGAGGAGGAGGAGGAAAAGAAGAAGAAGGAGGAGGAGGAGGAGGAGGAAAAGAAGAAGGAGGAGGAGGAGGAGGAGGAGAGGAGGAGGAGGAGGAGGAGGAGGAGGAGGAGGAGAAAAAGAAGGAGGAGGAGGAGGAGAAGGAGGAGGAGGAGGAGAAGAAGAAGAAGAAGAAGAAGAAGAAGAAGAAGAAGAAGAAGAAGAAGAAGAAGAAGAAGAAGAAGATGAAGAAGAAGAAGAAGAAGAAGAAGAAGAAGAAGAAGAAGAAGAAGAAGAAGAAGAAGAAGAAGAAGAAGAAGAAGAAGAAGAAGAAGAAGAAGAAGAAGAAGGGGAGGAGGAGAACGAGGAGGCAAGGATGACAATGACTATGGGGTCCTTGGTGTTCTTTGAGCTTGCCTGTTTTCTTGCAGACATTTCATTACCTAACTAGGTAACATCATCAGTACTAGAAGGGAGGAGGGGGTTTGTGGTGGTGGTAATGGAGGAGGAGAGGAGGAAGAGGAGGAGGGGGAGGACGACAATTGTGGGGTCCTTGGTGCTCTCTGAGCTTGCTTGTTTTCTTGCAGACATTTCATTGCCCAACTAGGAAACATCATCAGTACTAGAAGGGGGGGTTGCACTGATGATGTTACCTAGTTGGGTAATGAAATGTCTGCAAGAAAACCACCAAGCTCGGAGAACCACCCAGGAGCATTCACAGACTTAAGTGTCTTCTGGAATGTCAGAACACTCAAGACCACGGGCGCCTCGGAGGGTAGCGTACTCCACAATGAGGAGGGTCTACTACTCCTAATTCTTTTTAGCTGGAGTTAAGTGAGGGAGGTAACAATCCATCTAACGATCGCCAACTCAAAACGTTCACCCTTTCATTTGCCTGAGGTGGTCATTTCTACAGCTGAGCCCCCCTCCCCCTCGTAGACACAACGGGACCTATTTGAACCCCTTTTCCTTGCTTGCGATCTTGGACTTACCATTATGCAACACGCCTTGGTTGACTCGGATGACCGCGTCGGTTGGAAGGAGTTGACTTTGGGAGGGGGTCAGCAACGCGCAGACCAGGAGGAGACCCCAGGCCGCTAACATCTTTGGTCAAGTGGCACCTGCTGAGATGCAACTGGAGCTGAGCACAGGTGTCCTTTCAACATTTCTCTCCATCTAACACAGGGGTCTCCAAACATGGCCCTTCATCATAAATTAAGTGGGATTTATGGACAGCCACTTCTCTGGAATGGTCTGCGGTCTCCTGCTTGAGCAGGGGGCTGGACTAGAGGACCTCCAAGGTCCCTTCCAGCTCTGTTATTCCATGATTCTGTAAGGGTCTCCTGCTTGAGTTTGGGGTTGGACTAGAGGACCTCCAAGGTCCCTTCCAGCTCTGTTATTCCATGATTCTGTAAGGGTCTCCTGCTTGAGTTTGGGGTTGGACTAGAGGACCTCCAAGATCCCTTTCAGCTCTGTTATTCCATGATTCTGTAAGGGTCTCCTGCTTGAGCTTGGGGTTGGACTAGAGGACCTCCAAGGTCCCTTCCAGCTCTGTTATTCCATGATTCTATAAGGGTCTGCTGCTTGAGTTTGAGGTTGGACTAGATGGCCACCAAGATCCCTTTCAGCTCTGTTATTCCATGATTCTGTAAGGGTCTCCTGCTTGAGCAAGGGGCTGGACTAGAGGACCTCCAAGGTCCCTTCCAGCTCTGTTATTCCTTGATTCTGTAAGGGTCTGCTGCTTGAGCTTGGGGTTGGACTAGATGACCTCCAAGGTCCCTTCCAGCTCTGTTATTCCATGATTCTGTAAGGGTCTGCTGCTTGAGCAAGGGGCTGGACTAGAGGACCTCCAAGGTCCCTTCCAGCTCTATCATTCCATGATTCTGTAAGGGTCTGCTGCTTGAGCTTGGGGTTGGACTAGAAGACCTCCTATGTCCCTTCCAGCTCTATTCTAATTGATTGATCTGTGAGCAGCTCAGAGTCAACATATCGCGGAGATGGGCGGCAGAAAAAAATCAATCAATCAATCAAAGAAATAAACCAGATAACTTCACCCAGCCAGCCAGCCACCCCGCTCTCCTTTACCTGGGTGTTTCCTTCTCAGGCTAACTGAGAATGGAGAATCTTGGTTTGCTAATTTTCAGTCCGTTTCTAGGCTGTTCATAGCCACCTCACCTCCTCCTCCTCCTCCTCCTCCAGGTTCTAGAACTATCGCAGTGGCACCACCATTTATATCAATTGCAAACAGTGGGTGGTCATGGACCGGGTGCCAGGGATATGGCGATAATGGGCTCAATCTTCTCTCTTTATCTGATTTCTCAAAGTTCAGTCTTTGTAATGAGTTGTAATTCGGTTAAGCCAGAGGTATCAAATGCCCAGCCAGTTCCACAATCTGTGATTCATTTGTCTCTGTCCAATAGGAGGGATGGAAGTTTTTTCACTAGAGACTAGACTAGACTAGACTAGACTAGACTAGACTAGACTAGAATAGAATAGACTAGACTAGAATAGAATAGAATAGAGAATAGAGAAGAGAAGAGAAGAGAAGAGAAGAGAAGAGAAGAGAATGGAGAATAGGATAGGATAGAATAGAATAGAATAGAATAGAATAGAATAGAATAGAATAGAATAGAATAGAATAGAGCTGGAAGGAACCTTGGAGGTCATCAAGTCCAACCCCCTGCTCAGGCAGGAAACTCTATACCATTTCGGACAACTGCCTGTCCAGTCTCTTCATAAAAACTTCCAGTGTTGGAGCATTCACCGCTTCTGGAGGCAGGTTGTTCCACTGGTTAATTGTCCTCACTGTTAGGAAGTTTCTCCTTAATTCCAGGTTGCTTCTCTCTTTGGTCAGTTTCCAACCATTGTTTCTCATCCTTCCCTCTGGTGCTTCGGAGAATAATTTGACCCCCTCCTCTTCTTTGTGGCAACCCCTCAAATATTGGAATACTGTTGTCATGTACCCCCTAGGCCTTATTTTCCCTAGACTGGCCACACCCTATTCCTGCAGCCGTTCTTCGTATGTTTTAGTCTCCAGGCCTTTGATCATCTTAGTTGCTCTTCTCTGGATTTTTCCCAAAGTCTCAACATCTTTTTTGTAATATAGTGAAAAAGTGGTTTTTTTCACTGGATGAAATGTCTACTTGGGAAGGCCCTCAATTCTGCAACTTTGTCCTGCACACACACCCCTTATGGAAAAGGGGATCATCTGTGAAGTCTCCATCATCCCGGTCACGGTTGTCCCAAAGATGCTTTTCAAAAGACAACTGGACATTCCTGGGATTTTTTTTTTTTTCTTGAACACCTTTCGCTTCTTCTCCAAGAAACTTCTTCGGTTCTTCGGTTCTTCAGTTCCAAGAAGCTCCTTCAATTCTGCTTTTTGGAACTGAAGGACTGAAGAAGCTGCTTGCAAAACATCTTCAAGGCAAAAACAAAAACAAAAACCTAAAGGACTCCAGTTGTCTTTTGGAAAAGCATTTTTGGGTTGTCTCTAGAACAGTGTTTCTCAACCTTGACAATTTTAAGGCATGTGGACTTCAACTCCCAAAATTCCACAGCCAGCAATGCTGGCTGTGGAATTCTGGGAGTTGAAGTCCACATGCCTTAAAATTGTCAAGGTTGAGAAACACTGCTCTAGAAAGACCTGGCCAGGTAAATCCTGCACAGGGTTTCAAAGTTCTAAAATGTCTCCTCTTTGTGATCCTAGGTGACAATCCACAACCTTTGTTCCTGTGACATCAGGGCACACGCCCAGAGAAGGGGAAAGCTGACCAAACATGACAAGGGAGACTCACTGATTGGGTTCAGACTACATGTTTCACCAGGTGAATTACAGAAGAGTTGGCACATCCCATTGTTGTTGTTAGTTGCGAAGTTGTGTCCGACCCATCGCGACTCCATGGACAACGTTCTTCCAGGCCTTCCTGTCCTCTACCATCTTCTGGAGTCCATTGAAGCTCCCGCCTCCTGCTTCAGGGACTCCATCCAGCCTCCTCATTCTCTGTCATTCCCTTTTTCTCTCACCCTCCATCTTTCCCAGCATCAGGCTCTTCTCCAGTGAATCCTTCCTTCTCATTAGGTGGATGGATGGGTGGATGGATAGATAGATAGATAGATAGATAGATAGATAGATAGATAGATAGATAGATAGATAGATAGATTGATAGATAGGTGTTCGTCCATCGATTTCGATGAAGACCTTGACATCTTGTGGGTTATGGGCCATCAATGATGTGTCCGTAGGTGGCTAATAAGACCGATGTTAGCACGGAATGTTCTGCCACATACTGAACAAAGAAATGTAGACACTGTTACTTCAGCATTTGAAGCTCTGGCTTTGCGGAGTGCTCGCTTCTCTTGTGCCAAGATTGTCCTTCTGTGTTCATATGTCTGGCAACCCTGGTACACCAAGGTGCGCCATGTTGGTTGATCATGCGCCAGAAGTTCCCAAGAGATGGTGTTAATATCCAGGGACTTAAGAGAAGCTTTTAACGTGTCTTTGTATCGCTTCTTTTGTCCCCCGTGTGATCGCTTTCCTTGAGACAGCTCACCATAGAAGAGCTGTTTAGGGATGCGATGATCTGGCATCCTTACAACATGGCTTGCCCAGCGCATCTGGGCTTTCATCAACAGAGTGTAAACTGATGATAGGCCTGCTCTGGAGAGGACATCTGTGTCCGGTATCTTATCCTGCCACCGGATCCTCAGAATTCTACGAAGGCAAGATATGGATATGGATAGATAGATATGGATAGATAGATGTTGTTAGTTGCGAAGTTGTGTCCGGCCCATCGCGACCCCATGGACCACATTCCTCCAGCCTTCCTGTCCTCTACCATCTTCTGGAGTCCATTGAAGCTCACACCTACTGCTTCAGAGACTCCATCCAGCCACCTCCTTCTCTGTCGTCCCCTTCTTCTCTTGCCCTCCATCTTTCCCAGCATCAGGTTCTTCTCCAGGGAGTCCTTCCTTCTCATTAGGTGGCCAAAGGACTTGAGTTTCAACACATCCCATTAATGTATAGTAATTTTAAACTACTGGGCATATCGTGTGACTCCAGTCTGGCTTGAGTGTTTCTCAGATCTGCAAATTTAAGACAGCTGGACTTCAACTCCTAGAATTCACCAGCCAGTTGTGCTAGGTAGCTACGTAGCTATGGATACATAGCTACGTAGCTATGTAGGAGTCCTAGTGGACGATCCCTTAAATAGGAGCCAGCCATGTGCTGCAGCTGCCCAAAAAGCCAACACAGTACTGGGCTGCATCAACGGAAGGATAGAATCAAGATCATGTGAGGTTCTCATACCACTTTATATCGCACTAGTGAGACCACACTTGGAATGTAGAACATAAAGTAATAGAACAGGAAGGGACCTCGGAGGTCTTCTAGTCCAGCCCCCTGCTCAAGCAGGTGACCTGATACCCTTATGGACAAATGGCTGCACCGTCCCTCCTTGAAAACCTCCAGTGATGGAGCACAACTTCTAGTGGCAGTCACTTGTCTGAAATAGTATAGGTTCTCCTGCTGGAGCAGGGGGCTGGACTAGAAGACCTCCAAGTTCCCTTCCAGCTCTATTCTATTCTTATCGGTTGAGGTGACTTGGGAGCCAGCCTAGTCAAAATATGGTCTCGATCTGAAGCCAATCAAAGCTTTCTCTAGATGGGGTGTGGCGGTGGTGTGTGTGTGTGTCCATTCTGGGCTCCACAAAGTCTGATTTAGCCCAGATTTCCTGTCTCCTTAATGTGGACATTGTTTGGAGAAATGGGTGGTGGCCCTCCCACAGACACTGAGCTAATGGAGGGCAGATTTCAACACCTTTGGGTTCTCCAAGAGAGGCTAAAAAGTGTTGGGATTCACATCAGCTTCTTATTCAACTCTCTCCAGGCCACAAAAGGCATCTTTGTCCTTCCAAACTGAACACTTAAGACCCAGGCGAGATAAAACTTGTGAATGCTTCCGTCTTTGCATAACAAGGAGGATTAGCTGTCCAGACACCAGCAATCTTAATGCTCATTAGCTCCCTTTCCAGATTAAAGCAAGAAAAATGTCTAATCTTTTTCCTGTAAACATCTCATTAGGTTCAGGTACTCCTTGACTTACCACCCCAATGGAGCCCAAGAATTAAATTAAATAGGAGCCAGCCGTGTGCTGCAGCTGCCAAAAAAGCCAACACAGTGCTAGGCTGCATTAACAGAGGGAGAGAATCAAGATCACGTGAAGTATTAATACCACTTTACAAGGCCTTGGTAAGGCCACACTTAGAATCCTGCATCCAGTTTTGGTCACCATGATGTAAAAAAGATGTGGAGACTCTAGAAAGAGTACAGAGAAGAGCAACAGAGATGATTAGGGGACTGGAGGCTAAAACATATAAGGAACGGTTGTTAGAATTGGGTATGTCTAGTTTAATGAAGAGAAGGATGAGGGGAGACATGATAGCAGTATTCCAATATCTCAGGGGCTGCTCCAAAGAAGAGGGAGTCAAGCTATTCTCCAAAGCGCCTGAAGGCAGGACAAGAAGCAACGGATGGAAACTCATCAAGGAGAGAAGCAACCTGGAACTAAGGAGAAACTTCCTGACAGTGAGAACAGTTAACCAGTGGAACAACCTGCCTCCAGAAGCTCTGAATGCTCCAACACTGGAAGTTTTTAAGAAGAGACTGGACAGCCATTTGTCTGAAATGGTGTAGGGTTTCCTGCCTGAGCAGGGGGTTGGACCAGATGACCTCCAAGGTCCCTTCCAACTCTATTATTGTTATTGTTGTTGTTATTATTATCTTTTATTCATTAGACATGAACCTCAGTCAACTGAACATTCAAATTGGCTGGCACTGATAGTTGACACAGGTTGCTACCAGCATCCTAGGTGTCAACCAGGTATTATTATTATTAATTATTATTAATTATTATCATTATTATCATCATTATCATTATTATCATTATCATCATCATCATCGTTGTTGTTGTTGTTATCATTATGTTGCTAAGCGAGACAGTCATTAAGTGAGTTTTGCCCCGTTTTATGATCTCTCTTGCCGCAGCTGTTGTGTGAATCACCGCAGTTGTTAAGTGAGTAACACGTGTGGGAAGTCAGCCCCCCTCCACCCAGAGAAAGAAATATTTTGGGAAATATTAAAAAGGCAGAATATTGTATTTCCCCAAAGGATGTTAAAGGCAGGAATCAACCCCCCTGCAAACAGAAACCAGGTCTGCAGAAATGCGGAGGTGATAATCTTGTCAGAAAGATTGGAGTCAGGAAGCTGGGATTAGAAAGGCAAAGATCTCTAGGGTCAACAATCCCTCACACCCAAAAATCCAACAATCGTCAGCCCCAGCCCCTGGGAAGCAGGATTTGACCTTTGGGACACAATAGGATTAACCCACCACTATCAGAATACCAGAAAGGCACACTCAGGTCAAAGTTCATGCCACAGGAACAACTCCAAACAAAAGCCCAAGAAGGTATAAAAGCCCACTCCCAACATGTGCTCGCTTTCTTTTCTTCCAGAGCCATTTTCCTGTCTGGCTCTCCTCATCAATAAAATGGCAACCTTCTTTCAGTCTCCATTTTGTTTATTCCCAGCTTCGACTGGACCCTGATAAAGATCTGTCTTTCTACACTCAGTTGTTAAGTGAACTGTTGACTTTGCTTGTCGGAAGGTCTCCAAAGGGGATCACGTGACCCCCGGGGACACTGCAAACCTTCATAAACACGAGTCGGTTGCCAGTGAGGGAGTGCCCACAATTTCTGAAGGCAGCTACTTGGTGGGAGAGAGGAAAACGCAGACGTGCATAGACACTGTAAACACCTTTTTATTGAGCAAGCTAATCAAGTCATCTCAGAGAGGGCGGTAGATCTCTAACAGTTGTAGATCTAAGGTGGTCCACGGTGAAGAAATGAAAGCAGTGATCGAAGCAACTGAGCTACTGAGGGAGAAGTTGGGACAGCTTGAGATTCGCCTGCTTCTAGAATGACGGAGAGGTTGAGGGAGGAGAGCCAGTTCCTCCACCTTGGAGTTCCTTCATTCGGTGTCTTATTTAAGGATCTTATTGATCACCACCACCTCCTGGAGAGCAGAAAAGAGGTGCACTCAGAATTGGTCAACCAGACAGAGGGATCCAAAAGAGAGAGTCGTGGAGGGCAAAGGCTTTCTGCTAGGAGGGCCACCAGCGTGGGGTTAATATGGTCTGCAGGACTTCAAGTAGGGGAATTCTGTTGCCCACAGCCCTGACTCCACGCTAGACGATCTGATTGGCCACAGGGAGAAGAAGGCTGGCTGGCATGGTCTGAGCCAAAGGACACCTTCCTTCTTTCCTTCCTTCCTTCCTTCCTTCCTTCCTTCCTTCCTTCCTTCCTTCCTTCCTTCCTTCCTTCTTTTATTTCACCATCCATCCTCCTTCCTTCCTTCCACCCTTCCTTCCTTCCTTCCTTCCTCACTTCTTCCTTCCTTTTACCATCCATCCATCCTTCCTTCCTTCCTTTCTTTCTTTCTTTCTTTCTTTCTTCCTTCCTTCCTTCCTTCCTTCCTTCCTTCCTTCCTTTTCTTTCACCATCCATCCTCATTCCTTCCTTCCACCCTTCCTTCCTTCCTTCCTTCCTCATTCCTTCCTTCCTTTTACCATCCATCCATCCTTCCTTTCTTTCTTCCTTCCTTCCTTTTATCATTCATCCTCCTTCCTTCCTTCTTTCCTTTCACCATCCATCCATCTTCCTTCCACCCTTCCTTCCTTCTTCACTCCTTCCTTTCATCTATCCATCCATCCATCCCCTTCCTTCCTTCCTTCCTTCCTTCCTCACTTACCATCCATCCTTTCTTTCTTTCTTTCTTTCTTCCTTCCTTTCACCATTCATCCTCCTTCTTTCCTTCTTTCCTTTCACCATCCATCCATCTTCCTTCCTTCCACCCTTCCTTCCTTCTTCATTCCTTCCTTTCACCATCCATCCATCCTCTTTCTTTCTCTCTTTCTTTCTTCCTTCCTTCCTTCCTTCCTTCCTTCCTTCTTTCCTTCCTTTCTTCCTTCCACATTTAAATTCTGGTCTTTGTAAACTCTGCACTTCGTCAAGTTTCCCCTTGGATGTGGAGGTAAAAATATTGCATTTTGCCCTTGAGAGGTCTGAGTGGGTCAGGTCTCATTTCTTGAAGACAACGACCACCAGCTTGGAAGGAATCTTTCTTGAGGAAATAAACAAGCTCTTACATCAAGGGTTTCAACAACACCGTCAGCAAAGTTCAGGTTGAAAATATTCGGCAGCGGGATGTTCAGGCCAACTAAACAAAAACAACGAAACCACAGAGTTAGATCCGACATCATAAGTGTTTCTCTAGAAGCCATGATGATATCACCTACGACTTCTTTGCAAATTACTTAATGTGTGTCGTTTCCACGATGACACTGCTGTATAAAGTGCATCATGGAACTGGCCTCCTCCCCAGCTCACAATACATTTGTCGAAGTGCAACTCCCCTTCACTACAGTAACACAAATCAGATGTCCTACCGTTAATCAGAGGCAGATACCCGATCTGAAGGATGTTTGTGATCCAGTTTGTAAGGGCATTTTCCTGCAAAAAAAAAAAAAAAATGGGGGAGAATTATTTCTATTTTTTGCAACAGGATTTTGCAATTAGTAGCACATAGGCTACATTTAAAATGTTCAGTGGCTGACTCCCCAGCACGATCCCCCCCTCTCCTTCTTTTTTTAGCTAGGCTGTTGCATTGTCTATAATGTGCAATATATTATTTGCTGAGTTTTATCTTTTTAATATCGGAAGCTGCTCAGAGTTACAGTGTTACACACTGGGGCAAGATATAAATTTAATAAATAAACCCTCCGGGTTTTGCTCCCCTGTCCCTGCGGATCCTGGAAAGTCATAATCAGCTAATGAAAGGTCTGATTCCCATTGTTTATTCATGTAGAGGAAGTCCTCAGCTTACGACGATTCCATTAGCCACCGTTTGAAGTTACAGCAGCACTGAAAAAAGGGACATTTGTTTTATATTCTGTCTTAATTACTTTATAAATAACTCTGGGCAGCGAACGTATCTGACACACTATCCTCACCCTATTTTCCCCACAACCACAACCCTGTGAGGTAGGTTGGGTTAAGAGAGGAAGGGACTGAGCCAAAGTCACCCAGCTGGCTTTAATATCTAGGGCAGAACTAGAACTCACCGTCTCCTGGTCATTGGTCCAAAGTCACCCAGCTGGCTTTTGTGCCTAAGGCGGGACTAGAACTCACTGTCTCCTAGTGATTGGCCCACAGTTAACCAGACATCTTTCATGTCTAAGGCGGGACTAGAATTCACCATCTCCTGGTGATTGGCCCAAAGTCACCCAGTTGGCTTTCATGCTTAAGGTGGGACTAGAACTCACCGTCTCCTGGTGATTGGCCCAAAGTCACCCAGCTGTCTTTTCTGCCTAAGGCGGAACTAGAACTCACTCCTTCTAATAAGAAGCCTCAAGCATCCACCCAGATAGTTCTAACTCACCTGATCAACGAAAATATATTTTCTAGCATTTGTGTTGCAAATAAGTTGTAGGAGACAGACTTACATCAAAAGAGCCCATCTCAGAGACATCAAGGGAGACGCTGTGAATATGAAAATGAAGACATTTATAAGACATCTGATGTGTCCGAACAGGCCACAGAGGTGCATCATGAGGTCAGGAGCATGTCAAGTCAGGGGTCTCCTAAACTTGGCAACGTTAAGACTTGTGGGCTGGAACTCCAAGCCTGCTTTGGAAAATAGCTTGACTCCCTCTTCTTTGGGGCAGCCCCTCAAATATTGGAAGATGCTATCATGTCGCCCCTGGTATTTTATTTTCCTGCAATCAGTTCTTCATATGTTTTAACCTCCAGGTCCCTAACTAGCTGCATATCATCCCAATTTAGTCCAAGGAGGTCTCAGAAGGATGACCAGCTATCTCTCTAGGACAGTGGTGGCGAACCCATGGCACGGGTGCCAGAGGCGGCACTCAGAGCCCTCTCTGTGCCCCAGTCCTAGGCCTTTAGCTGGGTTTTATAAAACCTTTTCGCTTTAGGCGTCCGCCACCGTGTGCAAAAAAAAAGGTTCAATCTGTAAGGCCCCCCCCCCCCCACTTTGCATCTTAAGAAGACAGAACTCTTGGAATAATTCTTCCAACAGGAATCCTTTATTAAGAAGAAGTGGTTGCAGGCATGCTAGACAGGACTTGGGATCCAAGCTCTCCCATTCAAGGTTTTAAGGGGTTCCCCAGTAGCCCCACCCAATCAACCCCCTCTTTCAGCGACAGTCTCGGGCATTATACTTCCACCCCCCTTTTCATCACTGCCCGGCTGGATGGAGACTTCAAAGAAACTACATGGAAGGAAATGGCCCTATTCTTATGGTTAGTTCTTTTGCAATGCACACATTCAGTTCCTTAGAAGTCTACTGAAGGAAGTGAGGGCCATAAAGCCCCTTTGTTCACCCCCTTCTCTCCCTCTTATGGCAGAATCCAGAGAAGGCAGAATTGGGGTTTTCTATATTTGATAACTAGAGATGAAATATAATTGGATTCTGACACAATCAATCAGTCAATTTCAACTTCTCGCGGGGCAAAAAAAAAAATCTTGCAAAGTTGGAATGGATTGATTGAACTTTTTAATCCCACCCTGTCTACTGTTACCACCGCAGCCACGCCCACCCAATGGACCACACCCACCCAATGGGCCACACCCACCCAATGGGCCACGCCCACCCAGCCCCCGAAGATGCATAAGTGGGTTTTGGGTTGTAGTTTGGGCACTCGGTCTCTAAAAGGTTCGCCATCACTGCTCTAGGATGTTTATGCTGGGCACTACCTGTTGGAAATTATTCTATGCAAGCTGAATAGTTTGTGGGTGTTCCAACACTGAGGTTTTTTAAAGAAGAGATTGGACAACTATTTGTCTGGAATGGTACAGGGTCTCCTGCCTGAGCTGGGGGTTGGACTAGATGACCCCCAAGGTCCCTTCCAATGCTGTTATTCTGTCTAACAAAGAGAAGGGCCAGGGGTGACATAATAGCAATCTTCCAATATTGGAAGGGCTGCCACAAAGAAGGCAGGGTTCCACCTATTCTCCAAAGGATCTGAAGGCAGGACAAGAAGCAACGGATGGGAAACGACCAAGAGAGAAAATTATCAACTAATCAAGGAGAGAGCCCATCTAGAATTAAGTAGAAATTTTGTGACCGTGAGAACAGTTAGTCCAGTGGAACAGCTTGCCACCAGAAGTTGTGGGTTGCTCCATCATTGGAGGCTTAAATAGAAGAGATTGCACATCCATTTGTCTGGAATGGTATAGGGTCTCCTGCTTGAGCAGGGGGTTGGACTAGAAGACCTCTAAGGTCCCTTCCAGCTCTATTGTTCTGTTATTCTGAATTGGGCTGAAGGACACATCATCCTCCAATAAGCCCTGTTAGTCCAAAGGTCACAATCGCACAGGTGATTTAGAGTTTGCTTACCTTTCCAAGGCTAGAGAGATTCCCAGCTGGGTTCGTGTAACACTGAAGCTTCCGCTCAGCCTGATATTCTGTAATCATAACATCAACCAAAAAAAGCTAATGCAATCCTGGGTTGTATAAACAGAGGCATAGAATCAAGATCACACAAAGTATTAGTACTGCTGTATAAAGTACAGGCAGGATTTCGAAGAGGCAGAGGAACTAGAGATCAAATTGCCAACATACGCTGGATCATGGAGAAAGCTAGGGAGTTCCAGAAAAACATCTACTTCTGCTTCATTGACTATGCAAAAGCCTTTGATTATGTGGATCACAACAAATTGTGGCAAGTTCTTAAAAAGATGGGAGTACCAGACCATCTCATTTGTCTCTTGAGAAACCTATATGTGGGTCAAGAAGCAACAGTGAGAACCGAACACGGAACCACTGATTGGTTCAAAATTGGAAAAGGAGTCCGGCAAGGCTGTATACTTTCGCCCTGCCTATTTAACTTATATGCAGAGCACATCATGAGAAAGGCAGGGCTAGATGAATCAAAAGTTGGAATTAAGATTGCCGGGAGAAATATCAACAACCCAAGATATGCAGATGATACCACTCTAATGGCAGAAAGTGAAGAGGAACTAAAGAGCCTCTTGATGTGAGTGAAGAAGGAGAGTGCAAAAGTTGGCTTGAAACTCAACATTAAGAAAACCAAGATCATGGCATCTGGCCCTCTCAATTCCTGGCAAACAGATGGGGAAGAAATGGAGGTAGTGACAGATTTTATTTTTCTGGGCTCCAAGATCACCTCAGATGGGGACTGCAGCCAAGAAATTAAAGGACGCTTGCTCCTGGGGAGGAAAGCTATGGCAAATCTAGACAGCATTCTAAAAAGCAGAGACATCACCCTGCCAACAAAAGTGCGTATAGTCCAGGCCATGGTTTGCCCAGTTGCAAGGTATGGCTGTGAAAGTTGGACCATAAGAAAGGCTGAGCGCCAAAGAATGGAGGCCTTTGAACTCTGGTGCTGGAGAAGACGCCTGCGAGTCCCTTGGACTGCAAGGCGTTCAAACCGGTCAGTCCTAGAAGAGATCAACCCTGACTGCTCTTTAGAAGGCCAGATCCTGAAGTTGAAACTCAAATACTTTGGCCACCTAATGAGAAGGAAGGACTCCCTGGAGAAGAGCCTGATGCTGGGAAAGATTGAGGGCAAGAGAAGAAGGGACAACAGAGAATGAGGAGGCTGGATGGAGTCTCTGAAGCAGTAGGTGTGAACTTAAATGGACTCCAGAAGATGGTAGAGGACAGGAAGACCTGGAGGAACGTTGTCCATGGGGTCACGATGGGTCGGGCGCGACTTCGCAATTAACAAAAACAACATAAAACCCTAGTGAGGCCACACCTGGAATACTGCAGCCAATTTTGGTCACCATATCACAAAAAAGATGTTGAGACTTTAGAAAAAAAAAATCAGAGAAGAGCAACTAAGATGATCCAAGGCCTGGAGACTAAAACATATGAAGAAAGGCTGCGGGATTTGGGTTTGGCCAGTCTAGAGAAAAGAAGAAATAGGGGCGGCATGATAGCAGCATTCCAGTATTTGAGGGGCTGCCCCAAAGAAGAGGGAGTCAAGCTATTCTCCAAAACACCTGAAGGCAGAACAAGAAACAACAGCTGGAAACTGACCAAAGAGAGAAGCAACCTGGAATTAAGGAGAAACTTCCTGACAGTGAGAACAATTAACCAGGGGAACAGCTTCAGAAATCATGGACGCCCCATCACTGGAGATCTTTAAGAAGAGACTGAACATTCACCTGTCTGAGTCAGTGTATATTCTCCTGCTTGATCAGGGGGCTGGACTAGAAGACCTCCAAGGTCCCTTTCAGGTCTATTCTATGCTATCAACCTCAACTTCCTCGTCTCAAGTAAGGGTCTTCTTAGAATTTAACATTCTTCAATGTTGCTTCAAAGAAACTCTTCTATTCAATGATCCTTTCCAATGTCTACTTAATGAATGCCTAATTAAGCACACTTGCTTCCCAACAAGTCATTGTCGTGCCCTGCGAGGCTGTCAGGGTGTGGTAGGGAACCTATCAGTTAACTTCGCCGCCCTCCAGCTGACCCAACTGAAAAGGACCTTTCCCTGTTTCCCGATGACGCAATTGCTTCCTGTTCGCCCCGTGTCGGTCGGCCATCCCCAGAATTCCCGGTGGCGCTGCAGCGCGCATGTGACATCATCACCCGGCGTCTCCTTACGATCTAGATAGCATACTTTGGAGCCTTGGAACCTCGCAGGGGCCGACAAAAGGCTGAGGACTGTTGTTGGACATGGGGCTGGATGGATTGTCGGGAAGGAATAAGGGCGCGGTGGGCGCGGCAGTTATATATTTTTCGACCGGATGGTGGTTTACCAAGTGTCGGCTGGGTGATGTTGGTTCCGGTGTGGGTGGGGTGGGTAGGTCCCTTATGTAAAGGCACGGAGAACAGGCGATTCTCAGTGCCGACTTTTTCCCATCTACACATCGTAGTAAAGTTCAGCTTGTTCATCGTTCCTGTTTGCGGCTTTTTTTTTCCCCTTGTGGAGCACCAAGCTAGGGCGACGTAACAATCATCTACTGGGAGACCAGAAAGCCTGGTTTCTCTGCAGTCCCCAACCCAACTCAACAGGAAGGAAGCCATTCACGGAGTAGGAAAAAAACCCACATTTTTTACTGCGCCAATGAACGGGTCTCTCTTGAAAACGGAGCAGCTGAGCAGGCCCGGACATTCCTGGCACACCTTGAAAGCCCCAGTGTGCTTGGAGAGAGCTCACCAAGGATCAGAAGACCTACTTCTGTGATAAGGTGGCCGGGTTTAGAAGCCGCAAAGTCCCACTGGCTGCAACAGCTACCCTTATCAGTAAATAAAGAGAATTAAAGCCGGTAATTAGGGACAAGGAAGTTGAGAGATTTGAAACAGGGGGAGGCCCCAAGGAATCAGTGGTTTCCTGATGGTGAGAACAATTAATCAGTGGAACCACCTGCCTCCAGAAGTGGTGAATACTCCAATAATGGAAGTTTTTAAGGAGAGACTGGACAGCCATTTGTCCGAAATGGCATAGGGTTTCCTGCCTGAGCAGGGGGTTGGACTGGATGACCTCCAAGGTCCCTTCCAACTTTATTATTATTATTATTATGGATCATCGCACAGTCAGCCAGATGTTCAGACTGGATTTGGCATTTTGTCTACTTATCGAGTCCTTACCCAGGACCTGGGATAGGCAGATGTGGATGTTTGATGGTATTACAGATCTCGTCGCAGGATGGAAGCAGTTCCTAGTAAGGCCGCCTTTTGGAATTGACTAATAGCGAATTTGTCAATGCCGATGGTGTTCAAGTGGTGCTCCAGGTGTTTTGGGATTGCACCCAAGGAGCCTATCACTATTATTATTATTATTATTATTATTATTATTATTATTATTATTATTATTATTATTATTATTAGTCTGGTGACCCTTCCAAGTCAATGTGGGGAGAATGCAGAGAAAGAAATATTTTGGGAAATATTAAAAAGGCAGAATCTATTTCCCCAAAGGATCTTAATGCCCCCCCCCCTCCAGTCTCTCTGCCCCAAACAGAAACCAGGTCTGCAGAAATGCAGATGTGATAATCTTGTCAGAAGAACTGGAGTCAGAAAGCTAGGATTAGAAAGAAAGAATCAACAATCCCTCACACCAAAAAAGTTGAACAGTCATCAGCCACAGTGGCAGGGAAGCAGGATATGGCCTTTGGGACATAATAGGATTAACCCACCACCATCAGAATACCAGAAAGGCACACTCAGACTCAGGTCAAAGTTCATGTCACGGGAACAACTCCAAACAAAAGCCTCCAGAGGGTATAAAAACCCACTCCCAACATGTGCTCGCTCTCTTTTCTTCCAGAGTCATCTTCCTGTCTGGCTCTTCAATAAACTGCAACCTTCTTATTAAAACAGTTGCCATGTTGTTTATTCCCGGCTTGGACTGAACCCTGATGAAGATTTTTTTCTTTCGACATCAAGGATCACCCAATGAGTACGAGGAACTTGGCCTTCTCTCCTTACTCACCGTGTTCACGTTAAACAGCAGGATGAGGCTAGAGTTGGAACGGGAGAATATTTGAAGGCCAGCCTCAAGCAGGATCGTGGCCTTCCCATTTTGCAAAGACACCACCGGAAGTCCACGGACTCTAATCTTGACCACCAAGGGCAGATCTTCTGCTCCAAGCTGAGACAACTGTGGACAATCGGACAGAAGGAATGGTTAGGACCCACCAGAAGGGGCAGAACATCCCCCCTGGCCATTATCCCAAAACTGCTTCCCTCCACACACACACACACACACACACACACACACACACACACAGGCAACTGGACTTCCTTATGGAAAACGAAAATGTTGGCTATTGTTCTTCTATGCAAGATTTAGGCCCAGGTGAACTAAATCAGTCCTCGTGGAAAAAAATATTGCACCGAAGTCTCTGCTATGCAGTCCGGGGGAAACTATTTGTAATCTAAAGTGCAATTGTACCGTAAGGTACACGTGTGTTATGTATGTGTACACTTTGGAAGCAAGCAACTAAATTTCATTTTTAATGTGTTCCGTTGCGCCCACAAGAATGACAATCAAATTTATCCATCTTACCTAGATGCCCATTTTCTCACCAGCTCTGGGCAGCTCCCAACCCAAAATTAAAGCAGCACGAAAACCACAAAAGCTATACATTGAAACACATGGAACACATTATAACTTGTCCTCAACTTACAACGGTTCATTTAGCGACCGTCTGAAGAAGTTACAAAGGGGCCGAAAAAAGTGATTTATGACCGTTTTTCACCCTTATGGCCGTCGTGGCATCCCCAGGGTCACGTGATCAAAATTCAGATGCTTGGCAACTGACTTGTATTTATGATTGTTGCAGCGTCCCGGGGTCAAAGGCTTGGAAACTGGCATGTACCTATGACTGTTGCAATGTCCTGGGGTCATGTGATCCCCTTTTGCGACCTTCTGACATTCAAAGTCAACGGGGGAAGCCGTTTTCACTTAAAAACCACGTTACTCGCTTAATATCTGCAACGATTTACTTAACAACTGAGGCAAGAAAAGGGCGTAAAATGGAGCAAAACTCATTTAATAACTGTCCCACAGACATTCTGAGTTCAATTATGGTCTGTACGCCGAGGATTACCTGTAAAAGCCACAAAAACCTGGCACCACCTCAAACTTCTGAGGCCACTCACCTAATCTTATCCCAAAGCCTGCGGGGGGGGGGGGAAGCCAATTATGATTATGAGACCTCTTGTATATTTGAGATTTTACCTCGGGTAGCACAGACCGAAGAGCCGATGTAGTCATTGGAACGGATCCACGAAGCTAGAAGAAATGACACCGATAGTCAGAGAAAAAAACAACAACAACTCCTGCAACATCTTATTCCCAGTTGGCCCAGGTTTTTCTGTCTGATGTGGTGATTTCTTTGGATTGTGTTAGCTTCTTTCCGCCACTCCAAAAGACAAATCCACTCGTTGTCCCGGAAAACAAATTGGAAGAAAGAAGAAAAGGAAGAAAAGATGGTTAAAGGCGCTGATATAATAATAATAATAATTATTATTATTATTGTTGTTGTTGTTGTTGTTATTATTGTTGTTAGAATAATAATAATAATAATAATAATAATAAGAAGAAGAAGAAGAAGAAGAAGAAGAAGAAGAAGAAGAAGAAGAAGAAGAAGAAGAAGAAGAAGAAGAAGAAGAAGAAGAAGAAGAAGAAGAGACTGAACAGCCATTTGTCTGAAATGGTATAGGGTTTCCTGCCTGAGCAGAGGGCTGAACTAGATGACCTCCAAGGTCCCTTCTTATTCTGTTCTGTTCTCCAAAGCCCCTGAAGGCAGGACAAGAAGCAATGGATGGAAACTAATCAAGGAGAAAAGCAACCTGGAACTAAGGAGAAACTTCCTGACAGTGAGAACAATTAACCAGTGGAACAACCTGCCTCCAGAAGTTGTGAATGCTCCAACACTGGAAGTTTTTAAGAAGAGACTGGACAGCCATTTGTCCGAAATGGTGTAGGGTTTCCTACCTGAGCAGGGGGTTGGACTCAATGACCTCCAAGGTCCCTTCCAACTTTATTACTATTATTATTATTATTATTATTATTATTATTATTATAAGATGGCTCACCGCCAGTTCAGTGAGGTCTGCGTCGAACCCTCCTTTCGATACGAGCGTCTGGAGCAAGGAGGACAGGAGGTCACGGGGAAGCATCAGCCGAGAAGTACCGTCCATGGCGGGAGGCAGAGGCCAAGAGGTGTTTTGGGCTCCAGGAAAGTCCATAGGTTGGCCTTTGAGGTCGGTCATCATGAGCTGGAAAGATCAAAGGTCACGAGAGAATGTATTGGAGAGCACCAAACAAACAGACAGATAAGAGAGGTCATAGCCCGTAGTTGCATAATGGGTGGGGAAAAAGAAGTTCAGAAGAAACCCACCCTAGTTTCTATGGCTGTAAAGGAGGCTGCAGGAGATTTGCATTTTCAGACCTGCAAGATTCTGTTACTGTAGCTTTACAGTCAAGGAGAATTAGTCTACAGGTCGTCCTTGACCTAGAACTGGGTTAGACTAGACATTCACCTATCTAGGTTCTCCTGCTTGAGCAGGGGGCTGGACTAGAAGACCTCCAAGGTCCCTTCCAGCTCTATTCTATTTATTCCATTCCATTCCATTCCATTCTATTCTATTCTATTCTATTCTATTCTATTTCTATTTCTATGTTCAATCTATTCTATTCTGTTCTATGATCTATGTTCTATTCTATTCTATGTTCTATTCTATTCTATATTCTATTTCTATGTTCTATTCTATTCTATTACTCTACTCTACTCTACTCTACTCTATTCTACTCTATTCTATTCTAAAGTTGCAACCTATTGGAAAAAGGGAGTTATGACCCAGTTCCAAGGTCATTCCCTGGTCAAATGACTTCAGACATCAGCAACATGGCTGCATTTACGGCCATTTGCAGTGTCCTCTGGTCATGTGACTGTATTTTTATGACAGTTTAGCCCCCAAGGCTTAAATACCTGGGTTAAGGCATGCACAACCGTGCAACCTTAAAGATGCCCACCCAAAAACAAGTCCCAGTAGGTTGAGGAATTTTTATTTTCAGGAAAACTGCAGGGGCAGAAACTGCGGGCGGCGTCAAAAGAGGCATCGGCCTAGAATCCCTACGTAGTCACAAGCAATCAAAATCCAACCCGCTTTGAATTCCGTGGACCCTTATCTAACTCCAAGCGAACGTTAGCTGAGAAGATTCCTGGGCAAAGACTGTTTTGCGATAAATGAAGTTAATCTGAACGTATTGTGGACCTGATCAAACCTGGTCGAGGACTGCAATCAGAGGAAGACACATGGAGAAGCAGCAGCAGCAGCTCAGGTGTTGGAAACAAGTGGGAAACAAGCCTTACGTTTAGATTCAGAATGATGTGTTGGTCCTTGAACAGTGGCAAACCAGCCAGGGTGTAATGCAGACTTCCAAGGATCCCAAATGGACACACACCTGTCAGGGATAAAGAAAAAGAGTGTGAGAGGGAAAAAACACATCAGGCCTTTAGGATGTCTCTAACAGGTCCAGTGCTGCACCTGCTCCAGCTGTGAGAATACAGCTAGTCCCCAATTTACGACCAACCATTGAGCAGGTGGTTGGACTAGAAGACCTCCAAGGTCCTTTCCAGCTCTATCCTATCCTATCCTATCCTATCCTATCCTATCCTATCCTATCCTATCCTATCCATTCCATTCTATTCTATTCTATTCTATTCTATTCTAATTTCTGTTCTAGTCTAGTCTAGTCTAGTCTAGTCTAGTCTAGTCTTGTCTAGTCTAGTCTAGTCTAGTCTTATTCTTATTTTTATTCTTATTCTTATTCTAGTCTAGTCTATATTCTATTCTTTATTCTATTCTATTCTATAAAATAATAAAATAAAATAAAATAATAAAATATAAAATAAAATAAAATAATAAAATAAAATAATAAAATGAAATAATAAATAAATTAATAAAATAAAATAAAATAATAAAATAAAATAATAAAATAAAATAAAATAAAATAATAAAATAAAATAAAATAAATAATAAAATAAAATAATAAAATAAAATAAAATAATAAAATAAGATAAAATAAAATAAAATAAAATAAAATAATAAAATAAACAAGGCAGAATACATCCCAACCATAAGAAAAATCCTTACTGTTGACGGTGCTGAGAATAGTGTTGAGAAGGTTCAGGACAACATCGGCAACTGGACACAGCTGCAGCAGAGGAGAAAACAGAGGCATAGAATCAAAATCACGGGAAGTCTTAGCACCACTTTAAAAAGCCTTAGTCAAGCCCCACCTGGAATCCTGCACCAGTTTTGGTCACTGCGTTACGAAAAAGATGTTGAGACTTTGGGAAAAAGTGGAAAGAAGAGCAACTAAGAGGATTAAAGGCCTGGAGACTAAAACAGATGAAGAACGGCTGCGGGACTTGGGTTTGGCTGGTCTATAAGGTCTCCTGCTTGAGCAAGGGGGTGGACTGCAAGACCTCAAATGGTCCCTTTCAACCTAGTTATTCATTATTCTTGTTATTCTTTCTATCTGTCAGGCCCATGAATCATCTCACCTCACTCCAGTCTATTCACCTGGTGGGCTACTCTGAGTCCAGCAGAATCTAATTGCATTTCTTGACCTTACAAGGCTATTCTGGGCTGGTCCTCTCTGACTGATGGCCCAAATTGTGAATTTGTGCTCTTTGTAGCTACGGTACTCAAAGGGGACAGGCATAATTCTGCCGGAAGACTCACCAATCCAGGGACGACTTTATTCAAAAGAGCACTCAGAACGTTGTCCAGTGAGAATGGAAGGAGCCTTGGAAACGAAGGGGGGGATAATTAATCATCTGGATGCTCTATCATTCTTTGCCACATAAAAGATTCTGTTGGTCCATAAGAGAAAAATCAAGCTTCATCCTAGGACAGGGGTCTGCAACCTTGACAACTTTAAGACTTGTGGACTTCAGCTTCCAGAATAGCTGGCTGAGGAATTCTGGAAGCTGAAGTCCACAAGTCTTAAAGTTGTCAAGGTTGCAGACCCCTGTCCTAGAACATTAGGACCAATCCCACAGCTTAGGGTTAGGTTAGACCAGGGGTAGGCAACCTTGGCTCTTTTATGACTTGTGGACTTCAACTCCCAGAATTCCTGAGCCAGCATGGGGGAACTATGGCCCCCTCATGACTTTTGTGGACTTCAATTCCCAGAATTCATGAGCCAGCATGGGGGAACTATGGCCCCCTCATGACTCGTGGACTTCAACTCCCAGAATTCCTGAGCCATCATGGCTCAGTTTGGAAACCTCTCCCTTTCCTCTCAGCATGGCTGGCTCAGGAATTCTGGGAGTTGAAGTCCACCAGTCATAAAAGAGCCAAGGTTGCCTACCCCTGGCCTGGAGGGTGACTTTGGTCCATAGTACGACCTCAATGGACAGTCTAGCATTCTTGATCTATTCATTCAACACCCCCCCCCCCACACACACACACATTAAGTGTCTATTTGTGATGTACAAGGAAGGACTCACCCAGACAAGATCCGAAAGCCACCAAGATTGGTCTTACAATTCTCAATGAGAAGTTTGGGGGATCCCATCTTGTCCTGGACCAGCTGAGCCTTGGCTGTGAGGTTCACTTCTACCAGGAGGGTCAACGGGCCTCCCAGAATCCTGAAAAATGCCCCCCAAAAAATAAAGACGAGGCTGTTTATTGAACCAACTCTAGTTTCCCAAAGAATCTCCTAGTTTGCAAAGTGTGCCAGCTTTTTCATATTTCTTTTTTTATTAGGTTTAGCTCCCCAACTTTCCTTCTAGCAGCTCAAGAAGGTTTAAATAATGGTTCTTTCCAGTGGTGGGATTCAAATACCTGAACAACCGGTTCTCTTATGCGATGCGGGCCTGGGCCTCTGAGGCCTAGAACGGACTTCTGGAAGTGGCATCCATGCACTTCCAGAGGGCCATTCTAGGCGGCCTCCACCAGGCCTTCGAGGTCTAGAACGGACTTCCGGAAGTGGCTGGTATGAGTGTCAGAGTGGGGGCCAGTCTAATCTTTGTAGGGATGATGTTTCATAGGGAGGGAGCCACCACAGAGAAGGCCCTTCTTCTGGGTCCTGCCAGATGGATCTCCTTAAGGGGGGGGGGCATAAAATTCTCTGACTCCCTGTTCTAGTGGGTTGGGTGGACGTAACTGGGAAAAGATGGTCCTTCAAAATGACTAGGAGGGAGTCACGATGGAGAAGGTCCTTCTTCTGGGTCCTGCCAGTGGATCTCCTTAAGGGAGGGGACCCATAACATCCTTTGTCTCCCTGCTCAGGTGGATTGGGTAGAACATGTTCCTTCAAAACAACAAGGAGGGTATCACGATGGAAAGGCCTTTCTTCTGGGTCCTGTCTGATGTATCTCCCTAGGGGACAGAACCCATGACATCCCTTGCCTCTCTGCTCGAGTGAGTCAGGTGGATGTGACCAGCAGGAGATGGTCCTTCAGATAACCTGGCCCCAAACCAAGGGCTTTAAAGGTGACAATCAGCACCTTGAATTGGCAACCGACGCAGCTCCCGCAGGAGAGGTGAACACATGCACGCAAAATCATGCAGGATGCCGCCTTTCGCACCAACTGGAGCTTCCGGATGCTTTTCAAGGCCAGCCCCATGTTGAGCGCATTGCAGTAGCCAAGATGGGAGGTGACTAGGACTAGGTGACTCAGTAAAGTATCCCCTTGGAAGAAAGACATGAACCAGGAGTCTTTTTTTGCTTAATTAAACCAAGTGGGATGGATGACCTGAGCTTTTGCAGATCTGGAGCGTCACAGTCACTGGTGGGATCCAACTTAGGATCCAAAGGAACGAGAAGGTGGATTTCCTCACTCCATAAAAGTACCTGGAGACGCGGAACCCATCATTTGTGTTGTGGTGTTGCACCTCCTCCCAAGGACTGGTCTCTTTGTCCAGACTGATATATTTTAAAACCTGTCTGTAGACAACAGTCACTTTGACAAACCTACCCAGGTTTTGATTGAGGAGGCCTTCAACTTTAGGCTATTAATATATCTCTGACTACGTCAAAACTAAAGCTGAGAGGAAGGAGGTGACTAGGAAATACTCCCTGTGGAAATTTCAGCCAGGAAAGGGAGCAGGGTTTGCTATTTCCCAAGGAACACAACTCACGTGTTGCCATTGAGGGCTATTTTGGTGTAGATGTTCAGTCCGATTCCAACTGGAAACAGCTTCAAGGAGACTTTGGGAAGGATGATATCCACAAGCTTCAACCTGGAGATAATAGTAATAATAATAATAGAGTTGAAAGGGACCTTGGAGGTCTTCTAGTCCAACCCCCTGCTCAGGCAGGAAACTTTGTACCATTTCAGACCAAAGATAAAGGTGAGCTTAATGGTGAGCTTAAGAACAGAAAATAAAATTGTGAAGGACATTCAGTGAAATAACCCCAGACATCATCTGTCTGCAATCTGTCGGTAAGTTTCTATCATGTTGGAGTCTTCCATTGAGTCAAGTCAAGAACCAAATTAAGGTTCAAGTATCTGAAGATTTAACATCAAGCCTAGGTATAAGGTCTGACAATAAGTAACTCACCCCAGGAGATCTTCACGTCCAAGGACACCACGAAGAAGTCCTCCATTTGGCCCCCCAAGGACACCACGAAGAAGTCCTCTATTTGGCCCCCCAAGGACACCACCAAGCAGACCTCCACCTTGACCTCTGAGGACACCATTAAGAAGACCTCCATCTTGATCTCCGAGGACACCATCAAGAAGACCTCCACCTTGACCTCTGAGGACGCCATTAAGAAGACCTCCATCTTGACCTCCGAGGACACCATCAAGAAGACCTCCACCTTGACCTCTGAGGACGCCATTAAGAAGACCTCCATCTTGACCTCCGAGGACACCATCAAGAAGACCTCCACCTTGACCTCCGAGGACACCACCAAGAAGACCTCCATCTTGCCCTCCAAGAACACCACCAAGAAGACCTCCATCTTGCCCTCCAAGAACACCACCAAGAAGACCTCCATCTTGCCCTCCAAGAACACCACCAAGTGGTCCTTCATCTTCTCCTCCGTTCAACACTCCTAGGACATTTTTACTTGCTCCTCCAGTAAGTCCTTGAAGCAGGTCATCTTTGGTCAGGACATTTGAGAGTACTGCAGAGGGTTGAGAACAATTATTACAGGAGATAAATTAAATTTAAACTCTGAGCTATTGTTATTAGCAGTTGCAGCATCTTTAGCTGAGTTACTAAAGTTATTCTTGATTTTTCTTAGTTTTCCATTCCCACACACCTGTCTGTCTTTGGCCAGACTTACCTTTATTAATGTAGCAAAGCCAGAACATTTGATGTATCTTGCTAAAATTCCCAAAAGGTTAACATTTACTTTTTTTAAAAAAAAAAGGTATCAGTCTTTACAGATGTGGAGATGAGTTTGAAAATGTTTTGGGAAAACATTTTTAATGCCCCTAAGTTCTGGGATAATGTTCTCCAGGTTCAGAGTTGACGGTAGCCCATACCAGCACAGTTCTGGTAAGGAGCACTTTCCAACTCAAATTGGATGAAGAAAGAAGTTCTGGAGAAGTTCAGGAGAAGAAAGACACCCAATTGCTCTGCCCTTCAAGGTAGGTCCAAAGAGACCTACACCTTAGTCCTAAAATCAGATATCCATGATTAACCACTAAGACATTGTAGAGGTCCATCTGCCTAGGAAATTCTTGGAACAGACTAGAGCAGTGGTTCTCAACCTGTGGGTCGGGACCCCATTTGGGGTCGAACGACCATTTCACGGGGGTCGCCAAACAAGGCTGTCTGCCATTTTCCCCCCTTTTCTTTGGCCACGGCCCTGGCACCTGGTGATGTATAAGTGGTTGGGGGTCACCACAACATGGGGAACTGTATTATGGGGTCGAGGCATTAGAAAGATTGAGAACCACTGGACTAGAGTGTTGTAGAAGATGGGCAAGATAGTGAGGTTGACAGCTGAGCACACATAAACAGGGGTAGGGGTTCAAGCATGCTGTTTTAGGCACTATCCTGACTTACAGAAGAGGATTTGTGTAGCTCAGGATTAAACTGTGACGTCCTTGATGCTCTCTGATCTTAGTTGCTTTCTTGAAAATGTTCCATGACCTAACTAGATTCTACCCAACGTTCTAGCATGTTACTTAGTTGGGTAATGAAATATCTGGAAGAAAACCACCAAGCTTGGCAAACACCAAGGACTCCATCATCTTGATTTTTTTGGACGTTTGCCTGAAGAAGACCCTGGGAGCATAGGTCCCACATTACTGGAAGACACTCAATCTGGAAAAGGCTGTACCATAAAAAATCTGGGGCAAACCTATCATTGGATTTCCTCACCCACCCAACTGACCCTTCCATTCTCTGTGATCTCCCAGAGGACATCTCTCTAAGGGTCATCTATGAAGATTCTCAATCATCTAGGTCAAAGGCAACTGGACTTTCAGAGAAGAGCAACTAAAATGATCCAGTGCCTGGAGACTAAAACATACAAAGAACTGCAGGACTTGGGTTTGGCTAGTCTAAAGAAAAGAAGAAACAGGGGAGACACGATAGCAGCCTTCCAGTATCTGAGGGGCTGCCACAAAGAAGAGGAGGGGGTCAGGTTGTTCACCAAAGCACCAGAGGGAAGGACGAGAAACAAGGGTTGGAAGCTGATCAAGGAGAGAAGCAACCTGGAATTAAGGAGAAACTTCCTGACAGTGAGGACAACCAACCAGTGGAACTCCTTGCCCTCAGAAATCGTGGGTGCTCCATCACTGGAGATTTTTAAGAAGAGACTAGACATTCACCCATCGGAGACAGTATAGGTTCTCCTGCTTGAGGAGGGGGCTCGACTAGAAGACCTCCAAGGTCCCTTCCAGCTCTATTCTATTCTATTCTATTCTATTCTATTCTATTCTACTCTACTCTACCCTACCCTACCCTACGCTATACTACGCTATGCTATGCTATTCCACTCCACTCCACTCCACTCTACTCCACTCCACTCTACTCTACTCTACTCTACTCTACTCTACTCTACTCTACTCTACTCTACATATTCTATTCTATTCTATTCTATTCTATTCTGTTCTGTCCCGTCCCCTCCCGTCCCGTCCCGTCCCATCCCATCCCATCCCATCCCATCCCATCCCATCCCATCCTATTCCTATTCCTATTCTATTCTATTCTATTCTATTCTATTCTATTCTATTCTATTCTACCCTACCCTACCTTACCCTACCCTACCCTACCCTACCCTACTCTACTCTACTCTACTCTACTCTACGCTACGCTACGCTACGCTATGCTATGCTATGCTATGCTATGCTATTCTACTCCACTCCCCTCCACTCCCCTCCACTCCACTCCACTCTACTCTACTCTACTCTACTCTACTCTACTCTACTCTACTCTACTCTACTCTACATATTCTATTCTATTCTGTTCTGTTCTGTCCCGTCCCGTCCCATCCCATCCCATCCCATCCCATCCCATCCCATCCCATCCCATCCCATCCTATCCTATCGTATTCTATTCCTATTCCTATTCCTATTCCTATTCTATTCTATTCTATTCTACCCTACCCTACCTTACCATACCCTACCCTACCCTACTCTACTCTACTCTACTCTACGCTACGCTACGCTATGCTATGCTATGCTATGCTATTCTACTCCACTCCACTCCACTCCACTCCACTCCACTCTACTCTACTCTACTCTACTCTACTCTACTCTACTCTACTCTACTCTACTCTACTCTACATATTCTATTCTATTCTATTCTATTCTATTCTATTCTATTCTATTCTATTCTATTCTATTCTATTCTATTCTATTCTAACTTTTTCAGTTCTATCATGTTGGAGTTTAAACTGAAGAAGCTTCTTGGATGAGAAGTGAAACACTTTCAAAGAAAAACAAAAAATCAAGGCAGCCCAGTTGCCTTTTGGGGAAAAAGCACCTTTGGGACTCCATAATACAAATTCAGGAGTTCAGTGTTTCAGAACATCACCAAGGAATCTCCTTTCCAAATCCTCTGAGTTTTGGTTTGCAAGGAGAGAAAGAAAACAAGACTCACGGTTCTCCAGAACGGCCTGGTCCACCTGGGCCACAGACAATAGGTTTCCTGCTCCACCTTGGCAGATGGGCAGGAGACCACCAAGGAGAAGAAGGGCCAAAGCCTTCAGCATGTTGATTCTGGTACCTGGGGAAAAACGGAATAGGATAAATCAAAATCATCCACTGGTATCCAGAGAGCAGAACGTTGAAGGATCACGAGATGTTTTTCCAAAGCACAGCTGGTTCTCTCAAAGGCCTGGGGCTAATTATGATATACCATAATACTAAATTCCTGCAGTGGGCAGGTGGGGAGGGTGGGATTGGGTCAGTGTTTCTCAACAAGGGCAACTTGCGTTTGAGTCCTGCTTGAACCAGGAACTTTTATCTCCAGCAGTGCTAACAAAGCGCAACTGGGGTTGGAGGTAGAGAGGAGGTCTCTGGCCCTCCACAGCCTTTGCCCCCTTGGCTGTCTGTCTTCCCTTCTACCTCATGGTGCCCTGGGTCTTCCACCCAAGAATCCCACCCTGTGTTTGAGCAGGGAGCTGGACTAAACCAGTGGTTCTTAACCTGGGCGATATTGCCCCCCAGGGGGGCGATTTCATTTTTCAGAGGGGCGATGGAAGGAAAAGGGACGACGCCGGGGGCCAAGGAACGAAAAGGGGGTGATGGAGCGAGAAGTTTTGGGGACACTTTTGAGACTTTTTCATACAGTGAATGACTGTATACGGTATCTGTCATCAGATCGCTCGCTATTAGTGGATTGAATGGTGTTTTCCAATGTTCCTCCAGCTAGCTTCAGTACAGAACGCCGTACATATGTGAAGACGCATCGCTTGTCTTCGTGCGTGTTGCGCAGCAGCCTCTACCCATGCAGTGGCGCACCATTGGCCAGACTATGGGAGCTATGGGAAAAAGACTGGATGGAAATAAATTATTTGCATCGCTATGTCCTGATGACAATTTGAAAGAAAACAAAACAAGGGTTTGCATAAATTGAAGATTATTTCCTATGTTGTGATTGAGAGGTGATGTCGGGGGAGGAAGGGCGATGACAACTTCCTCATTGGCTCAAGGGGGCGATTCGTTCAAAAAGGTTAAGAACCACTGGACTAGATGACCTCTACGGTCCCTTCCAGCTCCACTCTGTTCTAGTCTAGATTGAGCGCCATTTTAGAAAGGAACAAATCTGTGAAACCTCCCCCCCTCCCCCCAAGGAGACGGTGAGCCTTACCTTGGTCAACCAGTAGGTTTACAAGGTGTTCCCCGGTTCCTGTCCGTCGCCAAGGAAGATGTCGTGGGCCCAAAACCGACGGTCCTTTTATACCAAATAATCTGTGTCAGGAATGAGGAAAAAGGCCTTTCTGTGGAAAAGCCCTGATGTTTGCTTTGGTATAAAGTGGCAAGTGATTATCTCCAAGGCAAACAGGCTTTTAGACATCTTTAAAATGGGTCAGTTGAGTAACTCCGTGTCTTGAACAACTCAGCAGGTGCCTTTGATCCAACTTGAACTGGGATGCCAATTTCCGATTTCAATCCCACCCCCACCCCCCAGCCGAACCAGGAAAGCCACGATCCGGTTTCATAGTCGTCTCCGGTCCGGTGACCTCCAGCTATCCTGGATGAGATGCTGGCTCTCGTCTCTCGAATTTCACGGAAGGGAGATTTTGCTTGTCAATCTCTGGTTGTTGTGTTGAAGGATAGGAACATGCTTGTACTGTGGGGTCCTGGGTGGTCTCTCGGGGCTTGGTTATTCTCTTGCAGATGTTTCATTACCCAAAAGAGTAACGTTATCAGTGCTAGAAGGGAGGGAGGTGTGCGGGGAGGAGGAGGAGGAGGAGGAAGACTGTGAAGTCCTTGGTGGTCCCTGGGCTTGATAATATATTTATTTATTTATTTATGAGACTTATATACCGCTTTAAGTGCAAGCACTCTCTAAGCAGTGTACACCAGTGAGCAATGTATATATATATTTACATTGCCCCCAACAATCTGGGTCCTCATTTTACCTACCCCGGAAGGATGGAAGGCTGAGTCAACGTTGAGCCGGTGAGATTTGAACCGCTGACCTGCTGAACACAATCAGCTAAAGTGGCCTGCAGTACTGCCCTCTAACTGCTGCGCCACCTAATGCAGATGTTTTATTACCAAACTAGGTATCAGAGGGGAGTGGGATTTGCAGAGAGGAGGAGGAGGAGGACTGTGGGGGTCCTTGGTCCTCTCTGAACTTGTTTGTTTTCTTGCAGACGTTTCATGACCCAACTAGGGAACATCATCAGTGCTAGAAATGAGTGGGGGGTGTGGAGAGGAGGAGGAGGAGGAGGAGGAGGAGGATTGTGGGGTTCCTGGTGCACTTTGAGCTGGGTTGTTTCCTTGCAGATGTTTCATGACCCAACTAGGGAATATCATCAGTGCTTGAAGGGAATGAGGTGTATGGAGAAGAGGAGGAGGAGGAGGAGGAGGAGGAGGGAATGAAGAGGAGGAGTGTGGGATCCTTGATGCCTAGTTGTTCTGCTGCAGATGTTTCATGACCCAACTAAATAACATTATCAGTACTAAAAGGGTTTGCAGAGTAGAGGAGAAGGAGAAGGAGGAAAAGACTGTGGGGTCCTTGGTGCTCTCTGAGCTTGGTTGTTTTCTTGCAGACGTTTCATGACCCAGCTAGATAACATCATCAGTGCTAGAAGGGAGTGTGGGATTTGCAGAGTGGAGACCAACATAAACTCCGTGCCAACCTGAAAACTATGTTCCTTTTTTTTTTTTTTTTGCTTTGCTACCAGATCGTCCCTTCCTCCATCAAGGCTATCCTCTTTACTCTCTCCATTATGATGCTGGATCCTTCCAGAAGACCTATTTCCTTGAGTCCTTTGATAGTTTACGATGCTGCATGGATCTTGCTTACAATACCTGGATGCCATTCAGAGAAAATACAACCTATTTACTGATTTCAATTATCTGTGTTGTGATGGTCCACCACAGATTCATGCTGGGGGCCTCTCAGGAATGACTCCATAAACCCACCCTGCTCTATTTTTCATCGTTTTGAAAATGTTCCCATCACACTAGATCCCTTGGTATCATCTCTCTCTCCTATCAGATATGAGCACACCCTGCCTCCTTATGGGTCCTGGAGTACCCCCCCCCCTTACCATGAAACCAGAAGTGGTATAATCTCAACATCACAGTTCCATCTTCCCTTATTCAGCATTGCCAGTTCTCAAGGTGTTAATTTTTCACATGAAGGACCACTCATAATTTCATCCAGTAGATCTGCCTTTGGGATCAGTTGATCAAGTCTCAATCCAGTAGGATGGAACCAACTGTATAGGTGCAGGCCAGGTGAAACTTGGCTTAATGCCAATAATTGTGAGAGGCATCTCAGAGTCCTGATGGACAATCCCTTAATTAGGAGCCAGCCGTGTGCTGCAGCTGCCAAAAAGGCCGACACAGTGCTGGGCTGCATTAACAGAGGAATGGAATCAAGATCATGTGAAGTATTAATACCACTTTACAAGGCCTTGGTAAGGCCACACTTGGAATACGGCAGCCAGTTTTGGTCACCACGATGTAAAAAAGATGCTGAGACTCTAGAAAGAGGGCAGAGAAGAGCAACAAAGATGATGAGGGGACTGGAGGCTGAAACATACAAGGAACGGTTGCTGGAATTGGGAATGTCTCGTTTAATGAAGGTTGAGGTCCAGGCAGAAGAAGAATATCATGGCTTCAAAATCTAAGGGACTGGTTTGGACAAAACTCAGCAGCATTTTTTCGTGCGGCTGCTGATAAAAACAGGATTGCCAACATGATCGCCAACGTCCGATAACGGATATGGCAGAAGAAGAAGAAGAAGTTTAATGAAGAGAAAGACGAGGGGGGACATGATAGTCGTCTTCCAGTATCTCAGGGGCTGCCCCAAAGAAGAGGGAGTCAAGCTATTCTCCAAGGCGCCTGAAGGCAGGACAAGAAGCAACGGATGGAAACCAAATCAGGGAGAGAAGCAACCTGGAACTAAGGAGAAATTTCCTAACAGTGAGAACAATTAACCAGTGGAACTCCTTGCCTCCAGAAGCTCTGAATGCTCTAACACTGGAAGTTTTAAAGAAGAGACTGGACAGCCATTTGTCTGAAATGGTATAGGGTTTCCTGCCTGAGCAGGGGGTTGGGCTAGATGACCTCCAAGGACCCTTCCTGTTATTTTTTTTCCTTCCTTCCTTCCTTCCTTCCTTCCTTCCTTCCTTCCTTCCTTCCTTCCTTCCTTCCTTCCTTCTTCCTCCCTCCTTCCCTCCCTCCCTCCCTCCTTCCCCCCCTTCTCCAACACTGGAGGTCTTTAAGAAGAGACTGGACAGCCATTTGTCTGAAATGGTATAGGGTTTCCTGCCTGAGCAGGGGGTTGGGCTAGATGACCTCCAAGGACCCTTCCTGTTATTTTTTTTCCTTCCTTCCTTCCTTCCTTCCTTCCTTCCTTCCTTCTTTCCTTCCTTCTTCCTCTCCTTCCCTCCCTCCCTCCCTCCTTCCCCCCCTTCTCCAACACTGGAGGTCTTTAAGAAGAGACTGGACAGCCATTTGTCTGAAATGGTATAGGGTCTCCTGCCTGAGCAGGAGGTTGGACTAGATGACCTCCAGGGCCCCTTCCAAAAGTATTATTCTCTGTTCTAAGGAGCAGGGGACAGTTTTCTTAGACAGACAAGGGAAGTACACCAGCCACCCAGGGTATTGGAAACAGCAGTTTCTTGAAATGTTGATTGAATAGATTTCTGTCCTTCTTCCCAAGCAGCCCTACCTCAAAGTGATTTCACAATAAAAAATGTGAATTATTAAAAGACAAGGAAGGGAAATGCTTTGGTCCCTTCGTTTGTCAATGCTGGAGGGGGCGACCTTGCTTGCAAATTTCCACCAGCATTTTTTTTTTACTGGGCCGTGGCACAGATTTGGGTGTTCCGCCCTTCACATGGAAAGCAGACTGATCTCCCAAGGGTGGGTGGTCTCATATGGGGGAAGACCCCTCCTGTCTCCCTACAGACAGCCTACTGAAGCTTCCAGGTGGTGCCCAGCTGACCAGGGTCTTCTCAACGTGGCCTTCGTCCCTGCTGCGTAAGGCCACCTGATGCAGCCCAAGCTGGGTGGTGTGGGGTGCCAGAGGGAACAAGTGCGCAAACAGTGTGCCTTCTGACACACAATGGGGACAGTGAACACACTGCCGTATCATGTTATCAGGATCTGGGATCTGTCCCCGGCATGGAGCCAAGTGCAGGTAACCAGAAGGAAACCCAAGTCACTAAACTCGGCTCTTGAAAAAGTCTTCTGCAGAGAATAAGTAACACAATATAACAGGATTTATTTTCATTTTATTTTATTTTTTTTGTTATGACAATGGAGCTTCCCTTTTTCCATCTTTGCTTTCTCCATCGTGGAACCGGACGTGATTCTGGATATCTCAAGAAAAGAATTTATCTTCAGCCCCTTGATAGTTAACAGACTATCAGAGTTGGAAGGGATCTGGGAGGTCATCTAGTCCAACCCCCTGCTCAGGCAGGAAACCCTATCCCATTTCAGACAAATCATTGTCCAATCTCTTCTTTAAAACCTCCAGTGCTGGAACGTTCACAACTTCTGGAGGCAGGTGGTTCCACTGGTTAATTGTTCTCACTGTCAGGAAGTTTCTCCTTAGTTCTAGGTTGCTTCTCTCCTGGATGAGTTTCCATCCGTTGCTTCTTGTCCGGCCTTGACGTGCTTTGGAGAAGAGCTTGACTCCCTCTTCTTTGGGGCAGCCCCTGAGATACTGGAAGACTGCTATCATGCCACCCCTGATCCTTCTCCTCATTAAACTAGACATACTAGACCAGGGGTAGGCAACCTTGGCTCTTTTATGACTAGTGGACTTCAACTCCCAGACTTCCTGAGTCAGCCATGTACTAGACATAGTTAACGAGACTTATGGATCTTGTTTATAATACTTGTATTCCATTCCCACAAGGGATCTTGCAGGGATTTATTCCTGGTGTGGACAATTTGCAGTTCCCCAAGATCACACTACTGCAACGAGTGTCTTCTATGAACCACCTCACATATCTAGAATAGAATAGAGCTGGAAGGGACCTTGGAGGTCTTCTAGTCCAGCCCCCTGCTCAAGCAGGCGAACCTATACCGACTCAGACAAGTGACCGTCCTAGTCCAGGGGTAGGCAAGCATGGCTCAGGAATTCTGGGAATTGAAGTCCACAAGTCATAAAAGAGCCAAGGTTGCCTACCCCTGGACTAGACATAGTTAATGAGACTGTATGGATCTTGTTTATAATACGTGGACTCCATTCACACAAAACATAACCTGGGTTCTGAAATAACCCATTATCTCAGCTCTTAAGACACATTAAACCCTAAACTAACCAACAGCCGTCTATGTATCTAGTGCATTTGTCCACCAAGGTTTAGCTGACCTAGTTAAGTGTTTTGTGAAAACCCATCACAAATGCTGATGACATTTCAGGAATGACCTCATAAACCTTCATCATTTTGAAAACATCCCCATCTCTTCAGAACTTTTAGTATCATCTCTTCCCTATCAGAAATTACCACACATTGTCTGTTTATGGGTCATGGAGTATGCCCCTTTCCACGAAGAGGAGAAGAAACCAGAAGAATTATATCTCCTCAACATTACAGCTCCACCTCCCCTTCCTTAGCATCCATGATTCTCAAGGGGCTAATTTCTGACACGAAGGACCCACAACTTCATCCAGCAGGCCTTCATCCCTGGTTCTCAAGGGGCTAATTTCTGACATGAAAGATCCATAACTTCATCCAGCAGGCCTTCATCCCTGGTTCTCAAGGGGCTAATTTCTGACATGAAGGACGCACAACTTCATCCAGCAAGCCTTCATCCCTGGTTCTCAAGGGGCTAATTTCTGACACGAAGGACCCATAACTTCATCCAGCAGGCCTTCATGCCCGGTTCTCAAGGTGCTACTTTCTGACATTAACCTGTGTGAGCTGATCCAACAGACCTGCTCTGAAGATAGTTTGATCAACTTTCAGGCCAGCATCTCTTGTCCATCCACATCCTGGCGCTGTGGACAGGAGTCGCTCCAGAACCCCACCACGGTCCTGCTGAAACCTCAAGAGACGCAAGTCCAAAGCAAACTCAAGAAATGCAGAAGTGGAAATTGGAATATTTTATTTGATAAACATGGACAGAGTTCCCCTTAAGTCCCTAGTAATCTGCTACTACCGAGAGTAAGACACAGCAGAGTAGAAGTTTCCCGGGCAAAGAAGGAAAGAGATACCTCAGCAAAAAAAGGTTCCTGGAAGCACCGAATCGGGGTTTTTTTAGGCATTAATGGATCGTATAAATGTGTGTTGTTCTTCCCAATTAACCACACCTCAAATTGGTTTACCCAAAAATGTGAATAATTAAAAGACATTAAAGAAGGCTGCCTTTATCTTCTCGATTGGCGTGTGAATTCTGTCAAATTCGTTCCAAGGCAGAGGTTCAACGGCTGAATGAGCCAAGGGGAGGATGTGTTGATCAGAAAGACCTCTACTCTTTCCCCTTTCTATGAGGTCTTGGGCTTCTCTTGGTAGCGTCTTATTCGCTCTGCCATCTCGGTTTCATCGTAAGTCTCAATCGTCACGTGGAAGACCAGCACGTTCTGTGAAGATTGGAAAATCACAGCAATTATTTCTTATTTGCACACCCTTTCTTGCACTCTAATAATCAGCTGGCTGTCCTCCTTGCAGGTCCAACATTGGGGCCACCAGGTGGACAACGGACAGACCAAGGAGGCAGCGACACTTTTGTACTGATGGAAGAGATTATGTACAGCCCAGGGTTGAACTGGGTCCTTGGGGCTCTCTGAGCTTGGCTGTTTTCTTGCAACTAGGAGACATCATCAGTGCTAGAAGGGAGGGGGATTTGCAGAGACGAGAAGAGGAGGAGGAGGAGGAGGAGAAAGAGGAGGAGGAGGGCAGCTGTGGGGTCCTTGGTGCTCTCTGAGCTTGGTAGTTTTCTTGTAGACATTTCATGACCCAACTAGGGAACATCATCAATGCTAGAAGGGAGGAGGAGGAGGAGGAGGAAGACTGTGGCATCCTTGGTGCTCTCTGAGCTTGGTGGTTTTCTTGCAGACATTTCATGACCCAACTAGGGAACATCATCAGTGCTAGAAGGGAGGAGGAGGAGGAGGAGGAGGAGGAGGAGGAGAGTTGTGTGTTCTTTGATGCTCTCTGAGCTTCACTCTTTTCTTGTAGACATTTCATGACCCAACTAGGTAACATCCTCAGTGCTAGAAGGGAGGAGGAGGAGGAGGTGGAGGAGGAGGAGGAGGAGGAGGAAGGAGGAGGAGGAGGAGGAGGAGGAGGAGGAGGAGGAGACCTGTGGGGTCCTGGGTGTTCTCTGAGCTTGGTAGTTTTCTTGCAGACGTTTCATGACCCAACTAGGAGACATCATCAGTGCTAGAAGGGAGGGGGATTTGCAGAGATGAGAAGAGGAGGAGGAGGAGGAGGAGGAGGAGGAGGAGGAGGAGGAGGAGGAGGAGGAGGAGGAGGAGGAGGAGGAGGAGGAAGAGAAAGAGGAAGGACTGTGGGGTCCTTGGTTCTCTCTTAGCTGGAGGGTTTTCTTGCAGATGTTTCATGACCCAACTAGGAGACATCATCAGTGCTAGAAGGGAGCGGGATTTGCAGAGACGACAAGAGGAGGAGGAGGAGGAGGAGGAGGAGGAGGAGGAGGAGGAGGAGGAGGAGGAGGAGGAGGAGGAGGAGGAGGAGGAGGAGGAGGAGGAGGAAAACAGGGTCCTGGATGCTCTCTGAGCTTGGAAGTTTTCTTGCCGATGTTTCACGACCCAACTAAATAGCATCACCCAGTGCAGCCCTTTCTGCCCCCAGGAGTTTGGGGACTATCCAAATGCCCCCAGTAAAAAAGGGGCTGAGATACAGTTGCACTATATGACTGTCTTCTGAGACCCCTGCCATGACGCCTGGACCCTCGGGGCAGCCCGTGTTCTCCAGCTACAATCAACCCCGTCGCAAACCCTTGAGCTTCCACCAACTCACCTCTCCAAAACTGAGGGTGGCTTCACCTTCGCGGTACATCAGCCCCAGCAGGCTTGGGAGAGGAATCTGATTCTTGCTCAAGACGTCTGCAAAACAGGAGGCAGCAGTTGACTCCGCCTCTTCTTTCCCATCCGGGATGTCGACGGAGATTCTCGACCCTCCAGGTTGTGTTCGTCCCAAAAGCGCTTTTCCAAAAAGTCAACTGGACTTCCTTGGGTTTTGCTTTTCCTTGAAAGTATTTCGCCCCTCGCCCAAGAAGCTTCTTCAGTTCTAAGTTTCGTTCAGCTCAGTTCTTTTAGAACTGAAGAAGCTTTCCTTCTCCTGTCTGTGCCTCTTCAGCAGCTAATGATACTTCTAAATGGTTCTTCCCCCCCCCCCGGACTTTCCAAAAATTTGATCACCAAAAGCAGAATAACAGAGTTGGAAGGGACCTTGGAGGCCATCTAGTCCAACCCCCTGCTCAGGCAGGAAACCCTATACCATTTCGGACAAATAGCTGTCCAGTCTCTTCTTAAAAACCTCCAGTGTTGGAGCATTCACCACTTCTGGAGGCAGGTCATTCCACTGGTTAACTGTTCTCCCTGTCAGGAAGTTTCTCCTTAGTTCTAGTTCTCTCCTTGATGAATTTCCACCCATTGCTTCTTGTCCTGCCTTCAGGTGCTTTGGAGAATAGCTTGACTCCCTCTTCTTTGGGACAGCCCCTGAGATACTGGAAGGCTGCTATCCTGTCCCCCCTCGTCCTTCTCTTTGTTAAACTAGACATACCCAATTCCAGCAACCGTTCTTCATATGTTTTAGCCTCCAGACCCCTAATCATCTTCGTTCCTCTTCTCTGCACTCTTTCTAGGGCAGTGATGGCAAACATTTTAGAGACCAAGTGCCCAAACTATAACCCAAAATCCACTTATGTATCATCGGGTGCCGGGTGGGTGTGGCCAGTTGGGTGGGTGTGGCCCATTGGGTGGGAGTGGCCCATTGGGTGGGCGTGGTTGCGGTGATAACAGCAGACTGGATGGGGCTAAAAAGTTCAATCAATCAATTCCAACTTTGCGAGATCTTTTTTTTCCCCACGAGAAGTTGAAATTGACTGATTGATTGAGCCTTTTTTTTTTGCACACGGCGGCGGAGGCCTAAAGCGAAAAGGTTTTATAAAACCCAGCTGAAGGCCTAGGACTGGAGTGACGACCCACGTGCCCACCGAGAGGGCTCTGCATGCCACCTGTGGCACGCGTGCCATAGGTTCGCCACCACGGTTTTAGGGCCTCAAACACTTACTATTGGCTTGTGGGATCCAGACATCCATGACAGTTTTCATAAAATCCTTGGCTGGTTCTACCTACAACAGCGAGAAGAGATCATACACAAGAAAGATATATTATTGTATGGAGAAGATGGATAGATTATATTCATAAAAAAATTGGGACTATAAAGTTTCATTTATTTTATGAGTAAATGTTATAGTAACTGTTGTACAGATTTGTTTATATGACTTAATTTAAGGGGAGTTAAAGGTTAAGTATGATTTTTTTTTCTTCTCTTTCTTTTTCTTCTTTTTTCTTTCTTCTTTTCTTTTTTTTATTCTTGTTAACTTTCTTATTAATAACCCTGTATTCTGCTCTGGGAAGCGAGGGTGGGTGGGTGGGTAATGATAATATAGTCATGGTAAACACTTGGGCATTTCCCCTATGCTGCGTTCATGTGTGTGAGAGGGATGAGAGGGGAGGAAGGAGTAGGGGGGAAGTAGGACAGTTGGAGGAGATGGGGAGGGGAAGAGAGTAGGGGGGGAGGAGAGAAAGAGGAGGGAAGTGGGGAAGGTTTAGAGAGGGTGGACGCAGCCTGGGGGGAATGGGCAGGTGGTACCAATGGTTAGGAATTTAATTGTATTTCGTATGAATAAATGGAAAATAAAAACTTTTTAATAAAAAAAAAACAGCGAGAAGGAAGCAGTCAAAATTGGAGCAGGAGAACATCAGGACATTCCATGGCTGGGTGGCCAGAATGGAAGTAAAGACTACGTCCCCAAGAAAAGGAAATTGCCCCAGATGGAGCAAGAATATTATAAACATGTGAGGTTGGACCCAAAGTGGACTTTAACTCAAAAGCAACTTGTACTCTTATTTACGAAGACTCTCTGGTTTCTATTACAGTATAAAAGAGGGATAAATAGTCTGCTGATATACATGGAATAAACTGGATATTATTTCACTCCAAGCAAGAACCAGTTCTCGTCCATAAGACTCTTTGCAAACATCTAATATTTTTTGGGGGGGAGGCAAAATGACCTCTTCACGAATGCAGGTAAATACACCTGGCTCAGAATAATGTTGCAGGATCCAATCTGAGTCGGCAACCCAGATCAAAGATTTATTCTTCCAAACTTTTTGGCCTCGCATTGGAGTGAACAAGGACATGCATTCAGTGTCGACATGCTATTACGATTGTTGGCTGAGCAAGGACAAAAATAGCCAGAGAAATTATTGAAGCCTGGTTTATCACCAGCCTATCACCACTTAGGAGCCGAGGGCACAGAGGCACAAGGAAACAACAGTAAAATGACTTAATAGCCATCCATCAACACTCTAATTAACAACTAAAAAGCTACACACAACCAGGAACAATACAAATACATCACGTAGAACAGCCCAGCGCACACATTCTGGAGATGGGTTCCAGCACAGACCCCAAAGCTCGGAAGAATAAACTTTTGGTCCTGGTGACCGACTCAGATTAGATCCATCACTTCTTCAGATTATTAATTCATCTCCCGGTCTCAGCCCAAAGTAACACATTCTCCCCCCCTGGGGTGGATAAGGCCCCTCTTAAATGTGTGATCCCCAGTATCCTAAATTATCTTCAGGCTTACATCTCCAGCAGGGGAAGAAATCTCCGTTGTCCTGTAAAGAGAAGGAAGAGGTGAGAACATAACTATTTTGCAATTTCGTCATGTCCACCTTTATCTCTTTATCTGATCCATCTGCTGATACAGCAGCCTTACATTTACTTTCAGAGGAGTCTGCAGTGGAGGATCAAAAAGAACTTGACCTTGGCAACCTCAAGGGTGTTGCTGAAATTGGCCTTTGAGGAGACCTCCTCAAGGCCATCTCCTTCAGCTGGGGGGTCTTTGGAGCAAGAGGCACCCTCCTCGGTTGAGTACCTGCATGATCCTGATTCCAGGGAGATTGACAGCCGTTCCTCTTTTATGCCAAAATTGGCGCTGCATTCCTGCACCTACAGTTGAAACACGGAAAGAGGATGGTGACCAGGATGGCCCTCGGGAGTGTGGAGGAATCACCAGCTCAAGGAGAGGGGGAATTTAAGGGACGTGCCAGCGTGGAGTCACTCCATGGGAGAAAACATCCTAGACCAGGCTAGCAAAGCCTTATCTGGTGGTTCCCAAGGGAACACAGCCAGTCTGGTGAGATTCTTGTAATGTAGATGAGCGACAATGAAGAAACTGCTTTGGCCTATTCACGAAGTTGTTCCAGTACCTTGTGCCTTCCTTCCTTCCCTCCCTCCCTCCTACCCGCCTTTCTTTTTATTTTCCCATCCCTCCCTTCTTCCCTCCCTCCCACATTCCCTCTCTCCCTCTCTTCCTTCCTTCCTTCCTTCCTTCCTTCCTTCCTTCCTTCCTTCCTTCCTTCCTTATTATCTGCGTAGGTGTGTGAGGGCCCCAGTGATGCAATATTGATGGAATGACCTTGGAGAGGTAGGGTTGAATTCATCATGACACCCTCTACCTTAACAAGGGTGTCATCGTATAGGTTATTTTGGGAAGGTGAGGATGCCTAAACAGATTAAGGCTGCTGGCCTCTGGCAAAGGGTGTCAACGCTGCAAATATTGTATATTCTTGCTTTTGACAATATGCAGAATTGTCTGGTAAATATGGGGTTAATAAAGAACAGAAGGGGCGTTGGGGGTAAAGCCCGGGAAAGAAAGAGGAAGAAAACATTTGACCTTCACACTAATTGGATAGTGTGAGATATGACGGCTAATTTAGGGAGGGAACATGCTGATAATTGAACTGCTCAGAGGAAGAGAACTTAGATCCTAGCATCCTTCCGTTGTGCCTGTGCCGACATTTTTTAACAATAAAAGACTTTTAGGAAAATAAATGCCTGGAAGTTCTTTGGAATGTTTCATTAGCCGGAACCACAACGAAGGGACTCGTACGGAATCATGACGTACCATGTCTATGGAGAGGAGCTCGGCGCCATCTTCAACAGACAAGAACGAGGCTTTGGAATGGGTTGTCATGTGGCTTTCGGTAGGTGACACAATAAATGTGACATTGACTTTCTGAGCTATTTCAATTCTCACTTCTTTTCCAGCAGGTAGATCAGCCTGCAGAAATTGAAAAAATCCTTAATGTCAGCCTGCTGTGACCGATTTCTGCAAACAAGTTTTTGAATTGATGGTTTTGTCCACCTTTGCCAAGTTAGGTGACCCCCATCCCTGGCAGCTGCAAGGAGCACATCTGTAGACTGCCTCCAGAAGGATGTGGCTGACTACTAGAGGTTAGGCTTCACAGATCCCATCTCCCTCCCTCCCTCCCTTCCTATCTCTGTCCCTGTCTCTGTCTCTCTGTGTCTCTGTCTCTGTCTCTCTCTCTCTGTCTCTCTCTCTGTCTCTCTCTGTCTCTCTCTCTCTGTCTCTCTCTGTGTATGTCTCTCTGTCTCTGTCTCTCTGTCTCTCTCTGTCTCTCTCTCTCTGTCTCTCTCTCTGTCTCTCTCTGTCTCTCTCTCTCTGTCTCTCTCTGTCTCTGTCTCTCTGTCTCTCTCTGTCTCTCTCTCTCTGTCTCTCTCTCTCTGTCTCTCTCTCTCTGTCTCTCTCTGTGTGTGTCTCTCTGTCTCTGTCTCTCTGTGTCTGTCTCTTACTCTCTCTTTTCTATCTAGAATCTATCTATCTATCTATCATCTGGATAGGAAAGATGATAGATAGATAGATAGATAGATAGATAGATAGATAGATAGATAGATAGATAGATAGATAGATAATAGATAGAGATAGATAAATATTATAGATATGTTTTATTATTTTTTGAAATATTAAAATAATAATTTCCTCTTTCCTAGTTCCTACATTCCTGATACAAGATGAGACAGGATTTATCATTTATCATCTCTCAAGTATCTATTTATTGCTCTATCTCTATATCTCTCTCCCCCGTTTCTCATCTATCTATCTATCTATCTATCTATCTATCTATCTATCTATCTATCTATCTATCTATCTATCTATCAACCTATCTACCTACCTACCTACCTACCTACCTACCTACCTACCTACCTACATCTATCTATCTATCTATCTATCTATCTATCTATCTATCTATCTATCTATCTATCTATCCATCTATCTATCTATCTATCTATCTATCTATCTTTCTATATCTATCTATCTATCTATATCTATCTATCTATCTATCTATCTATCTATCTATCTATCTATCTATCTATCTATCTACCTACCTACCTACCTACCTATATCTATCTATCTATCTATCTATCTATCTATCTATCTATCTATCTTTCTATATCTATCTATCTCTATCTATCTATTTCATTTATATCTATCTATCTATCTACCTACCTACCTACATCTATCTATCTATCTATCTATCTATCTATCTATCTATCTATCTATCTTTCTATATCTATCTATCTATCTATCTATATCTATCTATCTATCTATCTATCATTATATCTATCAGCTACCATCTATCTATCATCTCTCTCTTTCTGTCTTATCTATCATCTATCTATCTTTCTCTCCATCTCCTATGTCTCCATCATTCTCTCTCTTTTTTTCTTCATTTATTTACCCCCATCATCCTGCAGAGCCAAACAAATTGCTGATGCTGTCTTATCCTTCTGAAAACATATCATTTCTTGCAAGGTAGCCCCCCCCCCCAAAAAAAACACAAAAAACTTACATCTGGCAATATTTCTTTTAGCTGGTCAGTAGTAGGAGTGGAACCCTGACCAAAAAAAGGGAGAGAAATATTCAGGTTAGGAACAAAAACGAAAGAGCCTAACCAAAGGTAGCAAACAATGACCTTTTACCCCAAAGTTGGTCAAACTAATTTCCCATAGAAATCAATATGGAAGAAAGTGAGCTGGCTGAATTCATATCAACGACACACCAATTCCTTGGTTTGGAATCTAGATTCACGAAGGAGGCGCCCTTACGAAGGAACTATAGAGATCTAGGAAGCGTTTCAAGGAATCCAAAGCAGCTTTTTCATCCAGAATCAAGGAATCGATTCTTTAGTCCAGTGGTTCTCCACCTGTGGGTCGGGACCCCATTTGGGGTCGAACGACCATTTCACGAGGGTTGACAAACAACGCAGTCCGCCATTTTTTTCCCCCTTTTCCTTAGCTGTGCTACTCCCTTTTATTCTATTGACTTTTGAAAGCCAATAGAATAGACTCTCTTGAATAGAGTCTAATTCTATTGGCTTTCAAAAGCCAATAGGAATTGTCCAGGCTGTCTCTGCCCTGCTGAGCCCGCCAAAAGTCCCATTCTGCAAACGGTGCTGCACCAGTTGAGTAGTCCTTGACTTACGACCGGTTGAGTAGTCCTCGACTTATGACCGGTTGGGGGTCGCAGCATTAAAAAGGTTGAGAACCACTGCTTTAGTCACCTCAATTTCGGTAATAACGGAGTTGAACAAGCCATCCATCAATGTCACCGCCACGTTGATGATCGCCACAGGTAGATAGACCGCGTTCTTTCCTTCCTCTTTTGGGGGCAGGCCTTCAGGGACCGGATCAGGTGTGGCCTCTATGATTTCTCCATTACTAGATTGGAATTTAGCCTAGAAAAGGAAGCAGAAATACCAACGTCACCATTTCAAAAGCAACTGAAACGTCGTGCCCCAGCACAGGATAGTGGTGAGGCCAACAAGCAGGACAGCTTTACAGGAGATGTTCATCCCAAATTGCAAAGCTAAATTTCTATGAAGATTCTCCGCCATCCAGGTCCTAGTTGTCCCAAAGGAGGCAACTGGACTTTCTTGTTTTCCTTTGAAAACTGAACACTGGGCACTATCTAACAAAATGAAATTCAACGGTGAAAAAAGCAAGGTTTTACATTCCTCATCTATGTATAATCCGTGTTGTGAAACAACAGGCCACGAACCCTGGTGTTGGCTTCTAAGGTCACTAAGAGTACAAGAATTGCAGGATGAAGCAAAAAGGCTGTGCATCTAGGTCACCGGCACATAAGCCACAATTCTTGGCTTATGGAAGTTCCCTGTGGAAGTCCTTCAGATTAAGATGTAGAAGACTCTAGAAAGTGACTATGGAGAATTCTCCATCCTCCAGGTCCTGGTTGTCCCAAAGGGACTTTTTCAAGAGTCAACTGGACTGTCTTGTTTTTTTCTTTGAAGACCTTTTGCTTCTCATCCCAGAAGCTTCTTCGGGTTCTGACTGGATGGTGGGGAATTGAAGGATTTATACTCCTTGCAGACAGCTGGTCATTTGCCTTCTTTTAGAGAGTCCTTGAGGCCACCTGGAGGCTGTGTCCTCAGGGTCTCTTGAGTGGTGCAAATGGGTGTGGAGCCTTCTTGGCTGCAGGCTGTTTTCTGCCCTGGGTCCCTTCCCTGTTGGAGATGGGCGCAGGATGATGGGGACAAGTATGTGTTGTCTGCATCTCCAAGTGGAGCACAAATGGTTCCTGCGGTCCGCAACGTTTTCTTTGAAGGGTGTCCATCCCCAAGTGCATGACTAAATTTCAATGGAGTCATCCAGGTCATGGCTGTTCCAAAGGTGCTTCTTCAAGAGGCAACTGGAGTTCCTTGAAGAGATTCCTTTTTCCTTGAAGAGGTTTCACTTCTCCTCCAAGAAGCTTCTTCTGTTCTAAGAACTGAACTGAACTGAAGACGTTTCTTGGGTGAGAAGTGAAACTGTCAACGCTGCTAACATCAGATGTTTTTGCATTGACAACAGATGGAAATGGAGCCATCTTTTTCCCTTCTGCTTTTAGAGTTAAATGATGCTGGAAGGGGGGTGTGTGCATGAGAGTAACTAGACATAACAACACTAAACCTAGGGTGAGAATCAAGGTTATTGTAACCAGAGCTGATAAGGAATTGGCGGGCTGGAGAGCTGGAGAGGAAGCCCGTGCTTCAAGCTAATTGGGGAATGTGGAATGAATGAACCTTTATTATCAAAGTACAACATGTGTACAATGAGATTGACTGAGCCTCTCTCCATGCTCCCACCACCACAACTCACAGTGCCAATAACCCACCAACTTATTACACCATGTGAGCTAATTGCACAACGTGCCGGTCTCACGAGTCTATCACACATAAAGTTCCAGCCCATGGATAGAAACTGTTCTTTAACCTGTTGGTACGGCTGGCTATGTTTCTATATCTCCTACCCGACGGTAGGAGAGTAAAGAGGTACCAACAGGGTGTGAGTTGTCCCTGAGAATTTTCCTCACTCTTCCAAGGCAACGGGCCCTGGCGATGTCATCCAGTGGTGTCAGGGGACAGACCACAATGTTTTGTGCTGTGCTCACCACCCTCTGTAATACCTTCTTATCCGTGGCTGTCAAGCCAGCATACCAAACCACAATACAGGGTGAGAGGACATTTTCTATAGTAGACCGGTAAAAGGTCATGAGTCGTTGTTCTACCCTGTTCTTCTGCAAGACCCTGAGGAAGCGAAGTGTGAGTTATGCCTGTTAATTGGAGGAGGGAATTGTGCTTTGATACTATGTGCCCAGGGGAGGGGAATTCGGTTTCTGGCTTCGATTATGCAGTGCCAATATTATGCTACTCGGATAAAAGATTCTTTAAGGTAAACAATGCCTCGAAGTTCTTTTGAAGAGTTTCATCTGTCAGAACCATGACAGAAACATCTTCAAGGAAAAGCAAAGACATTCCAGTTGTCTCTTGAAAAGGCAGCTTTGGGACGTTTACAGGAGAAGAGTCAAATTTATGGAACACAATGTCTGTCCCCATGGCAAGTTGATGTAAGCCACTCTGGGCATCCCCTTGTGGAAAATCTCAGCTGGTAGGAGAATCCCACTGACACAGAGTTGGCTGAAATAATCAGGAAGAGAATGTCCTTGTGTTCCCATGGAGACCTCAGCCCCAAATCAATGCTGACCGCTGAAAATGTGGAGGCATGTTGAATGATGTAGCCAACCATTCTTACCTTAAGCTGAATTAACTTGTAATCTGGGAAGACTTCTGGATCTTCAACCACTTCGTACCACATTGTGCGGTTCTCACCAAAAGATTTCTTTTCTGTGAAAATAGACAGGAATCGCATCCACATTCAAACAGGGTTTGTCAAACCCAGCCGTGTGCAGCAGCAGCCAAAAAAAGCTAACACAATCCTGGGTTGCATGAACAGAGGCATAGAATCAAGATCATGCGTGGTATTAGTACCGCTTTATAAAAGCCCTAGTAAGACCACACCTGGAATATGGCAGCCGGTTTTGGTCACCGTATCACAAAAAAGATTTTGAGAGTTTGGAAAAAAAAAATCAGAGAAGAGCAACTAAGATGATCCAAGGCCTGGAGACTAAAAAATACAAAGAACGGCTGCGGGACTTGGGTTTAGCCAGTCTAAAGAAAAGAAGAAACAGGGGAGACATGATAGCAGCATTCCAGTATCTGAGGGGCTGCCCCAAAGAAGAAGAGGGGGGTCACATTGTTCTCCAAAGCACCAGAGGGCAGGACGAGAAACCATGGTTGGAAACTGACCAAAGAGAGAAGCAACCTGGAATCAAGGAGAAACTTCCTGACAATGAGGACAATTAACCAGTGGAACAACCTGCCTCCAGAAGTCATGGAGGCTCCATCACTGGAGATTTTTAAGAAGAGACTGGACATTCACCTGTCTGAAATGGTATAGGTTCTCCTGCTTGAGCAGGGGGCTGGACTAGAAGACCTCCAAGGTCCCTTCCAGCTCTATTCTACTCTAGATATAAGTGAGGTGATTCATAGAAGACACTTGTTGCAGCAATGTGATCTTGGGGAGCTGCAAGTTGTCCACACCAGGAATAAATCATGGTCTGCAAACCATAACAAACCAAGATCAGCCCCAATGGCCAAGTGACCAGGATGTCCAGTGGAGAAACATGGAGAAATTAGAGGGACTCCAGCTACAACATTCTGAGATATGGGTCCCCTTTGGGTTGTTGAAGAAGAACCAGAGATGTTCTTGATGGAATCTTATGACTGATTCTCTGATTTTCATTCAAGAAAACATTTCAAGCAAGTGAACTTGCTTGAATTCTATGTAAGAACATCTCCGGCCACCAAGTCAATTAAACCAAGATCGCTAAAGGGTAGGAAGAAGCTGCTTGGGATTTTAGTTCTTGATCGTTTATCCGACCTTCCTAAAAGTTGACTGGATCCAACACTCTTATTTCACCTTAGAGGACATCCCAAGTGGGACAACCTGACCCCCACCAATTGTCCATGGAGAATTCTCCATCCTCCAGTTCCTGGTTGTCCCAAAGGGACTTTTTCAAGCGTCAACTGGACTGTCTTGTTTTTTTCTTTGAAGACGTTTTGCTTCTCATCCCAGGAGCTTCTTCGGGTTCTGACTGGATGGTGGGGAAGGGAAGGATTTATACTCCTTGCAGACAGCTGGTCAGTTGCCTTCTTTTGGAGAGTCCTTGAGGCCACCTGGCGGTTCACCTGTGTCCTCAGGGTCACCTGAGGGGTGCAAATGGGTGTGGAGCCTTCTTGGCTGCAGAATGTCTTCTGCCCTGGGTCCCTTCCCTGTTCCCCACCATCCAGTCAGAGCCGAAGAAGCTTCTGGGATGAGAAGTGAAATGTCTTCAAAGAAAAACAAGACAGTCCAATTGCCCCCTGAAAAAAGCAACTTTGGGAGAAGGATGAAAGGGGAAAAGGAGGAGGAGGAGGAGGAGGAAGATGGGAGGGAAAGAATGATAGGAGAGAGAGAAACAGAGAAAGAGAAAAAGAAAGAGAGGGAGGAAGGAAGGAAGGAAGGAAGGAAGGAAGGAAGGAAGGAAGGAAGGAAGGAAGGAAGGAAGGGAGGAAGGTGGTCTGAAATGGTCTAGGGTTTCCTGCTTGAGCAGGGGGTTGGACTAGAAGACCTCCAAGGTCCCTTCCCATTCTGTTATTCCCTGATTCTTGATATTCTGAGCAGCTTGATTTGATCATCCAAGGAATCTTTACTTAAATCTGGGGAGAACCTTATACTCTACAAGGAGTATAAATCCTTCCCTTCCCCACCATCCACTCAGAACCTAAAGAAGCTTCTGGGATGAGAAGCGAAACGTGTTCAAAGAAAAAACAAGACAGTCCAGTTGCCTCCTGAAAAAAGCCCCTTTGGGACCCCCACCCCAATTGCAAAGAGCAAAGGTCAACTGAAGAACTGACTTGGGGGAGCGGGTCTTCAGATCCTCTCCTCCCCAAGGAGGTAGGAAAAACTGAAACTTCAGACTTTGGGGTGCTGGCGTATCCGCAAACTGTCTCTTGTAGCCCTCCAGAAGGTCAAGGCATCAGGCTGTAGCCCCCAGCTTGGGCCACCTGTCCCTTTCTCATGTTCTACCTTCAGGTCCGAGAAGGTGGGGCCCCCTGGGCTGTCACGATGAGAAAGAACAGCTAAACCCCAGCTAAACTCCCTTAAATTCCAAAAAGAAACAATCGGCTGCTTGGGGAAGCGAAAGTAAAAGCTGTATCTCCTCAAGATGCTGCCTCAAGGTCACCCAGCTGGAAAAAGCAGGGGGACGCACCCCAAACAGGGCTTGGACAGACCCGTTAGGAAAGCATCTTTCCCGAACCCAATTGGTTACACTGGGAAGGGGCAACGGGAGACCGTTAAGGGAGGGAAGAATAGAATTCATGGATTTCGGTGCGCGATTCTCAGTTCTGGTTTTGCACTATTACAATACGCTTGATCCCTAATATGTTCTACCTTTCTCAACGAATGGAGGTTAGAGGTTAGACGATGGGGCCCCCTGGGCTGTCACGATGAGAAAGAACAGCTCGACGCCAGCTAAACTCCCTTAAATTCGCAAACACTCACCAAACATGTGTTCTAATTTTGTCTCCATAAACCCGATCACGTTGTCTGCTGCTGGGCACATCTGGAAGGCAAGGGAGGGAGAAAGGAGAGATGGTTGGAAAAGAGCAGCAGATGTGGTTGCAGCTGGACCCCCGGGAGATGGGGACTGGAGGCATCCTCTGAGGCAGATTGATTCATTTTATTTAGAGCAGAATGCAGAATAGCAGACTTGGAAGGGATCTTGGCGGTCTTCTAGTCTGACCCCCCTGCCCAACCAGGAGACCCTACACCATTTCAGACAAATCGTTGTCCAATCTCTTCTTAAAAGCCTCCAGTGTTGGAGCACCCACAGCTTCTGGAGGCAGGTTGTTCCACTGGTTAATCGTTCTGTCAGAAAATTCCTCCTTAGTTCCAGGTCGCTTCTCTCCTGGATTAGTTTCCATCCGTTGCTTCTTGTCCTGCCTTCAGGCGCTTCGGAGGATAGCTTGACTCCCTCTTGTTTGGGGCAGTCCCTGAGATACTGGAAGGCTGCTATCCTGTCCCCCCTTGTCCTTCTCTTCGTTAAACTAGACATACCCAATTCTCGCAACCGTTCCTTCTATGTTTTAGCCTCTAGTCCCCTAATCATCTTTTTTGCTCTTCTCTGTACTCTTTCTATGTTATACGATATTTTATTGAGTTTTAAAAGGTTGGGGGGTGGGGTCACTATAGGTATTGGGGTTCAGGGTAGGGTTCAGGGTTGGGATTGGGATAGGGTGGGTACAACAGTGGAGTTGCCCCCACTAACATTTCCAAGCTTTAACAAGCGAACTATTATCTGACTACATATGTTCAGTTAACAGTAATTGGTATAATAGTAAGTGACTATAGTACATAAGAAAAACAGTAATCATAAAAAATATTGATTAATCAATACATATCATTCATCTTATTAAGTATCATAATCATTTCTTGCTAGTTTGTTTTGCTAACCATTGGTAAAGATTTTTCCATGTTTTAAAGTAAACCAGGGGTAGTCAACCTTGGCTCTTTTATGACTCGTGGACTTCAACTCCCAGAATTCCTGAGCCAGCTAAGGAATTCTGGGAATTGAAGTCCACGAGTCATAAAAGAGCCAAGGTTGACTAGCCCTGAAGTAAACTGTGTCCTTTTTAATTTCTAAAGTTAGTCTGTCCATTTCTGCACATTCTAAAATTTTCCTAATTATAATTTGATCAGATGGTATATTTTCATTTTTCCAATATTGGGCAAATGCTATTCTCGCTGCTGTCAGTATATGTCATATTCAATAGTCATTCTCTTTCCCATATTTCTCTCCTAATATTCCTAACAAAAACAATTCTGGTTTGAATTCTACCTGTATTTTGGTCATCTTTTCCAACCAGGTGTGAATCTTAAACCAAAATTTCTTCGCACTAGGACATACCCACCAGATATGACAATATGTACCTGGCTTTTGTACTCTTTCTAGAGTCTCCACATCTTTTTTACATCGTGGTGACCGAAACTGGATGCCGTATTCCAAGTGTGGCCTCACCAAGGCCTTGTAAAGTGGTACTAACACTTCACGCAATCTTAACAATATTTACTGGATAGAACCTGGAGTTGCCTCTGCTGGCCAACCTAATGGGGCAGGTAGAGTCCAGGGGAGGAAAACGGTCCTTCAAATACCTTGACCCCCAACCCCATCCTTCATGACTCCATAATCTCAAAGCCCCAAAACTTACCATGCCAGGCAAGAGTTTCCCAAGTGTAGTATTCAAAAATTTATTCACTACTTTTGGAATCATGCTGAAAGAGAAGAGAAGCAGAGATCAGCAAAGTAATTCATATGGGGGCTATCAATCTGCAGTGCTTTCCATTTTTTTTAAGGTCAAGAATCTCTGCTTTAGTTTTGTCTCATTTGTCTCAAAGGCCATTGAGCATTCATGATGGATGGATGGATGGATGGATGTATTTATGGATGGATGGTTGGATAAAGGGATGGATAAAAGAATGGAGGGAAGAAGGATGGGATGGAGGGGTGGAAAGATGGAGAGATGGAGGGATGAGGAAGGATGGAGATATGGAGGCAATTGGACTTTCTCATTTTTCTTTGAAGACATTTCCCTTCTCATCCAAGAAGCTTCTTCAGCTCTGACTGGGGGATGGGGAATGGGAGGATTTATACTCCTGGCAGACAGCTGGTCAGTTGCCTTCTTTCAGAGAGTCGTTGAGGCCACTTGGAACCTTATCTGTATTTGCACCACTCAGGTGACCCTGAGGACATAGACAAGCCTCCAGGTGGCCTCAACGACTCTCTAAAAGAAGGCAAATGACTAGCTGTCTGCAAGGAGTATAAGTCCTTCTATTCTCCACCATCTGGACAGAACTGAAGAAGCTTCTGGGATGAGAAGCGAAACGTCTTCAAAGAAAAACAAGACAGTCCAGATGCCTTTTGAAAAAACCTTATTTACTGACCAACCTGCCTACTTAAGTTGTCAAGACTTTTCTTTCTTATCAGGAGCAACCATCAAAATCTCATTGAAGTAGCTACATCAACTTACGAACTCTGGGAGGATGGAGTGAACCGGGGCAAGAGGCTATTGTTAGGGAAAGTGTGGGCTACAATTGAGCATTTTGTGCAGTTATCGTCTTGCCCTGTGTTGTGTCTAGTCCTTGGAAAACAAAGGATCTTCACACAAACATCCGGGGACAAGAACTGTTTTTCTTCCCTGTGCCTGTGAGGGTGCCTCTCTTACACATCCCCTATTTCAATACGTATTCACAACAAAAGGTGCATTTTTAAATATTTGTACTGAGGCGCCCATGCAGTTCAAAACTGCGTTGCAACCTTGGGGGAGATGAAATTTGTTAGGGAGCTCTTGCTCCATCCTCAGATTAACGCAGGAGGTGGAACCCCTTAGAATTCAACAGGTCAGGCAAAAGTTGGCTTCTGTTGGAATGAAATCAAGGGGTGGGCCATCTCCAAGTCCAGCTCTTTGTAGCCCCTCACCCAAATGCTGTGCAGACTGCTGTCTAAAGTCCAGGCCTGTCAGAAAGAAAGAAAGAAAGAAAGAAAGAAAGAAAGAAAGAAAGAAAGAAAGAAAGAAAGAAAGAAAGAAAGAAAGAAAGAAAGAAAGAAGAGGAGGAGGAGGAGGAGGAGGAGGAGGAGGAGGAGAATCCCACTCCCTCCCTTAGAGCTATTCTGCCTATCATGAAAGTCCTGCTTTTGGATCTACGTGGACATTGGACACTAATGGAAGAATCAGATTTTCAAGAACGGGGAATCAAGATGAGGAGAACCAGACCACCTTGTGGAGAACCAAAGGGTGGAGACCCTTGTCCCTCAGGCTCCCCAGAGGTCCCTGCCACCCTAGTTCTTCACTTTGGCGACGGTTCCCGAGCTACATCTCGCCCATCCTCTCTCCATATCCTTTGAGCTCTTTTGTTTCTAACTGGGAGACCTCTGAACCCTCGGCCGTCTCCCACAAACTAACTGCCCCCGCCCAAAAAAACTCAAATTGGTCCTTCCCCTTCCTGACACATCTTGTGACCTCACTTGCTGGGAAGGTTGGTTTTGTAGGCCAAAAGACGCACTTCACAGCTGGTTTTCTCCATCCCGATGTGCTTGGTGGGGTGTTTGGTCACCTTAATCACGATGTCCATTTTGGATTTCAGAGTGATCTCCATTTTTCCGCCGATAAAGCTGCACAAAACACAAAAGAGTCAGTCTAACAGAGGTCCCAGGTCCAATACACAAGAGGTCCAATGCCCAGGTTTTCACATTGACCCTTTGATTTCAGAAAGAACCGGCATCATCGTACTCAAGGTCACGTGAAGTATTAATACCACTTTACAAGGCCTTGGTAAGGCCACACTTGGAATACGGCATCCAGTTTTGGTCACCACGATGTAAAAAAGATGTTGAGACTCTAGGAAGAGTACAGAGAAGAGCAACAAAGATGATTAGGGGACTGGAGGCTAAAACATATAAGGAACGGTTGCTGGAATTGGGTATGTCTAGTTTAAGGAAGAGAAGGACCAGGGGGGACATGATAGCAGCCTTCCAGTGTCTCAGGGGCTGCCCCAAAGAAGAGGGAGTCAAGATATTCTCCAAAGCGCCTGAAGGCAGGACAAGAAGCAATGGATAGAAACTAATCAAGGAGAGAAGCAATCTGGAACTAAGGAGAAACTTCCTGACGGTGAGAACAATTAACCAGTGGAACAACCTGCCTCTAGAAGCAATAAATGCTCCAACACTGGAAGTTTTTAAGAAGAGACTGGACAGCCATTTGTCCGAAATGGTATAGGGTTTCCTGCCTGAGCAGGGGGGTTGGACTAGATGATCTCCAAGGTCCCTTCCATCATCATCATCATCATCATCATCATCATCATCATTATTATTATTATTATTATTATTATTATTATTATTATTATTATTATTATTATTATAAGCTTTAACTTGAACTCTATATTGTTTCACAACACAGACGTATTTTTTGCAATTTGCCGAGTTTTGTGCAATATGAAATTGCAAAGTAGGTAGTTTTGTGTATATTTGCAACATCGGGGACTGAAAGTAGCAGATGGATAGAGGTTTCAGATGTACATGGGTGTATGTGGAAACTGCTGATCAGCACAAAAGAACAAGGAACTGATTTTGCAAGATGATGACTATCTGTGGGTGGTCGTGAGAAGAAAGGTATAAAAATGTTAGTTTAAGTGTAGCTTAGGGCCATTGGCCTACAGCAGTCCTTTTGGAATCTGCTATGCCACATGGTCCTCATTGCAATGGGTTGTTAACGTAAGTGATATTGTGTTATTATGCTTGCTATGTTCCAAATCATTAGCAAAATAAACCTCTGAATCTTAAAGTAAGAAAGATTGTTTTGTGTTGCTGTCTCTTGTCTTTTCCATTGGGTTTTTCCACGACAATATGGAGGGTGGTGAGGACAGCCAAGAACATCATAGGCAGCTCACTTCCTGTGACTCAGGATGCTGCTTATATGTGCTTAGAACTCAGAGCATTATTAGAGACTCCCACACATCCCCACTTCACAGTTTGTTTCTATTGCTCCCTTCTGGGAGGAGGTTTAGAAGTATTTATAGCAGGACTACCTGATTCTGTAACAGCTTTGTTCCCTATGCCAGCGGTCCCCAAGCTTTCTGGCACCAGGGACTGGTTTTGTGGAAGACAATTTTTCCATGGGCCAGGGTGGGGGGGGGATGGTTTCACGTGCAATCAAGACCCCACGCATGTGCAGATAAAGCTTTACTCAGTCACCCGCTGCTTGTGTGGACCGGTTCCCAACAAGCTGCAGTCCATGGCCCAGAGAATGGGGACCCCTGCCCTAAGCCATCCATCTGGTAAACTTGCAAGATTCGTTTTTCTTGCCATGCACATGTATACGTAACCTGAACTAGACTGTTTTGTTTCTCTGTGTCATATAATATATGTGGGTATATGCATAAGTCTGTATTTATTTATTTATTTATTTATTTATTTATGTCATATTTATGTAGAGTATAGTGGAGGTGGGGACCCTTTGAGAGCTGAATGCAATGAAATTTCACTTCAATGTATCTGATTATTCCATATTTTCTATTCTATTCTATTCTATTCCATTCCATTCCATTCCATTCCATATTTTCTGTTCTGTTCTGTTCTGTTCTGTTCTACAATCTGTCTATTCTATTCTGTTCCATTCCATTCCGTTCCATTCCATTCTGCTCCATTCCATTCCATTCTATTCTATTCTATTCCATTCCATATTTTCTGTTCTGTTCTGTTGTATTCTACAATCTGTTCTATTCTGTTCCGTTCCATTCTATTCTATTCTATTCTATTCTATTCTATTCTATTCTATTCTAATCCATTCCATTCCATTCTATTCCATTCCATATTTTCTGTTCTGTTCTGTTCTATTCTACAATCTGTCTATTCTATTCTGTTCCATTCCATTCCATTCTATTCTATATTTCTATTCTATTCTGTTCTTTTCTTTTCTGTTCTAAACAGTATATCTCCTTATGTTCTAGACAGGATTCTCCATTCAGTCGGTTAGTAATAGTAGTAAAGTTGGAAGGGACCTTGGAGGTCATCTAGTCCAACCCCCTGCTCAGGCAGGAAACCCTACACCATTTCGGAAAAATGGCTGTCCAGTCTCTTCTTAAAAACTTCCAGTGTTGGAGCATTTTCTGCTTCTGGAGGCAGGCTGTTCCACTGATTAATTGTTCTCACTGTCAGGAAGTTTCTCCTTAGTTCTAGGTTGCTTCTCTCCTTGATTAGTTTCCACCCGTTGCTTCTTGTCCTGCCTTCAGGTGCTCTGGAAAATAGCTTAATTCCCTCTTCTTTATGGCAGCCCCTGAGATATTGGAATACTGCTATCATGTTCCCCCTTGTCCTTCTCTTCATTAAACTAGACATACCCAATTCTAGCAACCGTTCTTTATATGTTTTAGCCTCCAGTCCCCTAATCATCTTTGTTGCTCTTCTCTGTACTCTTTCTAGAGTCTCAACATCTTTTTTACATCGTGGGGACCAAAACTGGATGCAGTATTCCAAGTGTGGCCTTACCAAGGCATTGAAGAGTGGTATTAATACTTCACGTGATCTTGATTCTATCCCTCTGTTAATGCAGCCTAGCACTGTGTTGGCATTTTTGGCAGCTGCAGCACACTGCTGGCTCATATTTAAGTGATTGTCTACTAGGACTCCGAGGTCCCTCTCACAGTTAATACTATTGAGCATGGTGCCACCTATGCTGTACTTGTGCATTTGGTTTTTCTTGCCTAAATGTAGAACCTTGCTTTTTTCACCATTGAATTTCATTTTGTTAGTTAGTGCCCAGTGTTCAAGTCTGTCCAGATCCGTCTGTATCTGAAGCCTGTCTTCTGGAGTGTTGGCTATTCCTGCCAGCTTGGTGTCGTCTGCAAATTTGATGAGTTCCCCATCTATCCCTTCATCCAAATCGTTGATGAAGATGTTGAAGAGCCCTGGGCCCAGAACAGAGCCCTGGGGCACCCCACTACACACTTCCCTCCATATAGTTGAATAAGTCCCCAAAACATTGTGGGCCACCTCCACCTTCCAGTCCCTTGACCATGAACAAAAGCAGCTTCTCACTCACCTTTTCCCAGCAACTGTGAGGGTAATAATCACGGATGTCTGCATTTGCTTGGGTGGAATTAACTTTGTGCAAATTTCAGGGGGTCTGAAATCTTTAAGTTTCATCCTAGGAATTAAAGAATAATAGCATGAAGAATAGCAGAGGAAAGCATTATCTGAGGATGGGGAGAACCGGGTGAGGACCTGGTGAGATGCTGAGAAGTTGAGGGTGAAGGTTCGTTCTTCCAGCTTGTGGGTTGGTTTTGTTACAAGACTGGGCAAGGCCTTCAGCAGAGTTGAACTTGTTACCCAGCCTAGTAAGGAAACGTTCAGAGAACAACCCACAATTTCAGAGAATGATCCTTCACCCTCATCCTACACCGGAGCTACAGATATCCACCACAACTGCATTGGCCTGCATGCTTACGGTCTACAAGTACTAGCACTAAGAGTTGTGTGCAAATCCGCAGGGAAGATGATAGACTTGTGTACGGTACTTGTACACAGGACTTGTGTCCAGGGACTAGTCCTAAGTACTCTGAGTTTTGTACAAGTTCTCCAGAAGATCCTCAACCCAATGAAATCTGTCTTTGGGTTCTCTGAGCTGTGTTTTAATGCTACTCCTATGGCTAACTTTCTAATCAAAAGATGCTCAGGGAAATAAGATCCTGAGTTTGTCCTGGTCCTCAGGGTCCTTTGAGGCGGTCACTAATCCAATTCCTTTGTGGATGGACTGTCATCTATAGTGTGTAGAATACAGACTATCAGAGATGGAAAGGACCTCGGAGATCTTCTACTCCCACCCTCTGTCCGAGGCAGGAGACCTCATAAGATCCTGACAAATAGCTGTCCAGACAGGATTAAATCCAAGATTAAACCTTCCCAAGGGCTGCCCCAAAGAAGAGGGAGTCAAGCTATTCTCCGAAGCACCTGAAGGCAGGACAAGAAGCAATGGATGGAAACTAACCAAGGAGAGAAGCAACCTGGAATTAAGGAGAAACTTCCTGACAGTGAGGACAATTAACCAGTGGAACAACCTGCCTCCAGAAGCTGTGAATGCTCCAACACTGGAAGTTTTTAAGAAGAGACTGGGCAGCCATTTGTCTGAAATGGTCTAGGGCAGGGGTAGGCAAGCTCGGCTCTTTTATGACTTGTGGACTTCAACTCCCAGAATTCCTGAGCCAGCCATGCTGAGGGGAAAGGGAGAAGTTTCCAAGCTGAGCCATGCTGGCTCTGGAATTCTGAGAATTGAAGTCCACAAGTCATAAAAGGGCCAAGTTTGAAGAGCCCTGGTTTAAATATTTTTTTCCTCATGGTCACATGGTCAAAATTCAGGCATTTGGGCAGGAGTAGGCAACCTTGGCTCTTTTATGACTCGTGGACTTCAACTCCCAGAATTCCTGAGCCTGCCATGCTGAGGGGACAGGGAGAGGTTTCCAAGCTGAGCCATGATGGCCCAGGAATTCTGGGAGTTAGTCCACAGGCCATGAAGGGGCCATAGTTCCCCCATGCTGGCTCAGGAATTCTGGGAATTGAAGTCAAAGAGTCATGAGGGGGCCATAGTTCCCCCATGCTGGCTCAGGAATTCTGGGAGTTGAAGTCCACCAGTCATAAAAGAGGCAAGGTTGCCTACCCCTGGTATAGGATTTCCTGCCTGAGCAGGGGGTTGGACTAGATGACCTCCAAGGTCCCTTCCAACTTTATTATTATTATTATTATTGTTATTATTGTTGTTGTTGTTGTTGTTCATTCCGCTGCTGTAGACTTTGGCATTCTGAGTAGGAACCAAGGTCTTGCCCTACCTCCAGATCTGTTGGGTCTTCAACTATTGGCTGGAAAATTGGGGGGGGGAATTTTCACACCCCAGGAAGCCTGCTGGGGTCAAACATCTGGCTCCTCCTTGACTACCACGGAGGAAATGAATGGACTCACCCTTTGAGGCCTTTGAGTGCCTTATTCTTGGTTGCCATGGTCGCCATCCCATCCAAAATCTTCTTGTCTGTCATGGCCATCTGGATGACTAGAACACAGAGCCACAAAGAAGCGACGGCCAACGCAAGTCGTGAGACTTTGTACCAGGAGGAGGAGGAGGAGGAGGCCCACCCCAGCACTAGAGGGAGGGCACCCCCATCTCCCCTCACAGCTCCTGGAGCCCTTCCCCACCCAGCCCCACCAGCCCCACCACCGCTGAAAGCAAAGAGACTCTCCTATTTACAGCCCTGGTGGTGCAGTGGTCAGAATGCAGCATTGTGGGCTGACTCTGCCCAACTGCCAGTAGTTCGATCCTGACCGGTTCAAGGTTGACTCAGCCTTCTGTCCTTTTGAGGTCGGCAAAATGAGAAGCCAGTTTGTTGGGGGCAACAGGCTGACTCTGTAAACCGCTCAGAGAGGGCTGTAAAGCGTTATGAAGCGGTATATGTCGAAATGCTATTGCTATTGCTGTCTTCTGCTAGGGGGAAAGAGAATTAAAAAAATTTACACGGAGGTGTAAATAAATGTATGGTGTAATAAAACTATTAGAAGGAAGGAAGGAAGGAAGGAAGGAAGGAAGGAAGGAAGGAAGGAAGGAAGGAAGGAAGGAAGGAAGGAAGGAAGGAAGGAAGGAAAAAGGGAAAGGAAGGAAGGAAGGGAATGAGAAGAGAAGGGAATGAGAAGAGAAGGGAATGAGAAGAAGGAAGGAAGGAAGGAAGGAACAAAAAAGGGAAAGGAAGGAAGGAAGGAAATGAGAAGAGAAGGGAATGAGAAGAGAAGGGAATGAGAAGAAGGAAGGAAGGAAGGAAGGAACAAAAAAGGGAAAGGAAGGAAGGAAATGAGAAGAGAAGGGAATGAGAAGAGAAGGGAATGAGAAGAAGGAAGGAAGGAAGGAAGGAAGGAAGGAAGGAAGGAAGGAAGGAAGGAAGGAAGGAAGGAAGGAAGGAACAAAAAAGGGAAAGGAAGGAAGGAAATGAGAAGAGAAGGGAATGAAAGGAAATGGAGAAGAGAAGGGAATGAGAAGAGAAAATGAGAAGAGAAGGGAATGAGAAGAAGGAAGGAAGGAAGGAAGGAAGGAAGGAAGGAAGGAAGGAAGGAAGGAAGGAAGGAAGGAAGGAAGGAACAAAAAAGGGAAAGGAAGGAAGGAAATGAGAAGAGAAGGGAATGAGAAGAAGGAAGGAAGGAAGGAACAAAAAAGGGAAAGGAAGAAAGGAAGGAAATGAGAAGAGAAGGGAATGAGAAGAAGGGAATGAGAAGGGAATGAAAAGAAAAGCAAATGAGAAGAAGGAAGGAAGGAAGGAAGGAAGGAAGGAAGGAAGGAAGGAAGGAAGGAAGGAAGGAAGGAAGGAAAGAAAGAAAGAAAGTTCCTCTGTGTGCATCTATGTACAACTAAACTGCTTTTGTTTGCCTTTTGTGTAACCTTTAACTGGACAAAATAGTTTACCATAGGTCATTTTTTTAAAAAATTAAGGCACCCCAAATGAGCTAACGTACAAAATGTATCCAAAGTCTGTGTCCACCTACAACTTTTGTGGGATCAAAATTTGGCCAATTTTATCCAACATTTAATGACAAATGTGACCATAAAGCCGTTGCTGACATCAAACAAAATATCACAACACGTTTCCTGTGGTCCACTCCTGATGTTTGCTCCACACGGGCTACTTTCAAGGCAGATCCATCTCTGAATGAATAAGCCAGTCGACACAACTTTACACCGACCTTCTGCTCAAAAAGGAGGCCATTTTACTTACTGCGTGTCATTGTTTTGGGATCAATTTTCAGCTGAGGTCCGTACATCTCTCCTGTGTCAGTATGGACCATCCCGACACAGAAGAAGACCAGCAAGCTGACCCAGGGCCTCTTGAGGGCTAGATCCATGGTGGCTGAGCTCCTTCTAAGCAACAGGCTGGCAGAAAGTCAGAAACAAATCTTTGGCTGTATAAAAGTGGAATAAGAACACCAATATTTAGATTCGGGGGATCAAAGCTGGTGGGAAGAGGGAAAGGGCAACGATTTAGCTTCAAACTAGAGGTCTTCTCCAATCAATAATCACATCATTTCTCACTTTTTGAGAGGGAAGCAATTCTATTCTAATCATTTCCCACGATGGCAGAACTTCAAAGTCTGAAAATGGCTGACATTGGGGTGCCGTAGCCATGGAGAACATGGGTCCCCCCCCTTATACAACTCTTGGAAAGGGCCCCCGACTCGGTTTCTGATCTTCTGATCTTCTGCCGATATTGACCATCCCATCTTCTAGAAGAAGGACAGAGTCAAAGACTTGATGAGCACCTCAACTCAAGGGACAGAGCCCAGAAGGGTCTGATGACTGTCCAGTCAACGTAGGAAAAATAACTGGAGAAAAATGGTTGGACAGAGACCTTTTTCAAACCGCGAGAACTTCAATTTGCAACTCTGCAGAAGAAGACAGGGGTGGCTCCTTCTAAGCCTGCTGGAAGATTTCAGAGTTGCACCCCAGACTCTAGAGCTAAAGATGCAGGAAAATCTGGACGGGAGACTCAACCCCAATCTTACGTGTCCATCAACTTTCTCAGAAGGGACTCCTTCCCCCATCTGGGGTACCTTTGGACCTTCACACAGTTCACTTACATGTCTGGATGGATGGAGCTTCCTCAATGTGCTCAAATCTTTGCCCACTAATCTTCTCTTGGGTTGCCAGTTATATACTTCCCCGTGGATGAAAGAAGCGATTCAGAGCGTTGATAACCATGGAGATGTGATCCAAACTCATCAGGGGAACTTCCAAGATAAACATTTTTCACAGACATCTTGAAATTGAGAGACGTTCTTCAGTGCCAGGTTCATGTGACTCTTCCAGGTGATCTGCTGAACCAGGTGATCTGCTGGAGCAGGTTGGCTGTCCACCCAGAATGAGAGAGAAAAGAAGGACAGCTGGTCTACTCAACATGCTACACCAATGTTTCCCAGTTTTGGCACCTTGGGGAAGGTGCCAAGGTTGGCTGGTGAATTCTGGGAGTTGAAGTAATAATAATAATAATAATAACAACAACAACAACAACAACAGCACCATTGGCATTGACAAATTCGCCATTAGTCAATTGCAAAAGGCGGCCTTACTAGAAACTGCTTCCATCCTGCAATGAGATCTGTAATACCATCAAACATCCATATCTGCCTATCCCAGATCCTTGGGGAAGACGCGATAGGTAGACAAAAAGGCCAAATCCAGTCTGAACATCTGGCTGACTGTGCGATGATTAATAATAATAATAATAATAATAATAATAATAATAATAATAATAATAATGTTGGAAGGGACCTTGGAGGTTATCTAGTCGAACTCCCCCTGCTCAGTGAGGAAACCCTATACCATCTCAGACAACTGGCTGTCCAGTTTCTTTTTAAAAACTTCCAGTGTTGGAGCATTCACCGCTTCTGGAGGCAGGTTGTTCCACTGGTTAATTGTCCTCACTGTCAGGAAGTTTCTCCTTAATTCCAGGTTGCTTCTCTCCTTGATCAGTTTCCATCCGTTGCTTCTTGTCCTGCCTTCAGGCGTTTTAGACAACAGCTTGACTCCCTCTTCTTTGGGGCAGCCCCTGAGATACTGGAAGGCTGCTATCATGCCCCCCCCCCCCGTCCTTCTCTTCATTAAACTAGACATACCCAATTCCAGCAACTGTCCTTATATGTTTTAGCCTCCAGTCCCCTGATCATCTTTGTTGCTCTTCTCTGTACTCTTTCCAGAGTCTCAACATCTTTCTTATATCATAGTGACCAAAACTAGATGCCATGTTCCAAGTGTGGCCTTACCAAGGCCTTGTAAAGTGGTGTTAACACTTCATGTGATCTTGATTCTGTCCCTCTGTTAAAGAAACACAGGCTTGGAATCCTGGCTTGTTCCTGGTAAGCCGGATTCTAAGCATTCTGACATATTCTAGGGAACTTCCCCTCTGAGGGTGCACAATTCCTGGGTTTCTTTCAACTGAGTTGGTCCGAAGGCTACAAAAACAGTTGTTAAGTGGATTTTGCTTCGTTGTATGACCTTTCACGCCACCATTGTTAAGTCAATTATTCAGTTGATAAATGAGTAACGCGGTCATTAATTGAATCCGGCGTCCCCCCCCCTTGATTTTGCTCTCCGGAAAGTCGCACAAAAGGGGATCACGTGACCCCGGGATGACTCACGTGACGGTCATAAATATGGGTCAGTTGTCAAGTGTCTGAATTTTGATCACGTGACCACGGGGATGCCGCAACGGTCATAAGTGTGAAAAACGGTCCTGAGTTAATTTTTTCAGTGGTACTGTTATCCTCCCTGGTCTCTGCTGACAGGGGTGAGGGGGAGCCTGTGGCCTAAAGGTTAATACAACTGCCTAACATGGAAACTGCCCAGGTTCGAATCCCAGAGGGGTATGATTAGCTGATGAGAGCTAAAGAGCTTGAAATAGCTATACTCGTCTCCCTTTAACTCTTCGTCAGCCACAACATTTTGAATTTAAGGTGTTCACCGTAATGACGTCTGCCTGCAAAAGATGCTCCTAGTGTCAGAGGTTCCGACTAATGAAGCACTTCAAAGAACTTTCAGGCATATTTCCTAAAGTCTTTATTACAGAGCTACAAATTGCCGGTCACCATCATGGACGGTTGGATGCCAGAATCTAACTTCCTCTCTCTGGCATCAAACTTTTCTTGCTAAACCCCTCCCTTATCTTGCAGTCACAAGTCACAATATCCTATTAGTGTGAAGGTCAAAAGTTTACTTCCTCCTTCCCCCCCCCCCCCCCCGGCTTTCTCCCCCCCCACTCTAAGCTATGTATTAACCCAGTAAATACCAGACAGTTTTGCATATTGTCAAAGCAAGAATATGCAGTATTTGCAGCATTGATACCTAGCCTGGAGTGAAACGCAGAACAATGGTGTTGTAACTTCGAACAGTCACTAAACGAGGAATGCCTGTGCCCATTTGACGCAGGCCTTTCCTATCCTCTCTCCAGCTACCTTCTCTTGAATGAGAATACTCGAGGTTTCCTCTTAGCAGGTGCCTGGCAATCCAGCTTAAATTCCATTTTGGCGGATTTTTCACCCTTTTATCTGATTTGGAGGCAGGATTTTGGGATTAGCAAGGATTTAAGAACCCTGAAAAGGGACACGGAAGATGCTTTAATGGCCGGTAATGCAATCCCCCCCCCTCACTAACATCCTCTCTTGGAAGGATAAAAGCCACGCTGTGTGCGAAAGCACCACAACTTCTCAGCATACGATAAGGTGTCAGCTTAATTCCCACTTAACCTTCTCAATCTCAGCCCCTGGAATCTAAGTTGTTTGCGCATCAGCTTTTGACTTACTTCTTCCCAAATGCCTCAAAACAATTTGGGGTGCTTTTGTGACTCTTTAAAGCAGCTGCCTCTTTCTGCAAAAGTGGGGGAGGCGGCTGCTACGGAATGACAGAGATGGAGGGGACCTTGGAGGTCATCTAGTCCAACCCCCTGTTCAGGCAGGAAACCCTACACCATTTCGGCCAAACGGCTGTCCAGTCTCTTCTTAAAAACTTCCAGTGTTGGAGCATTCACCATTTCTGGAGGCAGGTGGTTCCACTGGTTAATTGTTCCAACTGTCAGGAAGTTTCTCCCTAGTTCTAGGTTGCTTCTCTCCTTGATCAGTTTCCATCCGTTGCTCCTTGTCCTGCCTTCTGGTGCCTTGGAGAATAGCTTGACTCCCTCTTCTTTGGGGCAGCCCCTGAGATACTGGAACACTGCTATCATGTCCCCCCTTGTTCTTCTTTTCACTTCTTCTTCTTCTTGTGCCCTATCTGTTATTGGACGTTGGCGATCATGTTGGCAATCCTGTTTTTATCAGCAGCCACACGAAAAAGTGCTGCTGAGTTTTGTTCAAACCGGTCTCTTAGATATTGAAGCTATAGACTGTCCAATTCCCTAAACGATTCAAAATAACAGAGTTGGAAGGGATCTTGGAGGTCATCTAGTCCAGCCCCCTGCTCAGGCAGGAGACCCTATACCATTCCAGGAAAAGTGGCTGTCCAGTCTCTTCTTAAAAACCTCCAGTGATGGAGCACCCACAGCTTCTGAAGGCACGTTGTTCTCACATGGGGTACCTCCATGTAGATGCAGCTCCATTATCTGTTAAGTGTGGTTGGTCACCCAGTTGCAAATCCATCTGGTGGTGATGATGCTATCTAGCCCACATTTTTCTATCTTATCAAGAAGTAAGATGCGGTCAACTTTCATGTCTAAATAGGGTCTCCTGGTGATTGGCCCAAAGTCACCCAGCTGGCTTTCATGCTTAAGGCGGGACTAAAACTCACCATCTCCTGGTGATTGGCTCAAAGTCACCCAGTCAGCTTTCATGCCTAAGGCAGGACTAGAACTCACCGTCTCCTGGTGATTGGCTCAAAGTCACCCAGTCAGGTTTCATGCCTAAGGCGGGACTAGAACTCACCGTCTCCTGGTGATTGGCTCAAAGTCACCCAGTCAGGTTTCATGCCTAAGGCGGGACTAGAACTCACCGTCTCCTGGTGATTGGCTCAAAGGCACCCAGTCAGGTTTCATGCCTAAGGCGGGATTAGAACTCACCCTCTCCTGGTGATTGGCTCAAAGTCACCCAGTCAGCTTTCATGCCTAAGGCGTGACTAGAACTCACCATCTCCTGGTGATTGGCACAAAGTCACCCAGTCAGGTTTCATGTCTAAGGCGGGACTAGAACTCACCGTCTCCTGGTGATTGGCCCAAAATCACCCATCTGGCTTTCATACCTTAAGCAGGACTAGAATTCATCTGCTTTCTAGCCTGAACCACTAGACCAGTGTTTCTCAACCTTTTAATGCCGCGACCCCAACCGTTTGTTAAGTCTAGGACTACTCACTGGTGCAGCGCAGCGACCGTTTTGCAGAATGGCTTTTGAGGGCTCAGCAGGGCAGAGACATCCTGACAATTCCTAGGGCTTTTGAAATAAGTAGAACTCGATCAAGGGACCCAGGCCCTTCCAACTTTATTATTATTGATCATCGCACAGTCAGCCAGATGTTCAGACTGATTTGGCATTTTGTCTACCTATCGAGTCCTTACCCAGGACCTGGGATAGGCAGATGTGGATGTTTGATGGTATTACAGATATCGTCGCAGGATGGAAGCAGTTCCTAGTAAGGCCCCCTTTTGCAATTGACTAATAGCGAATTTGTCAATGCCAATGATGTTCAAGTGGTGCTCCAGTTGTTTTGGGATTGCACCCACGGAGCTCTATGACTATTGGTCCTGCCCTTGCCTTGCTTTTGCCACAGTCTTTCTATTTCTTATTGTGGTCTTTGTAATTTTGTCATCTTCTCCAGCTCTTTCTCATTCTATTCTGCTATCCTCCGCACTGCCACATATTATTATATCATTCACGCACATCATCCAGATGTGCAGACTGGATTTGGCATTTTGTGTACCTATCGAGTCCTTACCCAGGATGTGGATGTTTGATGGTATTACAGGTATCGTTGCAGGATGGAAGCAGTTCCTAGTAAGGCCGCCTTTTGCAATTGACTAATAGCGAATTTGTCAATGCCAATGGTGTTCAAGGTGCTCCAGTTGTTTTGGGATTGCACCTAAGGAGCCTATTACTATTGGTACTACCCTTGCTTCCTTTTGCCACAGTCTTTCTATTTCTATTTGTAGGTCTTTGTATTTTGTTATCTTCTCCAGTTCTTTCTCTTCTATTCTGCTGTCTCCAGGCACTGCCACGTCCACTATCCATACTTTTTTGTCTTTCTTATCGACA